TCTCCCTCTACCTGGGGCTTCCTCTCCCTTTAAATATCTCTACCCCTTGTTCGCATTCGCAGAATACCCTCCAGCTGCCTCTCTCTCTCTCTCTCTCTCTCTCTCTCTCTCTCTCTCTCTCTCTCTCTCTCTCGCTCACTGCCTCCCTCCCTCCCGGCCTCCCTTCTGAGAGGACGATATTGGGGTTATTGAGAAGCCAGCTGAAGAAGAATGGTGGGTGCCTTTGGTTTCTCTTCTCGTGCCTCTGATCAACTATTTCATCAGAAATACCTTGGCTCTGGTCTCTCCTCTTCGATTCATGCAGGAAGAGGGGCGGGCTGCGGAGACGTCGCCGGGCTATGTCGACTGGAGAAACAGGGCAGCGTTGAAGGGCAAGCACGGCGGCATGCTGGCAGCCTCCTTTGTTCTCGGTACCTCTCTGAATCGGACCTCAAACCCCCCACCCCCCATTGAAGGGGGGACCCTTCCTTTCTGCATGCAGGAGTAGCCAATAGAATGAATCCTCTCTAAGCGTCGTTCCAAATGGCAGCGGCGGAGGTGTTGGAGAACCTTGCCTTCCTGGCGAACGCGAGCAACCTAGTGACCTACCTGACGGGATCCATGTACTTCTCCCCGGCCCGCTCCGCCACCGCCGTCACCAACTTCATGGGCACCGCCTTCCTCCTCGCCCTCCTTGGCGGCTTCCTGTCTGACGCCTTCTTCACCACCTACCTCATCTTCATCGTCAGCACCACCGTCGAGTTCCTGGTATTCCTGAAAACTCTCCATCATCTGTAGAAGCACCAATAACTTCCGACCCCCGTCTCCGCCGCCACCTACGTCCGAATGCGGCGGTAGCGTGGCGGCGCTGGCGCTTCTCCGGCGACTGGCATCGCGGTGGTCCAGAAAGAACCATGTGCCGCCCATCCGACGCGTGGATTTGATATGATATTATGAACTTGGGCCCCACCGTAATCTGAAAGCACCCACAGAAAATATTAGGCTTTATTGCTATTCGAACTAAAATATTATCTTCCAATTTAGGAGACGCTCGTGTCAGCCGGCAGGGCCGTGGTTATTGCCAGGACCCCCCCTTCCTTATCGTGCTGAGGATGCTCCCTATCCTTTCCATAATATTCTGAGTCATGAACAGGGACTGGTTATCCTCTATATTCAAGTTCGCTCGCCGGCGCTGAAGCCGCCGATGTGCGAGAAGGCCCCCTGCGAGGCGGCCTCCGGGGGGAAGGCGGCGTTGCTGTTCGCAGGGCTCTACGTAGTGGCGCTGGGGGTCGGCGGCATCAAGGGTTCGCTACCGACCCACGGCGCCGAGCAGTTCGACGGGGAGACCGGGCGGGGGCGCAGGGAAAGGTCCACCTTCTTCAACTACTTCGTCTTCTGCCTCGCCACCGGCGGTCTCATCGCCGTCACCTTTGTCGTCTGGATAGAGGACAACAAGGGCTGGCAGTGGGGCTTCGCCATAGCCACCATCTCCATAGCTCTCTCGGCGGTCATCTTCGTCGCCGCATCTCCCGTTTCCCGGAGCAAGCTACCGAGGGGAAGCCCCCTCACCACCATTGCCAAGGTGAGCAGACACTGCCACGGAGCCGTTCATTTTCCTCCGTTCTACCATTCCTTCTGATAATCTCACAGACACACGGACATTAATTAACATGCCGGAAACTTTCGTTTTTCCAATCGGGAGGTGGTGTGTGCCACCGTCCTTAGCACCGGGACGGCTGAAACTCCAAAGGAGCCCGTTGTGGCCCCCGCCGGCAACCATGCTAACGAGCCCCAGGCTGCGGTGCGGAGAGACGCCACAGGGAACCCATCCGAAGGGCTGAGATTCCTCAACAGGGCGGTAAAGAGGAAGCCCATCTTCCAGACGCTCGCCTGTACAGTGGATGAACTCGAACAAGTGAAGGTGATCGTGAGGATCCTGCCGATCTTCGTCTCCACAATCATGCTCAACTGCTGCCTCGCCCAGCTCTCCACCTTCTCCATCGAGCAGGCAGCCACTATGGACACCAAGCTGGGCTCCCTGGTCGTGCCGCCAGCATCACTCCCCATCTTCCCAGTGGTCTTCATCATGGTCCTCGCCCCGCTCTACGACCATCTCATCATCCCCTACGCCCGGAAGGTGACGGGGAACGAGTCGGGGATCACCCACCTGCAGAGGATCGGCGTGGGGCTGGTCCTCTCGATCCTGGCCATGGCGGTGGCGGCTCTCGTGGAGCTCAAGCGGAAGCGAGTCGCCGCCCGCTCGGACATGCTCGACTCGTCCAGCCCGCTCCCCATCTCCTTCTTCTGGGTGGCCCTGCAGTATCTCTTCCTCGGCTCCGCCGACCTCTTCTCCCTCGCCGGCCTGCTGGAGTTCTTCTTCACGGAAGCGCCCTGGGGGATGAGGTCCATGGCGACGTCACTGTCGTGGGCGTCCCTGGCGACGGGCTACTACCTCAGCTCCGTCCTTGTCACGATAGTCAACGGTGCGACGGGCGGCGGCGGCCGCCGGCCGTGGCTCTCCGGCAGCAACCTGAACTATTACCGCCTGGAGAGGTTCTACTGGCTCATGTGCATCCTCAGCACGTTGAACTTCTTGCAGTACCTCTTCTGGGCCTCCCGTTACAAGTACCGGCACCCGGTGCCCAAGGCTTGAGTAGTAGGGCGTCACAGATATGGGCTTGGCCTGGAGGCCCATCTTGAGAGTGGGTTGCACAGATATGAGCTTCCCATCGTGGCCCATTAGTCTCCATGAGAGAAGACTGTATTGTAGTTTACAGGGCCCATTATCATCCTGGACAGCTGTTGGGAATCGACTGGTAATTTAACCTCATACTGCCATGTTTCTCGTTCAATAACGGGTCGTCATGTATCTTTCTGTCTTTTCTGTTAATTAAATTCGGATCCCTAAAAAATTTCGGATTTAGGAACAAGCTCCTAATCTTTTCATATGTCGCTGTGGATCTTTGAAAAGTTTCCGAAATTACGAATTGGTCCCTCCGTTATTTCTATTACACTCCACCAACAATAGATAATTAAATTATATTAAAATAAAATGGTTTTTACCAAAAAGCACTAACTTACACGTTGTTAGGAGATCATCCACAACGTTCAATAAATCAAACGGTTGATATCCTAGCTACGTTACAAAAGTTAATTAGATTCGTAAAATGTATTATTTTGATGTCTTTTTATGAGCACCCGCAGCGATAAGTGAAAAGAGTATGGACTTATCCTTAACTCAAATAATTTACAGGGACTAAATCTCAAAAATGAAACGACTTCATTCGTTGACTTTATAAAATAAAGAAAAGGAATAACTAATATAAGAATTGATTTTGCATAGTTTATTTTGTTCAAATGGCTCAGTTTACACAGGATTATTGTTGTTCCATTTCAAAAATTGAACTCTCCTTTCCTGCTCCTCGCTCTCCCTCTCTCTCTCTCTCTCTCTCTCTCTCTCTCTCTCTCTCTCTCTCTCTCTCTCTCGCTCGCTCGCTCGCTCGCTCTCTCAATCAATCGGCAGGATCAGCTGAAACCATGGCTCACAAGTGCGAGCTCTTCCAAGTGCTACCCAGGCTCTCATATAGAGAGCGCGGTGCCATCATCATCTTCATCCTCATATTGGGAGTGTCAGCCTTCATTGCGCTGGAGAACCCCTGGACTGTAGCCTTCATCGTCTCCGCCACCGTCAACCTGGTCATCCTCCTCTACTTCCTTGGAGCCTACGAGAGGGCTCCGGCGGCGGACCTCCCCCGGCGAAGAAGGCTGAAATTGGTAATATGCATCCTCTCCTCCACGCTCATCTTTTCCTTCTCCTACCAGGTCTCCAAAATTGTGCCTTTCCCCTTTGCCGTGATCATCTGGTCGACCTCCGGAATCGTCACCGTCACCGGGTACTTCCTTCTTGTTCATCACGATGATGGTGTTCCCATGCCGCGGAGATACGAGTAATTAAGGAAAAGTATTCTATCAATGAAAAAGAGAAGAAATCTCGCTAGTATAGATATGGAAATATGTCCCGATATATCGTGTAAGGTTAATGACTCTGTTTTCTTATTTCTAAAACCTTGTTTCAAGATGCATGAACATACTCCGTCAACCATTTAATTTTGGCTGCTTCGGATATCCAGAAAAATCCGAAGACACAACATAAGAGAAACCCTATAAAAGAGGAGGGCTTTTTATTACCGTTAAACACGTTGACTATTTAGTTCGCGTTGCACCAGTGAAGGGGGTAGTTAAGCCATCGTTCTCATGGCTTCCTCTTCCCTGCGCGTTGCGGAGGTCGTCGGGTGGGCCGTCTCTAATGTGTGATAGGAGACTGTGAATGAAAGAAGAGATGGGAAGGAGGAGACGCTTCCAATCTCGGAAACGCCCTGCGAGAAAGACTGAAGCTGATCATGTGAATCCGCTCCCACGCGCTAAACGGTCTCCCTTTTTCCGTCTGAGTCTCCAATATGTTGCCTTCCTCTTGGCTGTGATCATCCGGTCGCTCACCGGAGTCGTCGCCGTCTCCGGGGTCTACCTTCTCTCTCTTCACCGTGATGATCATTCCCAGGTAGGAGGATGGGAGGCAATCACGAATATGGCGTCATCAACGCAAAACGAGATAATTGCTATTCGTTTATAATTCATAATTTATACCAGAAAAAGTATGTGATCTTCACGACTCTGCCATCTCATTTCGAAAGCATGCTTCAGACTTGCTTCCGGCTACTTCAGACGTTGAGTGATAACCGATGGCAGACAACGATAGAAGGCCTAGAAAAGGGTTTATATTTCCGCATTGGTTTATTGAAAATTAATCCGTGATTAAAACCCAAGGGAGGGAATTGTGATTAATTCCCAAAGATAGAAGATGTGGGTTTCTTCTTTCGTAAAGCCAGAAGTAGGAGAAGAGAGCAGAAAGGATATGCAGATTCCCACAATAACCCATGTTGATTGTGGAGCTCGGCAGATAAGATATTGTCACATCTCAGCCAATTTTTATTTATTTATTTATTTATTTATTTATTTATTTGAAAAACATTCGAGTTATAAACAAGTTCCACAACTTTTACGGTTCTTAGCGAACGAAAATCAGCATATGACTATTGCCAAGAGGCTCACCCACGGGGATTAGTTTAGATAGAAGTTCTAGCAAAGAAGCTGACGTTTAGCTCGTATTAGGTTGTCCAATTATTGTCTTCTCATGCTGACGCCAAGCTGCCACTCGTGCTCGGGACCAATACATTTTTGGTCAGAGGAGAGAGAGACACAGCCAATGATTAGGTAGACATTGAAATAATTCTGAAGACGAAAAGTAAGCGGAAGAAAATGAATGAGTTTTTCCGTGTTTTAGGTAACCTAAATGAGAAGCACGTAGCTCGACGACTCTCTGATATGAGGTGTGAACTCTGGGAAGCATTCTTTATTGAGCCCATTTGTTTGCGTTGACTTCTAAAAATGTCGATAACTAATGTTTGAAGGAGCCCACGCGTATTGTTATGCGCGGTCAAGCCAAGCAGTTGCTTGTTGGGGAAACGCGTCAGGCCGAGTAGCCTCTCGCCTCTCTGTAATAAACCACAATCTGGGAATTGACTTTTCTCCGTTGAATTGAGCGGGATCTCTTATAAAAGAAAAGGTTGTATAAACCATTCCATGCCACGACCAAGCATGATGAGGAGAATAGACCCAGTCCCCTCTACGCCACTTGCAGCGTTCCATGAACATCATCCCTGGAGCTCTCTCTCTCTCTCCCCCCCTCCTTCCCGAGCTCTTCAAATGGCATGACGTCCATGGATCGCTGCGAGCGGAGTAGAAGGGGCAGTGACCGAGTCGAAACAAAGGGGCATCTTCCTTTACAAATCCTAAGAAGGTAACTCGGGGTATCACTGGAAATCCCGAATCCGAGCATTGAGTTCATTGTCCAACTCCCGCGTTATCCGCTTACATCTTTATTGAGGAACTTCTTTTCACATCGACGATCTGAGCCATCATTCCACAGTGATAGGAGGGTAGGTTCTAATGGCTGAATTTCCCATCTTCTGTGCAAGTTTTCGGATAGACGTCGATCCTATGCGGAGATGTGCACCTAAGTTGACGTTGAATAGTATTGTTTTTTAGGGTTTGTTTTCTGATCTCAGGAAAATTTCACGTTTGCTGAAAACTCTCTCGATACTTCAATTTTGATCCATAAAACCCTACAAACTTCCTGATCCAATACTGAGCCTCTTCGTCACCTTGCATTACCTTTGCCTTCGTAACATACGAGTTGACCCAGATTTAAATTTTGAATGATTATATGGTCCTTATCTCCTGCAGCATGCCCCTCCCCTTGCTCCGGTGTTCCCGATGGATATCAAAGTCTTGATCAGTGCCAGAAAACTTTAATCAACACATATACGAGGTAGCCATCGACATGGTCGATCCTTGTTATCGAGAACCAGTTTTGAATAGAGCATCATATAACTAACTTCGATGCAAATGGTGCAGTTAATCTCTCTCTCTCTCTCTCTCTCTCTCTCTCTCTCTCTCTCTCTCTCTCTCTCTCTCTCTCTCTCTCTCTCTCTCTCTCTCTCTCCCTCTCTCTCCCTCCTCTCGCTCTCACCCTCCCTCTCCCTCCTCTCGCTCTCTCGCTCTCTCTCCCTCTCGCTCTCTCTTTCTCTCTCCCCATGATTTTTTGAGCTGCATTTCCTTGATTGTACCCATCTTCTTGGAATAACTATTTCTGAAATCAGATTTTAGCCTAATTACAAAACTAAATGAATCGAAGATAATTAGAATCAACCTAGCGCCGATAGATACGGATTCCAACCACAGAAACGATTGCAGAGAGTGGGGAAATCGGAGAACTTGGCATGGTCAAGAGACTAACGACCGCCAAGAAAATCCATGGCAACGACGTCTCCAGCCATCCAATTATGACCTCTGAAGAATCACTCAGTCGGCATGGTTTAGCTGTCTGTGTCGATGACCAAGTTTGCCGAAGACCAATATCGAGGACTCGACTGCGATCCGCTCCCCTCGGCTATCATTGGAGAACATCCCTAGATATAATATGAGTGGCGAGTGTAGATCAGAAAAATCAACTCCCTCTGGACGTCGTAGATAGAGGTGGCCATCGGTCAAGATAGTATCCGCCCAGTCGACCACTTCTGTTCAAGCGTGTTGAGACCGCCTTCCTTGCAAGTGGTGACCTCGTTCCCTGGTGTCGTTTCCTCTCCATGCACCTTACAGCCTGTGCCGGCGACTTCACCTCGCACTGCAGAAGAGAGGGCCGCGGCCTCCATTAAATGCCATAAATAACCGAGAAGTCCAGGTGCCATCATCGTCTGCAAGCGTCAATGGAGGCTATTACTTACCGGCGACATGAATTAGAGACGCCCAGATCTGTCCTAACGCGCCCTAAAATTTCCATGGACGCTGCTTCCTAGGCCAGGAGAGGAAGACGTCCATGGATCGCTTTGGGCTCGATAGGAAGAAACGCGGGTTGTTTTGCTCATAATCTCATGTCCCACTGTTTCAATCGCTTTTGCTGAATGGTACGCCGTCGTTTCCTGGTCGACGTCATCTAGGGTTTTAGTTTTCTTCATAATCTCATGTCCCACTGTGTTCCAATCATCCCGACTCGACGATTACTACAAACCCCATCTCCCCCCAGTTATATGAACGATCCCATGAAAGGAACAGCTCAATGTGCAGGTTTATTTCGGCCTCAAGGAATCTGCCGAGTTCCTATCTTCAAGTCTGCTGTAGCAGAAGCTGATGGGGATGACGGAACCCTAAATACCTAAAAGAACGAAAGTAGGAACCCTCAACTACCGGACGAAGGAAAGAAGCAACTTCCAAGTGCACGAGGAACCAAAGAAAGAAGGGTCGATCGAATCCACGATGATAAAAAATGGGGTGCTAAGCTGGCTCCAGAACTAGTTTTCTTAAATATTTTATGAAAGAAATAGATCCAAGAGAAAAAAAAACAGATCAGAAAGCCGCCGCGCTCCTGCGTGTTCTCCCGTAAATAGTAAACGATCTGTTTTATTTCGCTAAAATTTATTAATCAGTCAACGCAACCACTAAACAGAGGCCATACTGACGTCAAGTAAAAAGCTACGACCGAGTCAGCGTTAAATATAGGAGAAGTCGGGGAGAAGGAGAGGCCGCAGCTGATGCCTGCGTCTGACCTGTTTAGGCCTGTGGGGCCCAGTCCCTTTATGGGCCTTTATACGCTCCCCCCAAAAGTCAACTACTATTATGCTACGTCAACGGGCATAATTCAACGGTCTGTTGGGATCAGTCCGTTGGTCCTAGCGGTGGTTCCAACGGCCCCAGGGCGGAACGACTGGGGCGTTAAATGGAGAATTAGAAATGAGCCTAAGCTTCCCCCTGCTGCCCAGAGGGAGAAAGGGCAGGCGGGCCTCTCGTTATGCTACTGGACAGGCAATCCCTTCATCAATCTCTCTCCTATTCTTTTCCACCCAAGGAACGCCCAACTCCACTCAGAACCAACGGGAGGGAGAAAACACAGAAAGCCATCCGCCATCTACAGAACGAATACGAGGAGAGAGAGAGAGCTAGAGAGAGAAGTGGTTCTCAGAGAGAGAGAGAGGATGGCGATAATCTGGGGGGGATGGGGGTGGGAACATCAGAGAAAATAATCTGGGGTCCGGCGGGTGGTGTCCGGCTCGATCTGCCGGGGGGCGGGGTCGAACTGGAGGAACTCCTGCTGCATGTTCTCGCCGATCTCCAGAATGGCGGCGGTGTTGCCACACCGGTAGCAGTAGTTGGGGGCGCTGAACACCGTCACCACGTTCTTCTCCTGCAAGCCCCCCCACCAATTCACCCCACTTCATCAGTGAATTCGAGCCAAACTGGTCAAAAAAACTCAGAATCGTCTAGCCGGGTTTTACTCATGCGACTCCTCTCTCTCTCTCTCTACCCTCTCTCTCTCTCTACCCTCTCTCTCCTCTCTCTGAAAGGGAAATAGAAACTTAATCCCGGGGAGTTTTGGTCTACCAACCTGAGACCAGTTGTATCCTTCCATGACAAGCTGGTGGGCTCTGGAGATGAGAGAGAGCCCATTGGTGTGATTGAACTGAGCTGCAATGTCCTGCCCAAAAGTGTACCCAGCTCCCCTCGGGGATATGCCCCACCCACACCGGTCGTCAGGGTCAGACCATAGGAGGTCACACATGGGGCCCTCGTGTGGGACCTACACAACAGCATGAGATCAGCTCCTGATATTGCCCGAATAATGGAGAGAGAAAGAGAGAAAGAAAGAGAGAGAGAGAGAGGGAGTCCACTATGGCTCATAGGCAATTCACTGAAGACATTATCTCGAGATATGGCTATGACAGATGTATAAATAACAAATATCATCCATGCTAAAATAAATTAAACCATCTTTCAAAGAAATAGCACCTGATGATGATAGGCAACTAAATTGGGAAAAAGGCCCACCAAAACACCATCCGATTATTTACTGAATATATAGCAAGACAAGCCCCTTGATCAATCCCATCCTTTAAAGGATTTTTAATATAAATTTGCGCCATCTCTACGGTCGTTGTCTGGTTAATGCCTATTTGTTGGCAACTTCTTCTATGATTAAACACAGGTGTTGATTGCACATGCAATAATTTGAAAGAACATCGTTAACCCTGAAATTTATATCCATTTATAGAAAGCTGTGCTCCAAACTGATCCATACCTCTTGTATACGATCCAGAGCACGGATATTGTCTAACGTATCAAGTGACGGTGAAAGACCTCCGTGAAGGCAGAATATCTACGAGCCATCATCATTCATTAACTGTCAGAGAGGCACAGAAGGCAAAAATGTGGTAGTTGTCCAGACCGTGGTGACGTACATACCTGGCTCTCAATGAGCGCTGTGAGGGGTAGATAATCGAAAAGATCAGTAAAATATTTCCAAACATTTGCATTCCCGTATTTTCTCAAGCATTCGTCATAGAAACCATACCTGAAATAACAAGAAAATGGTCTCAGAAAGGGCCATCGTTTTAAAAAAAATAAAAATGGTTGAGGTAAACTTCGAGTCAATTAACATCATGATATTCTTCCCCGGTTTCCTTGGCGAAATTGCAAAAATCAGCACAAAATTCATGAAATTAGAAAACATAAAAAGAGAACTATCGATACTAGTCTGACACCTGCATGCAGATAACTAGGGTAAATCCTCGATATACTCCTCTAAGGTATGCTACCGTCTCTACTGATTCTTAGAAAGACAGCGTGCTGGAAATTTATCAACTTTGGAGTGAAGAAATTCCAATGGAACATTATAGAGCTTTACATATAGTAAAAGGGCATTGCAATGATTTCAACCGAGCTGCTTTTTTGAGAGACTGTGTACATCAATACAGACTCACTGAATTTTCTGGCCAGTTCCAGATGGGAGACGGCCTTCGACTGGGTTTGGGTAGTGTCTGACACAGAAACACGAAACACAGAACTCATCCCTGTCGGATGCTGTCATTAATGGGTGTAGTCTAGGTAGGAATACAAGGAGAAGAGATGACAGCTGAGTTAGGATTAACCAGAGAAGGGAACAACAAAGCAGAATGAAGCAACAAGAAGATGCTGGGATGCTAATACAGGAATAAAGAGCGACCCGACCTTAATTCGGAAAAGATTCTGTGATACGCTAGAGTCAGAAAAGAAAACGAGCAATACAATGCCGAAATTTTGGTTGAGACAATGCCCATTGAAAATCTTAATGTTTACCCATTAAATTGAGCTCACACGTGAGTGGATTTAAAGTGAGTAAAACATAGGAATATGGTAGGCTTACACTTGAGTTATTTGACGACTTTCATGATTTCCTCTCAGAATCGTGATTCTTTCTCTATAACGAACTTTCAAGGCCACCAAAAGGGTGACAGTCTCGACTGAGTAATATCCACGATCTGCATTGAAGATGGAAATTCAGTTTGACAAATGTCAAATAAAAATATTGATCCGAATAAAACGATGTGGTTTATCAAAAAAATATCCTATAAAAAGTCAATTCCGATACAAAGAAACAGACATCTGCAGTGAGACAGAAAAAAAGATTCAATAGCGAATTAATCTTACATCAAAAACTTGACGTATTCGCTTTAATATCGATAAGATAACCCCAATCCATGAAACGTAAGCACAGAAACGCTGGGCAGCGAAGAAGAACAGAAGGAAAAAAAAGCTGAAGTGTGCGAATCATCTACTGTATCTAACTCGTCCAGAGACCATCATGTCAATAAACCCGTAAGCTGCTGTATACAGCAGAATCAACTTTTTAAAGTGCATGAAAATGTGGGATTGCTGCCACATCCCTAGTCTGTCAAAAAAAAGATATATAAACGCCAAAAATTATGAAAGTCTACCGAAATCAATTAAAGGGCTTACATTGAAAAACAAATACAAGAACAGTGAAAGAAATATCCCCCAGAAATCCAGTTCTTTAGACACTAAACAGCCATTAAAAATCTGGCCCATGTTCATCTTGCAGAAGAAAACAGCACCCAAAAAAGAACGTACACAGAAAATCTGGTCCATTTCTGACCTACTTGACTTACCTTTCTGCGGTAGACTTATCTCACAACAATGGAGAAGTGGATAATTAAAACCAAAAAATGAAAGAAAGAGTGTTACATCTGAAATGAAGATCCGGACCAGTATTGGCTATAGTTTACACAAGGAAATGCTTCCTTGGGCGCTTCATGCCTAAACGAAGAAATGATTTCGATACTTACAATAACTTACAGGCTCTTACAGTTAACTTTCAAACACATCAAGCTTCAGACTCGTCCATTTGAGGAACTCTTAAAAATGAATGTCAACATCCTAGATTAAACTAAGAAAAAGATAGATTATGACTCTGGCTGAAAGACCTTCCACAGAAAGTTACAACTTACGTCATGTCAAGACAACATTGGACGCAACAACACCTTATAGTGGAATGAATGGCATCTTATAATCTGTCCAGGCAATACTTGACTTCATGTAAGACTTCCCATTTTTCATCTCCTACCCTTTGTTTATAAAGGTTACAAAAGAAATCCATCCGTCAATCTGCTAAGAGCATAAAACTACTACAGCTGGCGCCACCAAGGATGAAAATTCCCAAACATCTGGTCTTGATATTATCTGTAAATGATTTAAATGGAAAAAGTGCTCGATGGTAACTTAAGAGGAAAAAAACAATTGCATCCTTCTGCTGAAAAGGTGACATTAAAGTCAAGAATAACAAGCCCTTGTAACAGTACCAGATATGATCACAGTGTGCAAAAGTGAAAAGGATAATATTGAATGAAAATTGTTAGCCTGTTTTCATGACAACCATTCTAGTCCAATTCACACAATTTATACCACATAAATGATGCACCATACGGGGCATTGCATGGTCATAGCAGCAGAACACAGACATACCTCGCGTTGGCATGGTCTCAGACGTTACCATTTTCTAGTTCTTTCGCCCCCAACCCCCACAAAAGCCCAAAAAATAAAGAAATAAAAAAAACGTCAGTCTCCGACTACCAAAACTGCTTCCCTTCCACAGTTCGGATGCAATAATCTGTTAGCCCACTCAGGGTAATAATTAGAACTCAACACAATGCATAGAAGCGGAAGACAACACAATTACCGTACATTACAACATAATCCTGGACTTATCATGATGAGGTGACAGAATATTGAGTTCAAAGTGACAGATCATCCTGCAATTGATCGAATACATGATTGTAAGTATACCAAAGTAAGGGTAAAATATTTTTTTTCGTACCATTCTGAAAGGCCCCTGCCTTCTCCATGGTTTCACCTTTAAATCTAGTTTTCCTCTAAATCAGAAGAACGTCATAACGGCAGTGTCCAGCCTAAGTGAAAGGACCTATTGGCGGAAGCAAAAGTACAAAATTTTGAAGTAGTGACACCGGTCCATACAAACACAAATTAAATTTTCAAGTAGATCGGCTCAAAAATCGAACGATGGACAATATTGTAACGAAAATACATGTATATGTAACGATGGAAGATATTCCAGAAACCGTAAGTTACTCATAAAACGAGAAACAAGAACCCTACTGTGCATCCTTGAATATAAGTTGAAATTCCCCTGACTACTGACCTACGTAGTCTCCCATGAAGAGATAATTGGTGTCGGGGGTGTCTCCTCCAATACGAAACAGCTCGAGGAGATCGTAGAACTGGCCGTGGATATCTCCGCACACCGTCACGGGGCACTTGACAGGCTGCACGTTCCACTCCTCCACAAGGATCGCCCTCGCCTGCTCGCAGAGGACCTTTACCTCCGCCTCAGGCAGGAACTTACATTCTCTGAGGAGCTCGATCTGACGATCCAGATTACTGTGGGACGGCATCCTTCCCCGTCTCCCGCCGGCCTGATCTTGCTTTGACGGTCTGGCCTGACTGGATGAGCGGATCGACCGAAGATCGTCCCGGGCAGCTCGGACAACTCACCTCAGGGATTGTGTCAGAAGGATCGGCGCATCATCTACGAAGATTGGGTGTGCGTCCTCTACGGGGTGACGTGTTGGCGTCGCATTCCACCAGGATGACGAGGGGCGATAGATACGCCTCACAAGAGCTTCGACCTCGGCCCTCCTCCGATCATTCCTGAGGGTCAGCTTGCAAGAGAGAGAGAGAGGGAGAGGGAGAGGACGAAGGAGAGAGAGAGAGGATGAAAATTTTGTTCCGACCTCCTCGGGCTTCCCCGCGAGAGAATCAAATGTACAGGAATTTAAAACCTTTTTAAACCCTATGATTTGAATAATTTCACATTTAACCTCCTTATTATATGATAACTGATTGTCTATTGACAAAAATGTTTATAAACTCAAGTACAGCCATAATTAGTGATCTCTGATAGTTTTTGTAAAATTAAAATGAAAAAAAAAATAATTAAATTACATAGGCGAGTGAATGCTAATGAACTCTGTTTCCAATTATTCATACTTAGAGTGGAAAAATGAAAATCTCCAAAAAAAACAAACATGTACTGTTGATTGTGAGCATTGCGTTGTCTCGCGGAACCGTATAAGCTCTATCGTGACGCCATCTTGGAACGATTCATGGCCGTCCAAAGAGAATCTGTCCCCTGCTGACGGACGGTGATGCCCATCTAAGTGGACGAAGAACTCGTGCCCAATCATCCTCCAGTGGACGTAGAAGTGGTCAAACCTGCTCTGCTGCACCGTTGAACGGGATCGGTTAGTTCCCGGTCATCACAGCCCTCCCCTTTTGACACGTCTCTCCCGTCGAACGCCGGTCCTAAATATTTTTGGCACCAATAAAATACATAAATTCTTTCTTTTCTAATGAGTGTTTATGGCAACTAATATCAGTTGTGTGGTAGTTGAACTGCCCATCTGAGTCAACAACTTTTTAGTGTTGACTAAGTTCATACGGTTGACTATTTTTAATATGGGTATAAAGTCAAAGAGATCGGCTAGTCATCATTCACAAGTCAAGGCATTCTTGTTGACTTTAATTTAGCTATTATTTCATTCTTGCCAATCCGAGTCCAAAAGGCAATCCTTTTTCCCTTTATTTTTTTTTTCTCCAATATTTTTAATGAGAATAAGATACAATTTTGCTCCATCTTCAATGTTTTAAATTCACAAAAGGAAAGTCAAGTATCCGCTCGATTTATTGATAAAAATCGAAGAGTTGCTTGCAATGTGCCACAAAAATGTAATATCAATTAATTTCCCAACTTTAAAAATATTATATATATAAATACATATGATATAAAAAAGTGAAATTACACAATTTTACTGATGTTGATTTAAAAAAATTCTCTAGGAAGCAAATAAACTCTCTCTCTCTCTCTCTCTCTCTCTCTCTCTCCCGAGATGGACATGGAGGGGAGTTTATTAATGAGATACGTTACATTTTTTTAAATTAATAATATGCCGTAATTGACCCCTACGATCACCGTCATCATGAAGATAGTCAAACTTTAGCTTTTATTAGGGGGTGAGAAACCCATGGATGCGACGTGCATCCCCTCCGCTTCTACAGCGATCAGACAGTTTTTTTTCCTTTTTTTTTTCATAGTTCCCTAAAAATAATGTTTTATCCGATATATTTACGAAGAATACATGAAATTATTTTTCCACTTTATTTCCGACTTTCCTTATATAATCGAAAACTTTCTCGGTTTGGGAGTCTTAATGTGCTAGTTTATTGTCCTTGACTGGGGAAGCTGACGGGTACGATTGAGCTGTGATCGATCTGTTTCCAACGGTCAGGATTGGCCTATGAATTGAGGGAGAGGTCATAATATACAATTTATTTATTTTTTAAAAAGGGTGAGCTGGATGTCCGTTGGAGGATGACCTGGCCGAAGCGGTGGTATCAGTTTGAATTAAACTCCGCCGCGGGAACAACATACCTCATCCCGCCCCCCCAAGGAAGGAATTCGGATTTCACTCTGACTTCAAAACGAGGAAGAGCAGCAGTATTATCGCGTCAAGCCGTCTTCATATGCCCTCTTTCGTCCCACCGTCTGGTCAATCGGGGCGGCGAAGCGGAGCTCTGCGGCGGCGGCGACGGCGGAGGTGGCGGCGCCGGTATCTGGAAGTTCTGTGTAAGCGCTCCTCCCGTCCTCTCGGGGATTCGTTCTAGGGTTGTGGTCTGAGAATTGTTGAATCGGTTGGCGGAGATTCTAAGGGAGAGGGAGGAGGGAGGAGGGCGGAGGCGTTAATCCCTAGGAAGTCGGCAATGCTGAGGAAGCCCGAGGGGAGGAAGAGACCCGGACTTGGGGGGGAGGCCGGCAATGGCGGCCGCCTCCTCGACGAGATAGAGGCCCTCAGCAGGGCGCTCTCCCTCAAGAAACCCGCCGCCAGTCCAAGATCTCTCCCCTCCGAGATCCGCCAGAGGACAATTTCCGCCGGCAAGTCGCAATTCCCGGAACCTCGCTCAAAGCCGAGGGCTCTCGCGAATGATTCGCAGCTTCCGCTTCTACCACAGAAGGATAAGAAATCTTCCTCATCCTCCTCGTCGAATTCTTCGTCGATCTGGAACTGGAAACCTCTCAGAGCTCTCTCTCACATACGTCATCGACGATTCAATTGTCTATTCACTCTGCACGTCCACTCGGTGGACGGTCTCCCTCCCAGTTTTAATGGCACAGCTCTCTGTGTTCGTTGGAAGCGCAACATTGCCGAGCTCGGGCTGTGTACCCGCCATAGCCAGATCTCACATGGCGTCGCCAAATTTGAGGAAACCCTGGAACACCGGTGCGCAGTGTACGGAAGCAGGGGCGGCGGGCCCCACCACACAGCCAAGTACGAGGCAAGGCAGTTCATCCTATATGCGTCTGTCGTGGGGGCACCGGAGGTCGACCTCGGGAAACACCGGGTGGATCTAACGCGGCTGCTGCCGCTGACTCTTGAGGAGCTCGAGAAGGGGAGCACAGGAAAGTGGAGCACCAGCTTCAAGCTCTCAGGAAAGGGGAGGCATGCCTCGCTGAATGTTAGCTTTGGGTTCTCTGTGCTGGACGGCGGGGATCTTGCAGAGTCTGGCGGTCGCAGGAAGGTTTCTGAGCTTCCAACGGTCGAGCCTGAGGATATGGTGAACTTGGCTGGCAGGCATATCTCGTTGAGAAAAGTGGGGCGCCTTCCTGTCCCGAATCTTTCATCCAAGAGTCAGTCAGATCTTCCATCTCGATCGGTGGAGGATACCAGTGTCCTTAATGAAGTCTTACCGATTTCCAGATCAGAACTTGTGGGTCTGGATGATGTTGATCACCAGTCAGCTGACGAGAAAATAGATGAGAATGAAGCGGAAAATCTAGTGGATGACGTCACATCAGAGCTCGAAGTCTCTACTCCACAGTCTGAATCGTCTGTCTTGACCTCGGAGCCAATGATAGAACCGGGGAAAAGGGATGCAGAGGGGCCTGTTTATCACGAGTTCACAGTGGTTGAGCAGGGAATAGAAATTACAGGCAAGACAGGCGTGGAGGGTGATACGGTGGAGCATGATGAGCACGGGGTAGTTTGTAACGGAGATGCAGGAGATTCAAGAGATGATGTAGACGAAGATGATGCACCACTCAATGCTCCCAAGGGGGACGGTCATAATGCACCAGAATATTTGCCTCGGCTGTTTGCATCTGGTGGAGAGCTTTCAGTCTGCAATTTCAACAACCAAGCAGAAAGCATGTCTGATAGTGAACTAATTATGGAGGAGCTGGAGTCTACCTTAGATAATCTTTCAATCTTCGAGTCAGGGGAGTTTGAGGCTAAGAATGCTGAAGAAGAGTCACTCGAGGAACCATGCTACGTGGATACCAGCTCAAACAATGGCATGGGGGAGATGAGCACGACCCTTAGCTTGGATGATGTCACAGACACGGTTGCCAGTGAATTTTTGAGCATGCTTGGCATAGAGGATTGTCCATTTGAGTTTAGCTCTGATAGCGACCCTGAATCACCAAGGGAGCGTCTCTGGCAACAATTTAAAAATGAATCCTTGGTGGATGTGGAAAGCATCTTTGGTCTTGAAATGGAGGGAGAAACCGAGTTGGATTGGTGCGATTCATCAGAGGACTTTGATCTGTCATCTATGATTCACGCTGCTGAAACAGAGCATCAGAAGGCAACTCAGGCATTGCAAAGCAAGACAAGAGCCCAAATGTTGGAACATGCAGAGGCTGAAGCTTTGATGCATGAATTGGGCTTGGACGAGAATTCCTTCCACAACTCACCACCTGGGGGCACGAGTGGTGTTGACGGTCCTAGAGATCTACCTTCTGAAGAGCCACTTGACCTTCCTCCTCTAAGTGAAGGTCTAGGTCCATTTGTTCAAACGAAGGATGGAGGATTCTTGCGATCAATGAATCCATCTTTGTTCGGAAATTCTCAGCACAATGGGAGCTTGATAATGCAGGTCTCAAGCCCTGTTGTCGTTCCAGCGGAAATGGGTTCCAGTGCCATGGAAATATTACAGTGCTTAGCCTCTGTGGGAATTGAGAAGCTCTCAATGCAGGCCAGTAAACTAATGCCTTTGGAAGACATCACTGGAAAGACAATGCAACAGGTCGCATGGGAAGCTGTTCCTGCTCTGGGGATGCAGGAGAGGTCTGTGATTTTTATCCTTCCTCTATTTCACTGGAATAACTCTGAGTGTTTGACTATAGATCTTCTTTTCTTATCCACTCTCTCATTCCATTCTTATTTTCACTTCTCTACGCTTTCCTACAGGCAGGATTTTTCTAAGCAGATGATGCTGGAGGCTGAGTCAGGACTTGGTCAGGGCACTGCCGGCAAGAACAAGAGAGTGGCCAATTCAATATTGAGTTCATCAAGCAAAGTAGGCCATGATTATGTTTCTCTAGAAGACCTTGCACCGTTGGCAATAGAAAAAATCGAAGCCCTATCTATTGAGGGCCTAAGAATACAATCAGGAATGTCTGATAAGGATGCTCCCGCTAATATAAAACCTCATTCAATCGGTGAAATTTCTGCTTTGGAAGGAAAAGATGCCAAGAACTGCATATCCCTTGGACTAGACGGTGCTGCTGGACTGCAGCTTCTGGACATCGAAGACTGCGTCGATGAAGTTGATGGGCTGATGGGTCTGTCAATTACTCTGGATGAATGGATGAAATTAGACTCGGGTATAATTGATGAAGATCAGATCAGTGATAGGACATCTAAGATCCTTGCTGCTCATCATGCGACCTCCACAGAAATGGTTCCTGGCGGGTGCAAGGGAGACAGAAGAGGGAGAAGCTCTGGAAGAAAGTGGGGTTTACTGGGAAACAACTTCACAGTAGCATTAATGGTGCAGCTTCGAGACCCGCTGCGCAACTATGAACCTGTTGGCACTCCAATGCTTTCTCTAATTCAGGTAGAACGGGTTTTCGTTCCTCCAAAACCTAGAATCTATTGCACTGTTTCTGATGGAGGGAACAGTGAGCAAGCAGAAGAGCCAGAGGCAACTGTTAAAGCAGCTGAGACGAAGGAGGAAGAAGAGGCTGTCTCACCTCAGTTTAAGATCACCGGAGTACATGTTGCAGGTCTGAAGACTGATCCTGGTGAGAGAAAGATTTGGGGCAGTTCAAATCACCAGCAGTCTGGCTCCAGGTGGCTGCTCGCCAATGGAATGGGAAAGGCCAATAAGCATCCCCTCATGAAATCAAAACCCTCTCAAGCATCCACCTCCCAACATAACGCAAAGGCGCAGCCCGGTGAAGCACTCTGGAGCATTTCTTCACGCTTCCATGGGAAGGGGAGCAAATGGAAGGAGCTGCCATCTCTGAACCCTCACAGAAGAAACCCGAACATCATTCTTCAATGAGAGCGGAATTACTCTACTGCAATTGAGCACCAGCTGCGGTGGATGATTTCTTGATGCCCGATCATGCTGCCAATTTCTCCCAACAGGATGGAGATACAGCAGCGGATCCAGGCTCTGGGTACGCGCCAATATAACCTCTGATGTGCCGGAGCTGCTCTGGGGAAGGTCGGGCAGGAAGATCTCACAAAGCTCCTCCTGAAGAGCCCCCATGCTGCAGGAGCTCATCCCATCTCCATCCCCGTCATGGCCTGGGCTTCGTGGATTCAGAGCAGGGAAGTCTCTACGGATGCTCCTCGTTCCCAGGTCATTTGCCTGCTCTCAGATCTCCTGAACTTACATTCCGAAGTGCATGCGGCTTGGAAACTGGCGCTGTGCAGTGGAAAGCCCGAAATTTTCATTTTGTACAGTTCAATTTATGCTTCGCTATTCAGCCACATCGACCGATCGAGCATCTTTTGCCACGTGGGTCGCCCTCAGCCACCCACGTCTTTCTCATTGCCACGCTGGAGGCGGGCGGGGTCGCAGAGAGAGAGAGAGAGAGAGAGAGAGAGAGAGAGAGAGAGAGAGAGAGAGGCCGAATTAGGGTTGAGTATCCCAATTTCTTTTGCACAGATACCACTGTTTTTTTGGTCTATCGAGCATCCAGGAAAGAGGGGAAAAGAAGGAGAAAAAGAAGAAGAGCAGCAGGGGACGTCCGCCTGGAAACAGTAACTCACCGCCCGCTGCTGCCATCGGCCGAATGGGCCGGATCTTCCTCCTTGGGGAACGCCGCCGGGTCTGCCTCCGCCAGCAGGCGTCTCAGGTGCCTGTCTTCCAAGTGTTGCTGCACAAATTCCTTCCCGGGTCAGATTCTCTCACCTCCAATCTTCAACCAACCAGGAAAAATACTGCCCCTAATGAAACGCGCCATCTGGGTAAAACGCTCTGATCAGGAGAGAGAGAGAGAGAGAGAGAGAGAGAGAGAGAGAAGTTTCTATCTAGATCAGGAGCTTGATCTAGATAGCGATAGTGTGGGCGGCTCACCAGAAAGAAAACCATGGCAGAGGCTGAAAATACGACGAAGACCAAAGAATTATTTGAATGGCATCCAAACCTAGGGGAATCTGATCATTCTATAATCTTTTGATATAATAATATAAACGGGCAGCTTGATAGAGGGCAAAAACTTGGTGGGTTGAACGAAAGAAAAATGCTCAGGCCGTGATAATTTCTCCTTGTTTGATCCACCCGTGACAAATATTTTGAACGACTCCCCAGTTCGTCACAGGCTCCGTAGTTCAAGAATGTTCAAGATTCTCTCATCGACTGTGCATACGCTGTTCATCTTGAGCCGAAAAAAGAAAGTATGCAAGAGACCCATGAATCGATCTCATCTGTCTGTGTGGAGGTTGATCGGAGGAATGGCTGCTCTCTTGTTTTCTTGATGCGGCATGATGTGTGCAGTTAGCAGGAAGAAAGACATGGAAGAACAGGATTAGAAACAGAAACGGAGGAAATCAAAGCGAGAGACGCGATCTTCTTCGAAGCGAGTAGAGATCAGAAATGGGGGACAGCCGGAGGGCACGTACGGCTAGGCAGGCCCTGTACTTCTCCCACTCGGCGACGCATTCCTCCTTGTCCCACTGCCCCTTGGAGAACTTCTCCGAGTACCACCTGCGATCGCCGCCAAGCTTCGACCCATCAGCAACAAAAAGGGGACGAAATCGAGCCCCCCTTAAAGAAGGGTATCGTTCTCTCTCCCTCACCTTCTTTCTGCAAGGAGAGAGAGGGAGAGAGAGAGAGAGAGAGGAGAACCTATTGAAGCAGTCATGGTACTCGGCACGGAGCTGGGAGCAGGGGGATGCATAGGAGGATCTGTTCTTGGCGCCCATGGATGATGATGGATGGACCCAGCGGCGCCGAAGAGTGGAAGAGGAAGAGAGGGAGAGACGGGGCGAGGGGGGAAGCGGATGCGGCGAGCTGACTCGAGCCTAAAACTGCTCGGCGACCGAGTCGCCGCCGACCTGTTGCCCGTCGACTTCCGCCATTCGCCTCCCCTTCTTCGAGGGAGGAGGCCGCGTCGGCAGACGACGGGTTGGTGACTCGCTGGATCGGCCCCGCAGTGACTCGGGATCCTTCCGTGCCTCTCCGGATCGAGTCGGAGCGCGGTGGAATCGGTCGATCCCGAATTCCTAATCCTGATCTTGCGTGGGAATATTCCGATTCCGCCCGAAGTATTTGTAGCATCGTTGTATGGCATTCAATTCTCTAGTAATTGCGTACACACTTTATTCTATCGTAATTGTGTACTTTCTTGGGATCGCCCGGGTTGGTTCCCGGAACCAACTCGATCCCATCTGATTCCATCCAACCTAATCCGCGTTCGCAGGTTCCCATCGGGCCCGCCGAATCCGGGGCCTAGTCAAGGGGCCCACATCTGGGCCCGCTCTGACCGACTCATTTCAATCTTATCCCTTGCCAATGAATTCCGGGCCCGACGCAGAACCCGGTCCCTCTGCCACATTGCCTCCACGTCACCAATGGCCCACAGCGCTCCCCCTCCAAACCCACCAGGGGAGAGGGAGTAGGGGAGAGAGAGAGAGAGGAGAAGAGGAGAAAGAGAGAGAGAGGGTATAAGACAGGAGGGAGATGAGAATATCTTTACAGGGGGACTAAGAATCCACAAGAACTAGATTTCTGAAAGAGAAATTTATAGGGTGGCTCGACCTGACCTGAGTCGAGGCATTCTACGCATCCTGAAGATTCACGGGCCTCATACTCGAACCCTGTTGAAGGAGAAGTCAGAGAGGAGCGCAGGGATCAAGGAGATCACAGGACCGTAGACCTGCAAACACACAGCTTTGCGCGATTTACTGGGTCGCCGACGAAGGTTGGGCGCGTGGCCGAGAAAAACCTGAGTTAGTACCGCCCCTACCTCTGAGCTTTCTTGAATCCGGGACAATGGAACCGCCAGCAGTTTGAGGTTTCTTGGGACGACGAATCGCCGGTTCCTGGGCAGCCTCACCAGAAAAATCTTCATGCATTCCTGAAGAGGAAAAGATTACCAGAGTGCTTTGGATCAATCCGAGAAGAAGATGCTTGGATTACCTTCGGATTATCAGGAGGCGGGTGAGGATGCGGTAAACCCTCAAGATCGGATCTCCACCACGTTCCAAGGCATTCTCCAATCTGGAATCGGAAGAACACCGTTTAAAAAGGAGATGATTCGCCACAGAGGAATGCGACAGATTAAGAGGGATTCACCTGCCAGTCGTCATCTTCTCCACTCAGATTAAGAGAGAGCTTACTCGAAAGTTTCCTCTTCAGTCCTTGAATATCTGCAACTTTCGTTCCCATCATGACTCGTCAGAATGATTTCCACTCGATCATAGGAAAGGCATGCATCATTGCTGTTAAGCTATGCAATCAACGTAATCAATCAGACAGAACAATGGGAAGATTCCACAGAAAGATACCCGGCTCTCCAGGCCGCAATCTCCCCCCTGGAAGCTTAAAGAACGAGTTCCTAACTTGCAGGAGGAGGGCGTGAGGTTCCTGAAACAGCTCCACCTGAAGGCAAGATCACAACAGTTGAACCATCACATTTATGCATGCACAAGCATCTCTCATTGAATCATTGAATCATGAATCAGAGCTCATGTAAATTGAGACAATCTGACCGTGCTAACTCGGAAAAAGCTGCTGCCTGCTGGAGAAAAAAAAATGCTAGTTTCATGAGACCAAGTTCCTACTATTTAAACTATTGTTTTGTAAAATTCTACCATGAGCATATTTATTTCCATTTTAGGCAATCTTTTAGAAGCAGATACTCTGAAAGGCACGATCTTGTGAACGGGTTTTTTTTTTTTTTTTTTTCTAATTTCATTTTACTTGAGAAGAAGGGAACTACACCCAGATAAATACTCGAATCCCAATGGCTAGACAATTAATATACCACTCGGGTTCTCTTCAGGGTTCCACTCAAGGTACTTCAAAAGAAGATCTGATGGAAAACGTAATTATGATCGATATTTTTCCAATTCGGTATAATATGCATTTACAGTAAAAAAAAATATTGGGCGAAGAACACCGAGGAACATCCAGTCACTCGGAAGGTTGAAGAGCAACAAAAAACAGACGAGGATGACTTACCAGAAGAACTCCCCCCACGCACGTCCGCAGGCCATGCCTCGAATAGCTGCCGATCGTCGTAAATCGCCAGGGATGCACAAACGATGTTAGGCGCGGGAGAGAAGTAGCTTCGTTGCAGAGCACGGAACCTAATTTCGGGAGAAAGACGGCGATGGAATCCGAATTCAAACAAAGGAAAAGGGGGCGTGCACGAGGTAGATCCCATCACGTACTTGGATTGCAGACGCTGGACCCTATCGGTCAGGTTATCATCCTTCTCCGGAACGGCTTCCTTAGAATCGAAGACGTAGCGACTCAGGGGGTATATATCGACTACGCCACTGTTTTGTCCAGCGCCCCCGCTTTCGAGGGTAGTCTCCTCTCCCATCTCGCCTCAGCTACCGCTGCCGCCAGCGGCGCCGCCGTCAAGCAGGCGGTGAGAGAGCCGGCCGACGAGCCCTGCCGTAAGATCGTAGCAGGCTCCCCCGCCCACTGGACTTGGCGATGAAGGGGATAAAGGAAAAAAGAAGACCGCCGTCAACGGGTCGGGCCTAGAGACCGACTCGAAATTGGGTTTCGGGCTCGGCTGACGAACATTTACATGAAACCCAGAAAAGTACCACAGTTTCATTTAAACCCTAATTTTATAAACACGGGCCGGGCCTAGAGACCGACTCGAAATCGGGTTTGGGGCTCGGCTGACAAACATTTATATGAAACCCATAAAAGTAACATAGTTTTAGTTAAACCCTAATTTTTATTTTATGCACATGCGCTGTGAAATTTACAGATTACAGCGTCCCACAAGGGGTCCTTCGCAAATTCCTGGACTTAAATTTACAGATTCTTATTTTACAATAAAATACGAAAGTATATGATTTTTTATGTATCAGACGTCCAGGAAGATAAAAAGGCTCCCGATCGCCCCCGCCTGCTGATTCAGCAGGCTGCTGCCATGGAGCCCCTACAATGGAAGACCTGCGTCGGGGACCTTGGAATCAGCCTTCTTCCTACCAGGGGAGAGTAAGATGGCGATCAGCCCGAGCGCCGAGAGGACGGCGAGCCAGACGATGCCGAGATGGGGAAGTGGGAGGGATGTGGAGCCCAGAGAAACTACGGATCCCACCAGAAACCATAGCCCGATATACATCACCTTCCTCGCCTTGATCTCTACTGGGGGGTTCATGGGGATATCGGAGATGTGGAGGCACAGGAGGCCAACTCCCAGGAGGAAGGTGATATACTCGAAGACGAGGCAGAGCGTGATGCAGATGAAGGGTACGTCCAGGTCCTCGGTGGGGGAGTTCACGAGGAGGACCACGGCGCCGCCGGTCAGTACTGTGCCGGCTGCGCCGGCCGATGTGATGATTCGCATGTAGGCGACTTCCTCGGCGGCGGTGGCGGGCGAGAGGACTACGCTGGTATCAATTGGGATGGCCACGTCGCCGCGGGGAGTTGGGATCCCCGGGGGGCATCCGCTGCCAGCTCCCACAGGAGTGTTGACTCCGCCGGCGAGATCGCCCTTCATCTTCTCCCCTTCAGAATTTTTGGGGTCCTCGATCAGAGGCTCCACCTTCTACTACCAAACCAGAATTCGAAAGGAGGGTTGAGCCAGGGGACTGACCTCTTTATGGACTCGAGAGTGCCGCACGTCTTGGAAAATTGTCCGCTAAGGTACCCAAAGTCAACGAAGTGACGACATTTTGACTGAACTAGGGTCGAATGGCGAGGGCGAGAGCTGGAACTCTTATCCCCCCTCCGGGTGAAGAGCCCTACGAGATGGAAGTAGAGAGAGTGACAGACAGAGACAGAGGGAGAGATCGAATATACCTGGTAACTGCACATACAGAAACACAGCAGAAGAGGAGCAGGGGAAGGCCGTCGGTGAGAAGGCAAACCAGGCGATCTCGTGGTGCCTACGCTGCCACCAAGCGAGTCACCAAAACGCCACACGCCACCATTCCTCCCTGTCGATCACTTCTCTCTCCCCTTTGACTACCGCGCCCTGTGTCAACATTAGCTGTCCTAGCAGTCTACCTCAACCTAATAGCGTCTCACGTGGGCCTGAGGAGGCAACCTAATCTCTCCCCCTCCGCCTACCACGAAGAACCTCTGCTGTAGAGAGAGAGAGAGAGAGAGAGAGAGAGAGATGCAGATAAGAACCTGGACACCTTGTAAGGGCAAATCCCAGACTATTCCATTGCGTTTAAGCGCTGGTCTTGAACCGCATGCGCAGCCTCAGGTCGATCCGATGACGGTGATGTTGTAATCACTGCCTTTTTGGACGGCGAGCGGCGGGGTCCGCGCGGCTCCACCTCTCCACCCGAGCAGCGGCGCCGTTCTTCCTGTGCCAGGCCAGAATCCTCTTGCGGGCCAAGGTGCAGGCCTCCTCGTTGGCCATCGCTGTCCCACAGGCCGTCCCTGGCGAGGATGAGGCTGTCGTCCTCCTTGGTCCCGGGGAAGACTGTGACTTCCGGATCTGGGACTACTTGGGGCTTAAGATACCCATACACAAACGTGATGAATTACCTTTAGATTCTCCACACATGTGAGTGAGCACGTGAGGAGAAGCAACTGTACCACCAAACCCTCTGTTTTGTGAGGGAGAAGCACGGTTTTCATTTTTCGATTTCTCACGTTTCTGCCTGTCGATCAGGATTACGTAGGTCTCCTCCCTTCCGCTCAGCCACTGTAGCATGGCATCACAGCGGGATTAGGGTTTCTGATACTTTCCTTTATCTTCCCCCTCTCTCCAAGCTCACTTTGTTGCAAGCTGGCCATCCCTCTGGTCCGGACGACAGCGGTATTAGAGGACGACGAGAAATCCATCGCCGTACGCTATATTTCTGTCTTTCCAAGCCATCTACAGCTTCAGCATGACAATCCAATGATCTTGAGGATGGTGGATATATAGAAATTTTATAGTTATTAAAAATATTTTTTTAATAACTCTCCCCTCAAATTTTTAGCTACATGATGTTATCATACAGTAGTTACATTTACTCAATGGTAAAAGACGATGAAGGCTAATGAGATGCTATCTGAATATATTATGTTGTTATTAGTTCTATGACTATCAACCTGATATCACTTTTTGTCATAAATAGTTGACAACTTGTTCAAGAAATGTCAATAATGCTTTCCACAATGACAACAAATTTGAAATTAGGCACCATTGATAGTGTACACCCAATGTACTAATCGAACTAAGATGATCTTATATTACAAGAAGGGGAATTGAGAACGATTTGATGAAATGTCATCCATGCTAGAGGTGACTCTAACCATCACATGAAAAATTCAATAGCCAACAATTAGAAACCCACCAAATAACAAGAAATAATTAATTATAGTTGATGGTGGGAGGTGAGGCGAGCATCAATATACATGGTCAGTTCATAGATTGTTTAAAAAATAACTAATATCCTTGTGTGAAGTCATGCTTCTTTTTTTAGTGTAATTCTCTATGCTGAATGAGAAAATTGATTATCTTGAATTGATACATCTGAAGAGTGCTCTCACAATCTCTCTCTTTATCTCTCTCTCTCTCTCTCTCTCTCTCTCTCTCTCTCTCTCTCTCACTCACTCACTCACTCACTCACACACCTAATTCTCAAGTGTCACTATCTCTCTTCTTAATGTTATCTAGAGTTGAATCTTCCCTATTTTCTAATCATTCCTTCCATTTGAACCTAATGTCGTTCAATGAGCAAGAAGATTCCATCAATTTGGTATAAAGGCCATGACACTCAATCAACATGAAAAGAAAGTACTATTTAGAAAAGAGTTGTAAGAGCTACATCAAATCTTTTTATTATTCAACATAACATTGCAATAGTCTTTAAAACCAAAAATAAAATTACACAACTGAAATAATAGGTGGATCATGTCATATATATTGTTAACAATCTATGATGTCATTTAAGTTTTTTCTTACATCATACCTATGTTCAATGACAAAGATCTAAATGATTTGATTTTTGATGTTAAATTATTTTTTTATATAAACCCACAATTGTCAAAATTCTTATTGCAATCAATTTAGACTTAGAAGGCAAACCTCTTACGTGGTTCAATGGATGGACTCACACAAACCTTTATAATAGCAATTGTTTGAATGATTCAGCTCCAACTAAATGACATCTCTTTATTGTAAATTCTTGCAGATCAAGTAGTGAAGTACAATCTTGGATTATCAAAGAAAATTTAAATTGATGATAATATTTTTGATAATCTACTTAAATATGTCCTTGAGAATACTTTTCTTAAGGGCTTGTAAAGAGAGATTTAGGTAAAGATTTTTCATCAAACATTCAAAGGCAAAAATAATGATTAGAATGACTCAAAAAGTTGAAATGAAGTGTAACACATAGTATTTGAAAAACTTTACTAAGATCCATGGTTTCAAATGCCTTGTTACATCTATTCTAGTTTGCAACTGCATTGAAGGAAGGGACATGAATTAACTCCCTTAATAAGGGGACAATTGAAGCAACTGAAAAATTTTCATAGACGCCTCAACAAACATGAAAGTATTGTTGTGATGAAGGAACAAAAGAATCAATCTTACTTTTCATAAATTCAAGAACAACATGCCAAAACTTTTTTTTTGTCCTATGACAAGAAGTTTTCTTGAAATCATCATTTAGAAAGAGATTTGCACAAGCCTTGAACTATCACTCAACTTCTTGGCTGAAAACTTTTCTATCCATAAAAGACCTTTAATTTTAAATAAGATTTAACAAGAGGGTAGTCACTATTTAGGTCTTCTTTTAACAACAAAACATCACATAACTTGATGTCAAACAAAGTTATTCTAACTACAGCCACACCTCATTTTCATGTAATTAAAGGAACTAATGAGAAGATGCAAAGAGTAGCAATATGTTGAAACATCATACCGAAATTGTTATATTCTATCATGCATAAACACTTATTTTGTCATTATAATTGTTGACATAATCTTAAAAAATAAATGAATGAAGACCCTAAAGGATATCACACTGAATCTAGAACATTTTATGTTTTGTCTCATGTCTAAATTTGAACAAAATTTTATATGACAATCAATTTACACATCATAGATTATAATACAAACAAATAACCAATCTAAAATGAGATTATTGTTGATTTCAACAATCATTTTTTATGCAATGAGTTGATAAAATATTTGAAATTAGTTGAAATAATAGAGGATTTATTTGAGATTTTGATTAATGTTGACAACTTCTTTTCATTGATTTGATATTGTCATAAACTTTTTAAGATTTAAGAGGAGGTGGTGGAGAATAAAATGACATTAAAGTAGTTTGAAATTTTATTTAATATCTTGTTATACTAATTGTAAGCTTAGCCAAGCTTTAGAGGTTCATAGACATGTTTTGAAAAATACAAAGAAATATCTGTAAAACTTATGAAAATTGAATTTTGATGAGTGTTTTTTAGTTTTAGTTTCCACTTTAGTTTTCATATACTAGTTAGACACTGCCCATGTGTGACATACAACGTTAGAAATCTTAATAATTTTCTTAAAACTTTATTTTTTCCTCCTTATCACAATATATTTTTCATTATTTACTATTTATCTTAATGAAGCCAATTGATATAAAAAATCAAAAACACATGCTGATACTAGAATAATAACTTTTTTACTTTACACAAAATCATTATTATATTTAGACTTAAATATGTTAACTTTTGTAGCCCTAATGATAACTTAATTGAGTTTCATAATATCTAATAACATGGCCTTCAACTGACAAGAAGGTGAGCCAAGCATTATCCTTTTAAATACAATAACTTCGACAATGTTCAATGTGTTCATGAACACTTAGTTCTTGCTCTTTTGTACTTCTTGGTCTGAGAAGTATTGTTGTGCTGTCCCCTAATTTTTGTATAATTTTACAGAATCTCTATTGAGTGTTAAGATGCTCGATGTTGAGAAAATGTTCGGCACAGGATTGAGCATTTCAGAGTGGAGCCATGCCAACTATATGACAAGCCAGAAGAGGGTGTGCTCTAAGAAGAGGGAGAGCATCAGGGAGGCTCACATCCCCGGCCGGCTGTAGGGTTTCACAAAGAGAGCCACGGCGCAAAGGGCAGTACTGTGCCTGCTGCGCTGGCCGATTTGACTCGCCTGGAGGCGACTTAACAATAGTCAACGAGTGATGATATCTCAACTAGCATTCTTATCCCTCCTCTGGGTGTAGGACTCTACAAGCTGAAAGCAACATGATGGACAGAGACGCAGAGAAAGAAAGAGGAGGGAGGGAGAGAAAGAGATTGAACTTCCCACGGGTCCGCCCATGGATCGCCATCATTGGCCCGCACGTGCCTTGGTGACTTGATTGGCACCAGCAGCTTCCGTTGCCAGCGGTGCAGCAGTTGGCTCCAAGCAAGTCACTGAGACACCGTAGGCCTCTATTCCTTCCCATCGGCAACCGCTTCTCTGTTGAGACCCGAACAACCCAAATGAGCTCAATAGGAAAAACGTCCCGAAGAAGTCAGCCCAGCCCTAGGAACAAGGCAAGGCTGACAGTAGTCAGACACCAAAGGAGACAAACACACGTGAGAGCCTGTAGGATAGGAGACATGTGCAGCAGATGGAATTTGGCGGGGAACTGTGGCAGACCCGACAACGATGGAGCACAGCAAGGCTCATGTACCGTCAGACTTAGGCTATAAAGAGGGGTCGAGCGGCCACATGAAGAGGAGGTCGGAAGAACCTCGTGAAGACTCCGTGCGGAGTGGAGATTCACTCTCTCGAATTGGCAACCCCAAGACCTGAGAGGTACTGGTTATTGCATTCCCTCTCTCTGTATCCCCTGTGTTCTCGTCGACTATCATCCTCTCTTCCTCTCTCTCTCTCACTGATCTCTTAGCCGTTCACGGCCTTCTGACATGAGTTATTCGGAGCCCAGGGCATTTGGAGTTTTGTATTAGACCAGTTTGTTTATCAAACTTGTCTGTGTTTTGACACCTCAGTCAAAGGGTGCTCATCAATTGGTATCAGAGCACAACCATGCTTCTATGGGGCCCAAATCCTCCGTTCCCAAACTCGACTCTCTCTCGAAAGAGCTAGAGTAATTTTGGCACCTCACCAGCAATGAACTGACAGCTCACACCGAACAACTTCAAGCAATATGCGCGGAATAGACAGACATGTGCCAAGACTGGATTTAATCTCTCACAAACTAGGGTCGATTGTCCACATCTTGGACAACATCCAACATTAGGTAGACATTTCTTCTAGTCGAGCTGACAAGAAGAAACGTTTTCTAGAGACATCGGAGGAGTGGCTCCCAGGAGATACCAGTGTAAGACAACCTCCGGCTCGCCTGGTAACCCCTATTATCGAGAAGATCTGTTAGCCAACTCATACCCCCGCGACAGTGCGCCTGACTGCTGCCATCCCTGAGGACCTCTGGAATCCAACCCTTGGCGGCAACTGGAGTTTCTCATCTTTATTGAGTCCGAACCAGAAAACTAGATATATTGTGTGGAGATATATTTCTCCACCTATTGACTAACAACGCCTGAGCAACTAGCGGAGGCGTGCATCAGCATGGACAAGAAAGCCATCTAGTGGCTCTAGTGGGTTGAATCCCGGTGGTCGTTCTGCAACTGAGAAGATCTCAAGTACAAGCTCTGGAATGCTAAAGAGATAAACACTCAAGCTCCCTCAACCATTAGTTTCTTGAACTCGAACAAATAGGGTTGGTGGAAAATTATCGGGAGCAGTTTGAATTACTGTCTTGTGCACTCTGCGACGTGCCAGAGGCCATTCTAAAAGAGGTCTCCAGTGGGAGATACAAGCAGAGGTGCTTGCCCTCAACCCACATGGCTTTGAAGCAATGATGTAAACAGCCCAGAGGGTTGAAACCAAGTTAATGACGCTGACAAACAGAGGTCGACGACGGCAAAGCAGAGGAGCGGAGAAAGGGTTTTCGGTGTACAATGAGCATCCGTTACACCCCCTGCCAACTGGTGCGAGTAGCTACAAAGAAGAACAGGGGCCAGAGCCACTTGGCAAGCACATCGGCCCACATAGTTGATGCCACTTTGGCAGATCAATGATGACGACTGCACCTCACAGCGGCAAAAATCTAGGCTCGAAGGGGTCAAGACCTCTACTTCCACTGCGACAAGAAATTCACACTCGACCATTGGTACAAACATGAGCTGGATAGTTTATTATCCCCCGCTGACTCTAAGTACTGACCGGACAACGATCAAGCGGAGGAGCTCTTCCTAAATACATCCCCAAAAGACGATGAGACTGTCCAGCTCAAAGTCTCTTATGTTGACCCACGGGGAGAAGATGTCGGCCACAGCTGCTATGAGGGAACAAGCTCACGACACCTACCGGCAGTCTCCCGACTTACAACTTGAGGACAAGGTGTGAAATTGTGGGGGTGGGGGAGAGTATTGTTGAGACCTGAACAACCCAAATGAGCTCAACAGGAAAAAGGTCCCGAAAAAGTTGGTCCAACCTAGGAACAAGGTAAGGTTGACAGGAGTTAGATGCTGAAGGGGACAAACACACGTGAGAGCCTGCAAGATAGGAGACGTGTGCGGCAGATGGAATTCAACAGGGAACCATGGCAAACCCGACAATGATGGAGCATGGCAAGGTTTAAGTCCTGTCAAACTCGATTGAAGTGAGCCGGGTGGTAGTTGCCGACGCTAGAGGACTTAGGCTATAAAGAGGGGTCGAGTGGCCATAGGAAGAGGAGGTCGGAAGAACCTTGTGAAGACTCTGTGTGAAGTGCAGATTCGCCCTCTCAAATCGGCGACTTCCTCTCTCTCTCGCCGATCTTTCCGCCGTTCATGGCCTTCTGGCATGGGAGTTATCCGGAGCCCAGGGCATCTTGAGTTTTGTATCAGACCAGTTTGTTTATCAAATTAGTTCGTGTTTTGCCTCAATCAAAGGGTCCTCATCATTCTGCCCCAAAACTCTACCCCAGACCCTAGATCCAATCTCTCCGCCACCCCCCACGACATTCCGTGCACGCTTTCTGTAGATGTCGACCCATCACACCAACGCACAGAAACCCCATGAAACCTCTAGCTCTAGCAAGAGAGAGAGAGAGAGAGAGAGAGAGAGAGAGAGAGAGAGAGAGAGAGTATAAGAACTATAGAGGGCAAATCTCAGGCTAGGAAGCAACACCCAGTGGAACCTACGTCGATCGAAAACGCAAATAGGCTAAGAAATATGCATATATATAGATTATAAAGATGTGAGATAAAGAGATATTATTCAATTGCGTGTACAGCTCTGGTCTTGAACCGCCTGTGCGGCCTAAGGTCTATCACGATGACGGTGATGTTGTCCTCGCTGCCCTTCTGGTGGGCGAGCCGGGCGAGGTACCCGGCGGCGGCCTGGGCAGCGGGGTCGGCGCCACTATACCTCTCCGTCGAAGCGGTGGCGGTAGCGCCGTTCTTCTTGTGCCAGGCCAGAATCCTCTTGCGGGCTGCTGTGCAGGCCTCCTCGTTGGTCATGACGTCCCACAGGCCGTCCGTGGCGAGGATGAGGCAGTCGTCTTCCTTCGTCCGGCGGACGCCGTTGACTTCCGGGTCTGGGATCACCCACGGCTTCAGATACCTGTCCCCTGAAAATCAGAGCACCATTAATCCAACTTTTGTATACCTCTGGAAGATGCAACGGCTGAGGTTGACGACGACGACGATGATGATAATTCTTTCGACATTGAATCTAGGGTTTTAATCACAAACGTGATCAATCAACAGACAGTTAGCTGCCAGAGAATTTTATCTAAATCTGATGGCTCCGGATGATGGTTCGAATATCCAATGCGGCATATCAGTCACAAGGATCAACAGATGCGGCCAGGAGGAAGGTGAGGGGATCTTGCGGAAGAGCGAGGAAAGGTCAACGTGAAGGGACCATCCGAGGTTGGGAGACAGTTTTCCGCAAGTTCCACAGGAAAACGCAGATGTAGACCGACCCGGAAGCTGAAAGCTTTAAAGGAGAAGGAAGAGAGAAGAAACTCTAGAGCGAGAGGATGGATGGAAGGCTACGTAACAGAAGCAGAGAGGTTTTCAGGCATGGCTCCTGAATGAGAGACGACCCCATCAGATTTAATCACGCAAAGAAGGAGGTATTAAGGATCTGATATAAGCATGGTGCCCACCTTCATGCCAGAGATGGTGGGAGCCCGAGTATGAATATTACTTAAGGAGGTAAAAATGAAAATTCTGGAAATCATGAAATTCTTTTCGGCCCCCTTCATCTATGGCACTTTTGGAAATGAAAGAGCATGAACAGCGTGGCTCAAATCCAGAAACCCAGCATGATCCATAGAAATGGTCTGGAAGGATCGATTTCAACAGGTCCTGCTCCCATGCCTTCCAAAATCGGCTCAAGAGAAAGATTGGTTGCACTGGGTCTATAATTATTCACCCGTTATCAGGTAGGGTATTATCAGGAAACAGTGAATTACAACAATGAACGTGGGAAAAGTTATCGAAATTAGTTTCTTTTAGTGGAAATCTTGACCAGTTATGAATTCATGACAATGAATATCATCTACAATTTACACTCTAGAAATCTGTTCATGATTCTGCAGACACAATCCGAACTCAGAGGCTACTGAGTTCCCATGTCAATAAAAAATACAGAAAGGACTTTGCATGTCCAAGCTCTTACTTTGGTTATCATGCCATTATCTGACCTAGGACCATCCTCATATCCATATTTACAAAGGCAAAGAGATATCCGCAAGTGTCCTGAAACATGACTGAAAAAGACCAATGGATCGATTCTTCTCATTCTCAAACCAGAGTTTCACATGTTCACTATTAATTGACCCAAGCATGACAAACCTCGCAAAGTAGAGTGATCAGATGATCATAAGGCCATGTCGGAACTAAAACTAGTAGGGAATTCCTCGATGGCATGATCCCATTTATGCAAGCAATGATAAGAGCAAGGGGTTAATCATTTGATTGCTCTCTGTGCTGTAAAAGATGCTCGGCAAGCATCTAAATCAGGATATTTAAGCCACGTACCTATTGATCTTGACATCGCAAGGACACCAGATACCCGATACCCTCTCCACTGAATAACCTTACCTCCAGCGGCTTCAATTCGAGCATATTCGTCCTCTCTGTCAGGCTGCAACCAACAGAAGGGCATTGGCACAGGTGGCATACTATGGAAGAAAATGAAAGACTAAGTATGCAACTATGGGCCTTACTTTGTGATCAGCTGATAAAGGCAACGGTTGCTTGCCGCGACAGAGCACTGCCCTCGAATCCCCACAGTTTGCAACGATAATGTGAGAGGAACAAATAACAGCCACAACAGAGGTTGATCCTACTGTTTCTGGCGCAACGGGTTCTGCACAGCAATCGTTGCCACTGCCAGTGGATCCATGCGCTGTCCCTCCAACCTCAGCATCAACTTTTAGAAAGCAATTAGTGAAAGCACTCTCCCACAGCTTCTGTCTGTCTTTCTCGCCAATGCTCTCTGAAGCACATTCAAGATTCTTAATCTCCTCCATTAATGCCATATGCATGCGATGGCGACAGTAATTAGCTACCTAAAGAAGCGATTGGAATTCACTGCATTAGATAAGGACAACCCAAAAAAAAATGTCAATGGAAAGAAGATCACCTGGGAACCTCCATGGCCATCGTAGATTCCGAAAAAATGAGCAGTCGTCTGGGTCAAGCCTGCTTCCAATCCTCCATCTGCCGAAAATGTTTTGGTGAGCATGTGGGCTGGGATCTCTGAGAAGTGTGGGACCACAGCCAGAGCATCCTCCATCTCTGGTCTCCTTCCGCAAAAAGAAACATGGCCCCATAGAGGCACACGAGAAGACATGAGCTGACAGCACTTGCTTGCTCCACCTGCCCTGATTTCCTGTGCTGCCTGCTCATTGATGGGCCCATCGACAGGGTCGTTAACAGGCAGCACCTGCATAAGAGGATCATCTCCAGCAATGATTGGCGTCTCAGAGGTCAATCCTTCCAAAGGAGGACATGAAGGTCTCCCCAAGGTGTTGCTCACAAAATCCTTCGCATGAGGATAGGCAGGGTTTGGCGTCTCTGTCTCAGGGGCTGTATCCAGCAGCGGCAGGTCCTCAGCCATGCTGCAGCTGCTGTCGCTAACAACAGAAGGGGAAGAGACGCCACTGCTCGAGTTCACACACCACTGCTCGGGTTCAGCTGATACGATCTCATGCTTATCACAATCGGGCACCACCCAGGCCCCCAGATTAACACCATCCCCAGCCTCCTCCGTTCTTACGATGTCAGCTTCATGAACCTGGCTGCTGTCGCAGGCACAATCTTCCTCCGCCAGGGCAGCTGTCGGACCTGGAAGCAGCCTTGCAGTCTCTGTTATCAAATTTAGTTGTGTAATCTCCATGGAGTTGTCACAGTGGGTGCTGCCTATCCTAAATGGCAAAGCAACTGCAGAACACATGTCCTCCATCAATGTCTCACCCTCTGTTTTTTCTCAAAGCAAGGTCAAAGTCTCCAGTGTCCAAAGAAACAGGAGCAACAGTAGATGCACCCAGTGATCTGACACCGTGGAAAATTCAAGCTGTAAATTGTTAACGAATAGTTTGCTCCTCTTCTGTCACCCTGTATGACCATGGAAGCAATTACCAGGTCTACCCGAGCTTCTTTTTCATCACCCTTGCTAGGAAATCGCGGATGAGGATTCAGACTGTCTTTCTACTGGAAGGCTGAAACCCTAATAACAAGGTTCAAGGGAATCCATGTACAAGCTAACCGTGAGTTCCTTCCTGATCAAGGATTTCTCCAGAGAGAACATGGGGGGACGTTCGCAGGAGGGAGGGGTTAATTGAACGATGAATTTACGTCTTTCTCGTCACCCTTCGGACGTAAAAATTGGGGAACTGCACAGGTATCCTGAAAGGACATGAGCAGCGGTTTGGAGGGACGACTGTCTAACAACACAGACGCATCTTCGTCATCATCCTTGGGAGGTTAGAATCCTTCTACGGAAAGGAACAGAAAAAGGGGGGAAAAAGAGATGCAGGCCAAAGGAGAACCTTCGAATGGCCAGGGAAGAAGCAGAGAGAAAAAAAAAAACACTTAAAACCGGAAGGACTGTCACGTTTTTGGTTCACCTGGATCTGAAGGTATCCATCGCAGCCTCTACAAAAACACAGAGATGTACTGGATGGAGAAGAACATCAAACGTCTGTCTACCTTCCGCTCTGCCCGTCCATTAGGCGAAATACCACAAGAAGCGATTAATCAGTTAGTCTGCAACGTAGAAAAGAGGAAGACGATCCCCTATCCACAGGAGCACCCGCGAGGAGAGGATGGCCTGCCGGGAGCGAAGTTGCAGAAGATCGGGCTTTCTACCCATCTTGCTCGGTGCCAATCTTACTTCCCCACCCCTCTGTTTTTGTGATGGTTACCTTCCAGCTTTTACAATTTTTTCGAGCTTCAAACCCGCAGACACTGCATAGAGAGTCCTTCCCCCTTCTGCTTCAAACCCAGTGGCTCGCTTCCTCTTTACATTATATTCGAACTTGAGGCGTTGCAGACTCCGCAGGGAGAGCTTGACGAGCTATGAAAGACAACGAAATGGGGAGAGAGGGAGAGGAAGAGGCAGAGGGAGACGTCCGGAAGAAGGGGAAGATCTGTGGAAGCCATCGCGATAAAGTAGTAGTGTCTCCCCCGAATTCACCCTTCACCGGAAGCGCGGAATCATTTAAGTAATTGACGTAAATAACCCTATTATCTGATAGAATTACATCAAACCCCATTACACGTGTCAAGTATTGAACGGGTAGCAAAATAAAAACGTTACACGTGGCATATCTACAGTCGTCATTAGCTAAAAATAACAAAATCTGGATAATGCACAACCTCAGAAATCGTACGAGCAATCGACCCAAAAGTACAATAAGGGATACGATGGTAAATATCGTGCAAACCAAGGACAGTTCAGGCGCTGGGATTTTATCTTCGTATCTTCGTCTCAGGCCCAACGAACGACACGTGACACTGCCAAAGTTTAATCTCTCGACGCGTGGCACCTGCAGTCGCCGTCTTTGATTGGACTTTTCTCTCTTTCTCTCCCTCTCTCTCCAGCTTTCGTTCGCAGAATTCGTCAACTCGCGATCATCCACCAAACATCAAGACCAGATGAACGGAGGTGATTCGCCAGAAAGTACACGCGTCAAGATATGCTCGGGTCAAAGAATAATGATGAATTATGGCAGTGGTCCCCATAACCAATAGAGAAGAAGACGCGTAACGGGTAGGGATTCCCTATTTTCGCCCACGTGGAGGGACCAGAAAAACGCTTACACGTGGCACCTTCTCGCTTTTAACATCAGCACGTGGATGTAAGTTGAATCGCACCCCGCCGGAACATTTGCGTCTCTGGAGTTGGATATCTTGTTACCTTAAAATACCAAAAAATAAAATAAAAAATATCATAAAATTTTTGCCGTGTAGTGAATATCTTTGAGTGGATAGAATGAAAGACACTCAATTGCATGATTTTTCAATCCGATAAATTTAGTTGGATTGTAATTAATTAGTGGAAAATCTATGCTTGTGCAGTTCAAAAAAATATACAAAAAATATGACATGATCCATCATGCTAATAATTTGAATAAATTTTTAATATTATTTTATAATAGTATTTAATTATAATATTGTGCAATTGGATGCCATGCTTCATGGTCATTTTTACCGAATGAAACCCATGGCACTATTATTTTATTATTTTTATGAAAAATAGGATTTTAAGCATGTTGAGCACTTTATGTTATGAAAACATCAATGTGATCTGGCAAGGTGATACCTCTAGTTCTTATTTTCTCCCCTTTTAATTCGTGAATAATCTCAAGAAATGAGTTTTTATCCTACCCTTTAAAGTAACAATAAGGTCTACATTTATTTGAATAGAGGGCATCCCATTAAGATAATGATATTTTCCTATTTGCATTACGTAAGATATATTTTTCTACACACGTAGGATATAAATATGATTGTTAATTATAAATTATCTCTTATTTTATTATTAGTATAATAATATTTGGACTGAGAAGAATTGGAGAGAGAGCCAACATCCATCTCGTTTGCTTTTTTTATACCCATAAAATCATTCAATATCGTTGAATATATTAGTTCTTAAAAATTAGGGCACTATAGATGAGGAAATGTTGAGTGCATCGTTTATGCCTAACACATATATTATCAGAATTAAGGAAATAAAGCTCTTGCAAGATTGTAAGGATGGTTTCTTATATAATTACCAGGCCCTATTAATTCATGAAATCATGTTTCGAATAAGAGAAGCATTGATCATTGCAAGGGATCCATTCATCAAAGAAGGTAGATCCACTGAGGTATAGAACTTCATTGTAGGATTAGATCCCAAAGGTAGTGACTCTTTTCCTACTTATTTAAGAATATCAGAAAAAATGAAAAAAATCTAAAAACTAAAAAAATTGAAAAAGATAGGATGATTCCTCATTTCACTAAAAATTCCCCTAATAGAAATTAAACGTAATTTCTAGTTTGATTAACCTTCATTCAATTGTAAAGTGTCAAAGCTCAAAGCTCCAAATTTGAACCTCAAGATTGAACAATGAAAGCAAATATGTCTAATTCACTTTAGATTTGGATCACATATCAACTTCAATAGGACTTACCCTAAAATATGATTCCTTATTTTTCTTGTTTCAAAGTTGTCATTTATCATTGTAATCAGCCATTTTAGTTGGGCTTGGCTTTCCATGGGGCTTGACCTAAAGTTGAAACCTTCTTAAAAGAGCAAACCACATAGAAGAGACTAAAAGTAAGAGATGTTGCTTTTTGGACATGTAAATGGCCAAATTATAACTTGTTATTGTAAAAAATTTATCAAGTAGATACTGAATTTATTGATAATAGGTTATAGTTAACCCTCAACAAAATCCAATGTTGTTGGTCTCTAGGTAGGCTAGATTATGCACTAAGAGGAGGGTGGATTAGTTTTGTATTAAATTTCAGCATTTCTATGTGTTTCTCAATTATTTCTACCAATTTTGAATATAATGGGTTGACATAGTCATATACAGGTTGACATTGACAAGGTTTAGTTGGCGCATATCAATTTGGGACAAAAATAATTTTAGATTAATATAGATTTCTTAAGATAACTCAAAGTTTTTGCACATGTAGAACCTTCTGATTTAGAGTGATTTGGTCTTTCCTTAGTTTATATTTACTTTCTAAGGTCCCTTAATTTCTATCATTCTATATTATATATTTACAATTAAACTTCATTGGATCAATAAATATTTAGAAAATATAATTCAATAAATCTTTGAATTCAGACAACATTAATTTTTAATTCAAATCTTTGAGATTTAGTTAGTAAAAAATTGTATAGGTTGACATGAAAAATAATTAGTTTCACAAATTGTGCGATTAAGTTTTTAGTTTGATTAATTTTTTGATTGGATCCTTTTGCAGGCCTAACAACTTGGCATTTGTTTGATCTCTAGTTTGTCAAGATGTTTTACTCTTGTTAGAGTTTTTTATCATCGATTAGATCCTTTGTTCATGTAAGATTTCAAATTTACTAGAAAAAATATTTTTTCTCTCTCTCTTGAAATCTAGATAGATCTACATAATATTTTTTTATAGGTTGGCAAGATTTCTCTTTTTGTAGATGAGTTGACACACTATCCATATCTTCTTCTAATTTTTGATGGGTCTATTCAAACTCTTATAGGCTGACCTATTTTCTAATCCTTTACTTTTCTTTCTAAAACTCTTCATTTTTCTCTCATTTAGTTTTCATTTTTACACATATTTTATGATATCTCTTTCTTCATATGATGTTTGAAAACATATTTCTATAACAAAACTATGAAAGCATATTAATAAAAAAATATATATCTTTATGTGATTGATTGTCAACACCAAAATGTTATAGCCAATAAATGTGACCAAAGGGATGGAAAATATGCCAAATCATCTATCTTCTTATTTAAAAGAAAAACATTCAACAAACTTGAATGGAGAGAATTAACATTGCACTTAAGCCAATATCATGAGAAGAATAGATAAAATAACAAAGCAATATAACAACCATTAAGTGGCCATCGGGTGGTACTAATGAATAACTGTGGAATGGTTGTGATAATTCCTTGACGTTTGATTCTTTACTATACCATGCTCGAGACAATAGAAAAATATTGTATTAAAATAGCAACCACCAACATTTCAGCATCTATTTGATAAACTCACCCTACGAAATAGGAAGTTCCAATCTTGGAGGTAGAATATCAACCACTTCATGCCCATCTGATGGATCAATTATACCAAGATATTTTCAATAAGACTTTGTTGGAGAATTATATATTAACAATATTTTCGATGATATTAGTGGATGTTATTTGGATTGTTATTGTTTTATTCATCTCAATATTTCTAATAGAAGTTGTTATTCATCATAGGTCCTACTAAAATATAGTGTTTACATTACTATGGATCAGCTAGTAAGTCTAAGCTTTCACTTTACTAGTCCATTTGCTATGCTTGATTTGAGCTAGACCTTAAGAAGTGAGTCAACACTTCAACATTTAGTTGTTGTCCTAACAAGACATTAGTGGAACCTAATAATGAACTCCTTTGAAGAGTAGGGCGGTCAAGGGGTACATAATCATTATAAAAATTCGTGTGTTGTCTATCTTGTAAGTGAGTTGATTCATTCTCTTTAAGACACTCAGCCAACCACTATCATCATCATCATCATCATCATCATCATCATGCTCAAAAGAAGAAGAAGATTTTCAATAGATAGATAGATAGATATTAATTCACTTTGTCTTTAAATTTAATGTGGAAATAAAATACTTAGCAAGAAAAAGTTGCACAAATGACCCAATATTTCATAGTAGAGTAGATCCAATTTTACATTACTTTATCTTTCCAAACATCAAATTTTAGATTGATACCACTAAAAAAAATCCAAAATAAAGGTTTTAAAATCTAATTAAAAGCATGTCCCAATGTAAATCAAAACCTAGGATAGATATGGAAGATAACATTGAGTTGTAATGTAGCTAGAACCAATTCAAAAAACTCCCCCCTTTGAAGTCTACTAATTCATTTCTGCCCCTCTTATTTTTATGTTCTATGTGGTTGTACGTCACCAAGAGGGGGGGGGGTGATTTAGTAAATATCTATTTATTTATTTTCTTTTAACTTTATGCTTTTCTTAGTTCCTAGATTCTATACTATTGTAAGATTATTTCACATACTATTAGTAATTTGGTTACAAGGTTTACACCGCTCTCTCCAATACTTGCACTTTGCGTCATTTCTTTGGGTTCCACTTTTATCTTACTATAATACATGTTGAGTTACAAGCTTTAGTGGCCTTGCACAATTGGATTTAATAATTCAAAAGAACTCATGAATATATCAACAAAACATCTTCTAGATTCATGGATTCTAAGGGGGTTAACATGAAAGATCCAACCTTCTCTTTTAAATTATGGGCTTTTGATAAACTCAAATTTAGACTTGTATAGTCGTTGTTATACTTTGAGTTTATACAAAATATTTTTATTTATTTTTTTCCTCTATTGATTTACTTTATTATTGGAATAGGGCAAGTAAGAGGTCAATCCTCAAGGAATTAGGTTTTATATTTTAATATGGTTTAAGCTAGAGAGGTATAAGAGATTAGAGAGATAAGACATGGAGGAAAAAGTAATTGGAAGAAGGAGAATCTTCATTCTCGTGATTATGAGTTATTTTAACAAAATCAAGATTCTGATTTTACAATTTTGAGATGTTTTGGATGCTTATGCTTAGGGCTTAAGGGAATGGTTTGAAATAGAAAAAGATGATGAAAGGTGAGAAGCTTAAGGAGATCTTGATTTTCCTATGTAAATCAAGATATCTAATATCTCAAGAGAAACACTCAAGTTGAGGTTTGATCTTCTGAGGAGTGAGAAAAGAAGATGGAGATAACTAATTATGATCAATTTACACTTAACTCCTTAATTGATTGAAACATAGGGAGTGAATTTTCTGCCCTTGTGTAAGTTGCACTTGGGGTAGTCACATCTTCTAAAATACTCAACAATTAAGATCACCTATTAAATAATTCTATTACATGTGGAGTTAAATAATAATAATAATAATATATGTGGTCATTATCGAAATATGTTAGATTTACCAAAGACTTCACTTAAAAGTTAAAGTTTTTTGAAGGTGTTTAATTAAAAAATTAGGTAAGATAAGAACATGCATCGGTCAATATAAATTGACTTGAACAACTTGCACAATCTTTAGTGATGTTGAAAAATGAAAAAAACAAATTTTAATGATTTGCATGGGACTCATATTAGTTTGTTGGACCTGGCAAGGTTTGGAGAAAATTACAACATATGTGATAATATGCTTGCTTCTCATAATTTGAGACATTATGATGTATATTACCTACTCTAAAAATTTTATTAAGATGGTTTTCTTGAAAAAAAAAATCCCTTTTTTCTGTGATAAATCTCATGAACTTTTTAAAATGTCGACAATTGAGAATGTTACTAGTAAGGACTTTGGGTTTAATTCCTATGATGATTGATGAACCTCAAAGCCTACTATATTTCATTACTTTGTTCCCTAATTGTGTTTAGATACTCACAATAGTCAACGCTTAGGTTGTACATGCCAACTATCAGGATTTTGATCTATAGATCAATCTAGTTGGTGTTGACCTTTCAGATATAGGCGTTGACCTAATAGATTTTACTTCCCTTATCTGTAATTATCGATCCTCTCAAGTTAGATGTCAACTTTACTTTTTTGATCGTTGACATACAACTAATAAAATTTTACAATCTCATTAATTTGATGATTTCTTATAAACAAGTTTTATGAGTCATCAAATTAGTTTGGAGATCCCTTTTGAGCTCAACACTAAACGACGATCGTCGCATGAATCGGGGGAACTAAAAGATGACAAATAAAATAATTATCATTCCATTTCGCATCTAAATTATTTTATGGTAAAAAAAATATATGAGAAGATTGGGGGACTTAGAACCCTCCATTGACTTCGTCGTACTATGAATCTCTCCTGAACACAGGGTCTCGTTTGGTTGGTTGCTCCGGTGGAGTCTCCCGTCTTGAGATCTCCGGTCTCCGCCCCCTTCGTTCTTCCGAGCCGCGGGGAGGCGAGTGGGGTGAAATCGGGTCCTTATATCGGCCGCGCTGTCCTCCGGCGGACGCTGGTCTACGGCTCAGCTGCAATTCGCAACCCATCCGTCGCTATTTCCGGTGATCTCGCCCCACGCCTCCTCGGACAAGCAGCGGCTGATCGGCGAGGTATTCATTCCACTTTGGATACAAAAATAATACCGTGAATTCCTTACGCATAATCAGTCGTCGATTTGAACTGCTTCCGCGAACTCGAAACGTTTCCTTTATTCTACTTAGAATAAAAAATGCCCAGAGAAACTGAATATCCGGAAACTGGTAGAATGCCTAGAACATTCCGCTCTCTCTCTATGTCTCTCTTGATCGATCGATCGATCGATCGATATAATATAATTTAAATTTGAACTTTTAGAAGATATATTATGGAGAACATCAGGAAATCTTCTGAAAGTCTCCGAAAGACATAAAAATCTCAATTCATCATGCTCAGAACGCATGACTGTGAACTGAGCGTGCCATGACTGAATTTTTGTTTACATTATAGATTCGGCATTACTACAGCACTGGAATCACTGATTAATGAATTTTATTATTTATGAGATTTTATTAGTGGTATTTAACCTGATCTTTCTCAAGATTTTTAATAGAAAGATGCTGACGGTAGATGTGGGTCCACCTGTGATGGCGTTCCTGAAGTTCTTCTGGGACATAATATCCCAGGAGGCTGGATTTCTCCACAATTTTGAAAAGATTTTAGAGACTTTAGAGAGGAAGAGGGATGAACTGGTCATCCGGGCAAACAGTGTGATTAGAGAGGTCCATAGAGCTGAATTGGAAGGCAAGATCCCCACCTATGAAACAGTGGAATGGATGAGACAGGTGGATGAAGTTAAGAAAGAAGTGAGCGATGCAGAGAAACAGATCATGGCAATAGAGAAGCTCGCCAAAGCATGCTTCCCAGGCTGCAGGGCACGTCGCAGACTTGGCAGAAGAGCTCTAAGGCTCATGCAGCAGGTGGCGGAACTCATCCAGAGAAGCCCTTTTGCTGGTGGGCTGACTGTTGATCAACTGCCAGTCATTGGGCATATCTTACCAGCGATGACATTAGTGGGTGAAACCACAGCAAAGACGACATTAGAGAACCTCTGTAAGCTGATCACAGACAGGAACGTTGGCAAGATTGGCGTTCATGGAATGGGAGGAGTCGGAAAGACGGCCATCGCCAAGCACATCAACAACCGCCTGGTCGAGTCTGAGCTCTTCGGCAGCATCATATGGGTCTCTGTGTCGAAGCCTTTCAGCTTGGCTAGCTTGCAGGCTGATATTGCCCGAGCCATTGGGTTGGACCTGTCCCAGGAGCCCAGCGAGGTCAGAAGGTCCACCAAGCTCTTTGAACATTTGAACAGGAGGAAGAAGTTCGTGCTCATCCTGGATGACATGTGGGGGGCTTTCTCTCTGGATCTGATCGGGATTCCTCAGCCGAATGCCGAGAACGGCTGCAAGATTCTGCTGACCACCCGCTCGGTGCAGGTCTGTCGGGAGATGGAGACGAGCAACAATATCAAGGTCGATCTGCTCTCAGAGGATGAGGCATGGGAGCTGTTCAAGGAAAAAATTGGTGGAGATGCAGCGCTCTCCCCGGATATACAGCCCACTGCCAAGCTGGTTGCCAAGAAATGCGGGCGCCTTCCTCTGGCGATCATCACCGTCGGAAGAGCTCTCAGGCAGGTGGATGATGTGAGAATTTGGAGGCACACTCTGGCCGAGCTGGGGTACTCCAACAGTGAGGTAAGATCCATGAAGAAGGAGGTCTTCACGCCTCTTAGATTCAGCTACGACCATCTCAAAGACAAACTTACCCAAGATTGCTTCTTGTGTTGCGCGTTGTTTCCCGAGGATCACAAGATCCCCACTGATCATCTGATCGAGTACTGGATGGGGGAGGGACTAATCGGTGAAAATGGGGACCGGCAGGCTGAGATTGACGAGGGGTACGCCTTGTTGAACGAGCTGAAGGACGCTTACATGCTGGAGGGCATGACCGGCGCTCTGGGTCAAGAATGTGTCTGGATGCACGACTTGATCCGAGATATGGCAATTCATATAATGAGGGAGCGTGGCTCCTTCATGCCCAGAGCAGGGGTCAGACTGAAACATTCGCCCAAGGAGGAGTGGCTCGAGGAGTATGAGAGGGTCTCGTTGATGGAGAACAAGATCGAGGTTTTATCATCCAGACCCGATTGCCCAAAGCTCGCCATGCTCCTGCTCCGAGGGAACCCACTCTCTCAGATCGAAGAATGTTCTTTCTTTGCCAGAATGCGCAGTCTCAGAGTTCTCGACCTCTCCCACACTCTGATCGACTCCTTGCCGGAGTCGATCACTGAGCTGGTGAACCTCCGCACTCTGTTTCTGGGCTCCTGCAGGAGGCTGAAGAACGTGCCCTCGCTGGAGACGCTGCAGGAGCTGAGGGTGCTGGACATTTCTCACACGCCCATCGAGAATCTGCCCCCAGGAGCCGAAGGCCTGGTCAAACTGAGGCGCCTAGACCTGTCGCACACAAAGAATCTGAAGATGTTCCCTAGAGGGCTGCTGGCCAAGCTCCCCCTTCTTGAAGACCTGTCTACGTACAGGAGCTCGTGGCTCTGGCTGTCTGCGGCGGAGGAGATGGAAGGAGGAGCTGGAATAGAAGAGATCATCGGCTCGGAGAAGCTGTCTAATCTCTGTCTATCTTTCTGGAACTTGGGTACGTTCGCAAGATACATAATCTCTGGTCACTGGAGGAAGCTCAGGAGATTCAACCTTATGGTGGGATGGAAGTCGGCTTTCTTGTACTCGAAATCCCCGTACTCCGTTGAGATCGTCAGTGAGGGACTTTTGAGCCAGGGGAGCTCCCTTCTGCTACCCTGCAACACCCTGCGACTTCACATTGAGAACTGCCATGACGTGCTCTGTTTGTCCGAGATATCTAGCCTGTCAGAATTGTCTGCGCTGAGGGACTGCTCTGTATACACCTGTTGGGGGATCGAATGCCTGGTGACGGCGAAGGGGAACCCCCTCTCGAGCATCGAGACGCTGAATCTCTGGGATCTGCCGAATTTGAGCTCGTTATGCCAGCAGAATGTCCAAACCAGCACCTTCGCTGGGCTCAGGATCTTGGAAATCGGCTCTTGCGATAATATGAAGAGAGTCTTCCCACTTCCTTTGTTGCGGCATCTTCAAAACCTCGAGCAGCTTCGAGTGGTGAGCAGCGCTTCCGTGGAGAAGATCATTGCAGGCGAGGAGGAAGCGGAGGTTGTGGCCCTCCCGAGCTTGAGGAAGCTCGACCTGATGTATCTCGCCGAACTGACGAGCATTTACAGTGGGGAACTCGTATGTGATTCGTTGATCGCCATCACTGTGGAGAAATGCCCCAAGCTGAAGAGACTACCGATCTCCATCGACCATGTTCCTCCCATGCTCGAGGTGATCAAGGGGGACAGGGAGCTGCTTGATTCCCTGTGGCAAGATGACAGCCGTAACAGAGCTTTCTTCCAGAAGTACTGCAGAGAGTGCTGAGGAAGCGGCGGCCCGTCTTCTGATCAACGTCAGCGACTCGGAGCTGATGACTCCCCCAGTCGCTGCCGTATGGACATGAACCGTTGACTCAGGATGTTACGCAGAGGGATAAAATGCTCACTTGGTTGACCCAGTCGTCGCACCCAATAGCATTGGTATCGTGGCGAGCGAAGAAAAGGACACCTCATCCCTAACTTCCCCCAGAAATTCTACGCCTCTGGGGATTCTCGCATCATTGCCCGGAGGGGCGATGGCTTCCGGTAGGGAGGAAAGGGGACCTTCGGTCGCGGTCGCGGTGGCGGGAAGGCGGAGCCGGCCGACGGTCGTCTGGGCGGCGGAGAACCTGATTCCCCGAGCCAGCCGTACGCTCCTCCTCCACGTCGTTCCCTCTCCCTCCGTAATCCCCGATCAACGTGCGTAAGCGGCCTCTCCTGATCCTTTCTTCCCCACTTCTTTCCTCTGTTCCCCTGCTCCCTGAGAATTGCTGGGTTTGGTTGAAGGGGGGGAGCAGGGCGGCAGCCAGGGTGGCGAGGTCTACGAGCGGGACAGGAGGGCGCAAGCCCTCAAGGAAATCCTCCCATTTAAGAAGCTCTGCGGGGCGGGGAATCAGGTTCTTCCTCGGTCTTCTTCTCTCTGGCTATACCCTTTCCCAATTCCGTCCTCAGAAATCAGAATCTGTTCTCTTTACGATCATCGCTGTGGTAGGTGGAGATTTTGTTGCTCGACGGTGAGAACCCTGCGGCTTCGCTCCTGGGATACGTTACAGCAGCAGGCATCGATAATCTAGTTCTGGGTGGTCCTTCCTCGACCTGGTTTAAGAGGTGACCTTCCTCCTGAGATCAAGTCTTCCTGAGCAAAAATATTAGTTTCAGATTACTTGCCCTACCTAGTGATACTTTTTGCTTAAGATATTAGTTTCATATTTATTTTTTCTGTTAAAATGAATTTCTTCCTCAGATGTTCTTAGTTCTCTAGAATCTTTATCTCTCGATCTTTATCTTAAAATTCTCAGGATTCTGAGGAAGCCAGGTATGGCAACAAGTTGCCTCCGGTCTGCTCAGAGCTCCTGCAACATCTTCGTCGTCTCAGAGCATACGATCACCGTGAAAATTGTCAATAACTCAGTCACGAACGGTAATCTACATACATTTTTCATATTATTCACCATTTCCAGTATTATGGAGTATGATCTCCGCCGGGCCTCTGAGGCTGTAGATAGTTTTGGAAATATTTTATCTTTTTTTTCTGTGATTCGACGGCTAATGCCGCTTTTGGTGCCCCAGCTTCTGGGATTGGAGGTCGTCAAGCTCTGTACCCTTCTTCATGGCGTCACAGGCGAAAGCAGCCGAAATGGCATCACTTTCTCAGTTGTCTCCACTGGTCTCAAGCTATTGACCGGCGTGGCTCGTCGGGCTCCTTCAAGGAGAAGCAGCCGATGCTTGTAAGGTCACCTAGTCAGCAAAGTCAACGCAGTCAGGTACGCGAACGACTTCTCTTGCCCAGATGGGCGATCTCTTCCAGTGATGATGCAGCTTTCTTCTAGTCACTGAAACACGGTGGATGAAAAAACTTTTTCAGAACGAAGATCTGAGAGAGGCGGAGAATGCGAGGATAGAGCTGCAGAGTACACTCGCCACATATGATGAAGCCCGTGAAGATCTAGCCCAGTGTGGGCCTAAGGTAGCAGTAATCGAACTCCCATTCCTTCCATGGTTACTTCAGCATGGCTGTTGATCCTAAACCACACGGGTTGGGTAGAATGGAGACCTGGAAAAGATGGAAAGTTTGAGGCAGAAGCTTGAAGCCACTCTCGCCATGTATGATGAGGCCTGTAAGAAGCTGATCCACAGAAAACTGAAGGTACAAATGGATTTTGTGTGAATTTAGCCGGACCCAGATGATCATAGACGATGATGGATGGGAATGGTCTGAGCCAGATCTCTGTGTTGATGTTGCCGGCAGGTCCAGAGACTTTCTGCGGAGTGGTCTGAGGAAGCCAGGAGAGTGAGGGATGCTCTGCTGAGGGAGGAGGTGATGAAGCGGATCGTGGCTGAGGAGACGATAAAGCATTTGGAAGCCATCAATGAAGTCAACGAAGCGAGGGAGATCTTGGAGAAAGAGGCGGCGGGTCGACTCAAGGCGGAGGATCACGCCAAGGAGCAGTCTTCCCAGAAGAGGATGGTGATGGAGGCCGTTCTGTCGATCGACAACAGGTACAGAAGGTATTCCAGGGAGGAGATAGCCGCCGCCACCGACGACTTCTCCCCGGAGAAGCAGATCGGCGAGGGAGGCTACGGGAGCGTCTATAAGGCCTTCCTGGACCACACCCCCGTCGCCGTGAAGGTCCTCCGCGAGGGCGCAGCAGAAAAGATGGAGGAATTCATGAGAGAGGTATTCGTCTTCCCGTAATCAACCCACCGAAGATCGCTCATCTTTCTCATCTCTACTGGCAAATCTGTTCCAGGTGGAGGTTTTATGCGGGCTGCACCACCCGAACATCGTCCTGCTCCTGGGGGCCTGCCCGGAGATAGGCTGCATCGTGTACGAGTACATGGAGAACGGGAGCCTCCAGGACCAGCTCTCCCGCCGCGGCGGCGCGCCGCCGCTCCCCTGGTGCACCCGTTTCCGCGTCCTATTCGAGGTGGCCCGGGCCCTCGCCTACCTGCACGGCTCCAGCCCCGAGCCGGTGATCCACCGAGACCTCAAGCCGGGCAACATCCTGCTGGACCGCAACTTCGTCGGCAAGATCGGCGACGTGGGCCTGGCCAAATTCATGCCGCGGGTGGTGCCGGACGGCGAGACGGAGTTCAGAGAGACCGTCATCGCCGGCACGCTCCACTACATGGACCCCGAGTACCAGCGCACGGGGACGCTGCGGCCCAAGTCGGACCTCTACGCCTTCGGGATAATCGCCCTGCAGCTGCTCACCGGCAGACCGCCGGCGGGGCTGGCGGTGATGGTGGAGAACGCCGTCGGAGGAGGCTCCCTCGCCGCCGTGCTCGACCCGTCGGTGCCCGATTGGCCCTTCCCGGAGGCGGAGAAGCTGGCGGAGATCGCTCTGAGATGTACCCAGCTCCGGTGCAGGGACCGGCCGGAGTTGGAAGCCGACGTCTTGCCGGTGCTCGAGCGGCTCTCGGCAGCGGCCGACGGCTGCCCCAGCGGTCGCGGCCCTGCCCACTTCCTCTGCCCGATTCTTAAGGTATCAGAAACCCTAATTCCTTCTTTCCTTCTTCTCTGTCCCCGATTGATCCTGGTCTCTACCACTTTTCTTCTTCTCCAGATGCCAATGGAGGACCCATACATCGCCGCCGACGGGTTCACGTACGAGTACAGGGCGATCAGGGCCTGGTTGGCGGAGAATCAGACGTCCCCTGTAACCCAGATGCAGCTGCCAGACGCCACCATAATTCCCAACCACTCCCTCCGCCTGGCCATAGAAGAATGGAGGTCACTGTAGCAGGCTTGAATATGGGAAGGAAGTCTTTTTTTATGCTGTTCTCGGTGTGATCGTCATTGGTCAACGGACGTTGGGTCGCTACCCAAATGTGGGCATCAATTAATTGTGATTAATAATTTACTCCAACTATTTTTAAGTACGTTTATAGAACTATAATAATTTTAAAGTGATATATTTAATAATTACGGGAGGATTCGAAATTCTGCCAGAGCCCTGTGGTCCCTACACGTCGCACAGTGGAACCGTTAGCAATGTGGGGACCAAACACGTGTCAAGGGAAGAGAGATCAGGCGGTTGGACATCACGTCTTGTGTGTGTTTCCCGCCGAAGCCAAGCTGGTGCTACATTTCAAGAGATGAGGCGGACGAGGAAGCCTGGACGACAGGGACGTCCGGTCTTCTTCCTCTCACTAGGGTTTTCTCTGCATCAGCTCCGCCATGGTTTCCCGGAGTACCGCTTCCGAGGGCTCTCCGGGCGGGGAAGATGCGGGAGATGATATGGTTGTTCTGGCTAGCTCACTCGAAAGAAGGGGAGCGTGGGGGAGAGGATGCAAGGACCGGACGACGCTGGCGGAAGACGGAGAAGCAGGAGCGAAGGACGGAGGTCTGGAGACTCCTCTAGAGCGCTCCAGTGGAGGAGCAGGAGAGGATGGAGGTCGGGAGATGTCTCTAGAGCGCTCCAGTGGAGGAGCAGGAGAGGAGGACAGAGGTCTGGAGATGTCTCTAGAGCGCTCCAGTGGAGGAGCAGGAGAAGGCGGAGACCTGGAGAATCCTCTAGAGCGCTCAGGGAGAGGAGCAGGAGAGGAGGACGGAGGTCTAAAGACGCCACTAGAGGGCACCAATGGAGGAGCAAGAGAGGAGGACGGAGGTCTGGAGATGTCTCTAGAGCGCTCCAGCGGAGGAGCAGGAGAAGACGGAGGCCTGGAGAAGCCTCGAGAGCTCTCCAGTGGAGGAGCAGGAGAGGAGGACGGAGGTCTAAAGACGCCTCTAGAGCGCACCAGTGGAGGAGCAGGAGAGGATGACGAAGGTCTGGAGAAGCCTCTTGAGCGCTCCAGTGGAGGAAAAATCGGAGAAGACGTGGCAACCGGTGAAGCGGGAGAAAGGAGGCTTAAGCAGCGGGTGGATGTTGCCAGGGAGTTCGAGCCGAGAGGGTCGTGATACTTATATCTAGCTTGCGTTGCTTTTTAAAAAAAATTATTTATGATGATTTCTTGTTCCGACTTAACTTTTCGGGGAGAGAGTTGTCGATTGAAAACCGATTTTTCATATCTTTATTTGACGTAGCTGTTCCCAGGTGATGGTAAATGACGAGTGAAGAAAATGATAATGACGATCAAGAATGTTGGTGTAACTTCTTTGATCGTTTGCAGGTATCAGATCAGCGTGTACGATGTGGCTGTTCGAAGGAACACTATAGCTGTGCTGGAGACGGGATCAGGGAAGACAATGATCGCCGTGATGCTTATGAAAGAGTTAGGGAAGGATATCAGTCCAAACTATAATAAGAGACTCATCATATTCCTCGCTCCCACAGTCCACCTTGTTAATCAGGTTCCTTTTTTCTGCTATTCTTCTGTTTAGTCTTCACATAGTGAAAAAATCGGCAAATTTGAGGTCTCTTTTCGTAATATAGGCTTCATATTCCTTATCTATGAGCAGCAATTCGAAGTGATTAAGATCCACACCAACTTTGAAGTGGCCCAATACTATGGGGCCAAAGGAGTTGACACGTTGACGGAAGAGTGCTGGAATAAAGAGATATTTGCTCACCAGGTCACACTCTCTGTCTCATTCTCATTTTTCCAATTCTCCAACTCTACAATGTTGTTGAAGCAATCGATGTGAATATAATATGGATTTATATGTGTGAACCATTCGCGTGTGTATTCAAAACATTGATTATATTTCGGAATTAACATATATACCATTGTCACTGCTTTTTATATACGTGTGTTGGTGGGTACCGATTAAGAGTCAATGCTATTGACACCACCAGTATGAAGATGCCTTTTTTTCCAGATTTTTTGGACAATGGCCCATGAGGACTGTGCTATGTAATGGAAAACTTAAGGACAGCAGTGAGGTATATATTGTCAAATAACATATTGGATAGGGAAAGATGGTTTGTGCTTGATTTATGTAAAAATTCATAGTAAAAGAAACCGTCACTGCTACCTGTTGAAAAAAAATTGATAGCCATGGAAACTTTTTTGATTGTGATATTGAAAAAATGACAAGATTTTGCGGTTACTCTTTTACACTCAATTGGGTTTGTAAATTTAGCAATCAGACAATCTCTCTTTTTTAAACAGAGAGGGAACAGGTGATGATGGTTAATAGCAAATGGACACGACTTATATGTCTAGATTCTTTAATTTTTCTTGGGTTTTCAAGGAAAGGTGAGGTGAGGTAGCCTATTCTCCACTAAGAAATTTCCATGTCGTTTGGACTGTGGTTATTCATTATTTTATCCACTATTTCTATTAAAAATATGTAAAATGATATGTTCCTTTTCAATTAACCCCTTTTATCTGAACCTATGATTTTTGACATCTATCTTTTCTAAAATCATATTTTCTGTGTTGTCGCCTTCTAGAGTTGCATGGAAAGAGTAGTTAATATATATCCATTTCAGATTTATTTGTTAATATTTTCCATTGCTTCGGTTTTAGTAGTATCTGACCCTCTTTCTTTCGGTGAAAGGATGTAAATCATTAACTGGTTCTCTTAAACTTATATTAGATAATCCGCTGTTGCTGTATAGGTACTGGTTATGACGCCTCAGGTACTACTGGATGTTCTGAGGCATGCATTCTTGACATTAGATATGGTTCAGCTCATAGTATTTGATGAATGCCATAGAACTACTGGTAACCATCCATACGCCAGAATAATGAAGGTATTTGAGATCTCTTCTTACAGGATGGTGTCAGTTTTTGCACTGGAATTTTTAGTTGTTTATGAAAGGTTTTTGATTTATTGTGAAGTCCAACACCTTTTTATTTCCTGACTAGTAGTATTATTATTTATGATTATACAGGAATTCTACCATAGGACTACACAGAAGCCACATATTTTCGGGATGACTGCCTCACCCGTCATTAGAAAAGGCAAGAAATCTCTTTAATCAATGAACATTCATCAGAAACTCCCCCTCCCTTTCCGTGCTTTCTATTTTTTATTTTTAACATCCCATTATTGCTTAGATGTCTGTAAATGTACAAAACATTTACTATGTTTGAAGATATTTAGTCCGCTTACGTTGGTAAGATATCTGTCTCTTATCAAAATCTAACCTTCAATACAGGAAAGAAAATATGCGATTTACTTTTCCATGAAAACTGTTTTAAACGATGGCCATCCGACTGTTTATTGTTCTTTGTGGATATTCGTAGAAAACTTCCGGTAATTTCTAACATTTAACAGATGTGACATTTGTAGTGGTTAGTTTCTTAGTGTTCCCTGATATTCTAATTTCGGGCACATCTTTCTCGTTTCGTGCTCTGATATTCTGACTTTCTGATTCTGGTGATCGTTAGGTTCGGAAAAAAAGAAAGAAAAATTCGTGAACCTATTTCTGGATCTCTACTTTACAGAAACAATATTATTTCTGGTGCCATTATTCCTACTTCTGCAGCTATTGGTTTGCATTAAAAGTTATGTTTCTTTATCTCGCTTTATCTCCATGTCTCTGTTGTAAGGCCAGGTAAAAAATGGTCGATAAATCTAAATAAAATAGGTTTCATGGTACTCTTGTAATTTTTCTTCTTCTTTATAGTGGCATTGAAAACTTCGACTGGCATTTTGCTTGTAAGCTTCAGACTATCTCCTAGAGATGTTGTTTGGCCTTAATCTTACTTTCCTGCTTGGACTTGCGGCTTTCGTGTTGAATTTATCCGCCCATCTTGTAGATCTTTTTGTCAATTTCCAAGCCTTAGGGAAAAAAGCCTTTCTAGAGATTCTTGATTCTGTAAAACTAGTCATTTCTTCTGCATTATTTTTATTTGATCTCTGGTTTTTACTTTCCTAATAATGCACCTATGTGCCATTCCACCCATTTAGTTTGTCTATCGGCTGCAAGAGTAAAATCTATGAGTCTTCCTTCATTGAGCCCTCCCTTGAAGGGAAATATTCTGACTTCCTCTGGAGTTATGTACAGATAAAAGTTGAAAGATGCTAACAAATATTCTGGGTGATTTATAGAATGGGAGTAAATAACATTACTGATTTGCAACTCATCAGGGGCCTAAGATATATTGGATGGAAAAATAGTCAAACATGCAGAAGGAAAAGGGAGACCAAAAGCCTAAAGTTTGTACACTGTGGATGAAATATTACCTATTAATGGAAAGTAGGTAGCATTAGGAAAAAGTATCATGGATTCGTTCCTCCTTTCTCATTTCCTTAGGTCGAATTGATAAGTAAACTTTCTTTGTTCCACAGCTGTTTTGGTTTGTTCTCTTTACTTGTGTATTAAGAGTGGAATTATGGTACTTCTAAATGAAGCAATCTGCTTGCCGACTTAATCTAATAAAAATGAGTTAAGAGTTGGATAGAAGGGTACAGGGGTTCTACTAAAGCGAGGGATTCAGAGAAATATTTATCTAAATTATTCTTTTGTTGTATTATTGAATTATTCGTATCTTAATATAGCCCTAAATTTTTTAATTTTTTGACTGGCCTTATCGAATTCGGATTGCACCATTTCTATCTGTGATCATATCCCAATTATGTGAACTTCCGATTTGAGTGCACAGCTTGATTCCATTATAACAGGTGCCTGTCCTTGTATTGCTATTCTGGCGGTGTGTACCTTATCACAGCTTTTTTCCCCATTCTAGGAACATGTTGAGCTTGTTGTTTTCTATCAGGATTAAATGGCGATTAGAACAAGTTAATACCAGTTTGTTGTGTAGCCTGCTCTCAACTATCTTAATATAAATCTTTCCAAATTTTCAGTGGTCAGTTCTCAAGACATGAATACGATATTTTCACTCAAATCGAGCAATCATTTTGTTATGATTAATTCGAGCTTCCATTAGCATTATTTGGTGCATCTTTGATTGGCTTTCAGTGTTGAAAGTAATCACATGCGTCCTTCCTTCTGTTTTCCCTACGGCTTTATGCAATAATATGTTTTTTCTCTCGATGTACTTCTTTGCACCAGGTGTATTATCTACTCTAGATTGTGAAGGGCAAATATCTGAACTTGAAAGTTTATTGGACTCCCAGGTTTTGTTTTTTAACAATCTTGTTCTTGTTTACTTTGGTAATTACAAGTTTCAACTGTAAGCCGCATCTTCTCTCCCTTCGCTCTGAGTAGATTTTTTAGTGATGCTTTGCATTTTTTTGGCCTTGATGCTGAATATTTAAAAGGTTTCCAATGGCCAGTACAGATTTATACAGTACCAGAAAGATGTGAACTTGAACAATTTGTACCATCAGCCAAAGAAGTCAATAGGTATTATGATCCTACGCTGTCTGTGCATGACGAGTTGAAAAGTGCAATCAGCTCTTCATGGGCGAAGGTTTGAAATTTCGAATCTTTGATGATTGTGATCTTCTTCCTTTTACGCCTTTATTTTCATTGGCCATAATTGTTCCTAAGATGTATATATTTTGGATGCTTTAACAGTTTGATGCTTTGGTAGCTGCTCGGCAGGATTCAGAATCAGGTCAGTTTCAAGACACTGATGATGCAATAAAAGCATCAAGAAGGAGACTATCAAGTTATCATTCAAAGATATGCCATTGCCTGGAAGACCTTGGTCTTATTTGTGCAAACGAGGTATTAGATTGCGAAATATGGTCGTCTGACCTGTGTAGTTTGTTTGGAAGACAGAACAATGTGGGCTCAATAAGTGCAAAACCAGACGTTGCTTCGTACTTGAGAGGAGCTGCTCAGCCATTCTGCAAATTTAAATATATTGACTCGTCATTACAACCATTGCGATTTTGTTATTGCAGATTATTCTGGAAGTTACTCATTTCTGTGATTATGTATATTTACAGGCTTCATGCTCTTTCCAAGTATTCTCTGCATATCTTATATCATTATTCCTGTCTTACGAATTGTGAACCAGGATAATTAAAGCTTCCCTGTAATTTGCGCGATGATGCCATCATAGTACATGGGTCGTTCAATTTTTATTTTTATTTTGAGCTTTTACTTGTATTGATCAGGATAAATACTATGATGTTGATGCAATATAACATAAATTTGAGATAGTTAACGAGAAATACTTATAGAGGTCTCCAAGACTGGAAGAATTTATGATTTTAGTGTATTACGAAAATAACTTTATTCCTTACCGAATTTCAGAGCACTTGAAATGTTCTTGGGGATTCCTCCCTAAACTCCATTGAATACACTCAAGAGAAGTGAGTAAAACAGCAAGGTAATAAAATATCTCATCCATTTGTAGAGATAATGGGAGGGGAACCCCTACATATCAGAATCCACAAATTTTAAACGAAAATAATAACTTTGTTATTAGGTTTGAAAGCATTTGGACCCTGGTTTGTCAAATGACACTTTTGATAATCAAATTGACCCTAATTTAGCTTCTGCTTATGTCATTCAATAAAAGACATATCCAAGGGTGTATTTAATTCTATGACAGGTCAAGGATGGGAGACCTAGGAATTGGACTTGAGAAGAAAAAAAGAAAGCAAATAAACGTTAATATCGGATTACAACATATACACAAGTAGATGTTTATTATTCTTTTTTACAACTTTTTTCTTACTTCAGTATCTATATTATTTCATATACTGGTGTTATGTAATTAAAATACTTCTTCTGATCAAGGTTATAAATTTAATTTAGGCTGTTAAGGTTTGTATGGAAAATGTCTCTGTTCCATCGGCTGAGGGATGCGATTTGTCAAGGGCGAATCTGTCGGCTGATGTTTCTTTTCTGAAGAATGTGTTGCTTAAAATTCAACAATGTTTCACACATGGTACATGAGTCGAGAAATCTATGCTCTTAATTTTTCTTGTAATTATTTCTTCAAACTGAACTTCCTACCGTGACTTTCCTATGCATTGGCTTTTTTAGAATTCCTTCATTTTGAGGGTACTGTCTATCGTCTGTTGTTATAAATTTTATTTTCATTGCATTTTTTTTTTCTTGAACTGTTTTTTGAATATTTGATTAGTAAATACTTTCAGCTTGGTATTTTTCATTTGAAAATTTTCTAGGATGTCTACTATCGGTTTTATTTTGAATTTTTCCGCCTAAGTTTTCAAAATCGGTTGTGTAAAGCAACATTTAGATCTTTATCTCGTATGCTATGGGTAATCTCAATGCGCTGATAGGCCCCCTTCGCATGACCTAGAAAGAAAAAGGAGGTCCGTGCTACTATAAGGCCTCTAAACTCCTCCCCCAGGGCACTGTAGCGTTGCCAGGGGGACATTCCTGCATTTTCAGATTACTAGGTTAGCGGACTTGGAATATTTTTTTCCCGGTCGTTGTTTTAATAATCAGTACTCGGTATTTATTTTCCATTTGGAAAACATATGCAAGATAGTGAAGTAAGCTACCTGAAAATTTCCACCTTTAGCTATTTTTTTTTATATCAACAACTTATTTCTTGTTTTTCAGACAGCTAAGGGTAGAAATTTTCGTTCTGTATATGTTGGAGATAGGGTTGTGGACAGAGGAGTAGTCTTCGTATCCAATTTACTGTTCATTTTCTCACTATGGTACTTCTTTCGATTTACTTCCGTGGTAAACAAGAAAAAGTTCACGAAAAGATGATTGCTTTGTCTTCTGTCGGAATTTTTCTGTTGCCACTTCTTTTCTGTCTAACTTGATATTCTTCTATTTCTACTTTTTTATTTCGTCTAATTTTGAGTTTTTATCAGACCATGAACAGCTATTCAAGACAGAGTCTGACCGTTCAATGATTGTAAAAATGGGTTACGTTTCTCCAAAACTCTCTGAATTAGTGCGAGTGTTTCAGACAATCGGGTACTGGAACTTTCTCTTCATTTCTTAGTGTAAATGATAATTTCTTTCTCTTGATCATCTGTTATGTTTTGTTGTCTGCCGCAGGTACTCAACACAAGTACTTTGCCTCATTTTTGTGGAAAGGATTATTACAGCTAAAGTAATTGAACGATTCATCAAGAAGATAAATTTTTTATCGCACCTAAAAGTTGCTTATTTAACAGGCGGTAGTACGTCTACAGATGCACTAACCACAAAAGTTCGGAAGGAAACTCTGAAGTCATTCTGTTCCGGGAAGGTATCTTACTAATTATGCTCATTTTATCATTTTTGAGAGACGAGTGTGTTACTTCTCTGTAACTGGGATGCTTGAATCTTTCAGGTAAACTTATTGTTCACAACTGATGTGGCTGAAGAGGGACTTCATATACCACACTGTTCATATGTGATACGTTTTGACCTGCCCAAAACAGTTCGCAGTTATATCCAATCACATGGACGGGCACGTCAGGTGGATTCACATTATTTCATCATGCTTGAAAGGTAAATGCGATGTTAAGCTAATTTATTTTCCAATAGTCAGCTCATGATATAAGTATGAGTGGCACTGGATTACCTCCTACTAGTAGTTGGCTTGAAGTTGATTAAGCTTTTCTTTCAAAGATGGCTTCAGCAGCTATAATGAGAGATAAGTGCAGAATACCTTACAAAGCAAACTTTTTCAATCTTTATCCGAATGTCGTGGAGTCAATCAAGCCCTTCATATAGTGAAAAAAGGTCACTATAAAATCTAACATAAGTGATCACAACATTAAGGGATGGCATATCAGTGTTCTGAAGCCATAGAAACAGCTCACAAAAATTTCAATATTTGCAACTACTTTTGTACTTTGATAAGCTAGCATACCCTTTTTTTCTATTTGCGTCATCTAAAATTTTGATGGAATGTCTTATTATTTTTTTGTTGAAAATTTTATTTACTCACCTAAGACAATCTGTTTTGGCTGGTATGAAAATTCCTAATGAATATCCTATTGAGTAATTGATCCTCAAACCGGTATCTCTGAAGCTTACATAACTCCTTGTAACTATGTTTAAATTTTTAATTGACCGTGTATTACATTTGATTTAATTTTTAAGCTGATGGCTGTGTTACAGAATCATGCAATACTGTCATTTCAAATTGTTATTTTATTTTAGTGAAGTGTGTAAGCATTCCACTCTTTCAGATTTCTGAAAGAATGATTATACTGCTTTGCGATTGTATAGTACATCTTATCTTTAAGTTCTCCATTGCATGTACTATCTGCACCGGCATTATGATATGTCTACGGATCGAATCTGTTTCTGACTAGATCTAATGGGGATCTATACATCTTTTTGAGTCCAGTGGTTGACTTGAATGTTAACCTCTTTCCACTGAGAAAGCATTTTATCTTGGTGTTGCATTTGACACTATGAACAAGTTATATACTACGTGAACGGTGTATATCTTGCACTTATTCCGAACTCATGTGCAGGGGGAACATTCAACAAAGAGATCTACTATTTGACATTATTAGGAGTAAGTATTCTATGATGGACACTGCTATAAACAGAGAACCCAATGCTTGCATATCCGCATGGGGTGGCAGGGAGGTATCCGCATGGAGTAAGTATCCGCACGGTGTAAACTCATACTTTGTTGACTCAACTGGAGCAATTGTTACTACAGATTCCAGTATTAAGCTTATTGGTAAATATTGTGAAAGCCTCCCTGGAGATAAGTACGTCTAGTATTCTATTGCACATGATGCTTGATGTTTTTTTTTGAAAAAATTGTTACCATTTTGGGACCTTTTTTTGAAAGTAGATAGAACCAAAAGACCATTATAATGGAGACTGAAGAAAGAAATTTAGGATTACGCATACACAATCACCGAACAGAAAAAAGAAAATCTCTTTATACATTTATGAGAGGCGTACGCCAGGAGAGGAACATGCAGCACTATGAATTCTTAAAATAGAAGATTCATTCGCCCCACTACAAAAAGTAGCGCTTTCTCACCCTTGTAGAATAGCAGAGATATCTTGAAATATTTCATCTACCGAGTGGCTCATATGAAAAAAATAAAGCTATTATGTTCCTTCCTTGTGGCACATAAGGTTGTGAGCAATATGAGCTGCGGCACAATATGATCACACTCCCTTATAATTGAAGCTCCGCTTCCATCTTCTCTATGCAACCTTCAGTAATGTAGGAATACAGCACCTAATATCATTGGTGCTGAGATATCGCACCAAATTTTCTGCGTGAAGGAACACCTAAGGAGAAGTATCTTCTCATAAATTCCATGTAGACAACAGGAATTGCAAATGTCAACTAAGAAGAGTACTTGGTGATCACAAGTGAGAAAGCACCCGGCCCCCTGATATCACATGCCTCACGTTTAAGGATGATGAAATCCTCAAGCTCATGATTCACATGATGCTTGATGCTCTCATTACTAATTATGATGTAGGTTAACTGAACTGAAAATTTTCACACTTCTTCCCCATTTGCAATGCAACGAATCTTCATCTGATCTTTCTAATTATTACCCAATAGTTAGGATGAAGAGATCAATAACCTGTTCTATTTCTATGTCATGGAGATTCATTGTGAATCCTGGGTATGCTCCAATAAAATCAGAAAGCCTTTGCTAAGTACATCAGAAAGTAGCTGGGGATGTGTGCACCACCACGGATCCATCCAAAGCAGAACTGTCTAGCTACTGTCAAGAATGACGATCTGCGACTGACAACTTCCTATCTGCTATCACAGTATCTTTTGCCCGAAGAATGGTCTCTCCACGCCTGAAGACATTAGTAGAGACATTTGGATGAAGTTCTAAGGATATGCCGCTTCTATAGTTTTCTTCAGAATGACCTCCCCATCTTTTCCTCTGTCCCAGTTTTAACAGCCATTTGTTGAGTAGTGCGAAGTTAAAGTCTGAGATTTTGATATTCTAAAACTTTCCTTTGTTTTGTCTTTTCCAGAATTCGATAGCATGCCAGATTCTGAATCTTCCAACATGACCTTTGCCAAAACATTTGCCTTATTATCACTGCTCACATAACGCATAACTATTACCTTGTTCAATTTGAATTATCTCAGACAATTTATGGAACTGAACTGCAGGTACTTTGACCCAAAGCCACTTTTCCAGATATCTTCCCATAGTGGAATTTATGAGTGCAAATTGACCTTGCCTGCCAACGCTGCATTCCCAGCATTGGTAGGCCCTGTCAGCCGAAGTTCATATTTAGCAAAGCAACTTGTGTGCTTAAATGCTTGTAAAAAGCTGCATGAAATTGGAGCACTTGATGATCATCTTCTTCCTGTTATTGAAGAACATATTGAAACCAATCATGATGAGATTGTTAATTCAGCATTAGGTGCAGGTACTTGTCTTTTCATTCTTTACAATTCCTGAGGTAAAAACTGTTTATTTTTTCATACTTATGCAATTATGTGAATCACACTTAGGTGCTCATTTAGACATGTTTAACAAAAAAATTGATGCGGCGGACATTAGCTTTTCTTTCATGAGATATTATTGAATGCTATATCTAATAAAACGGGATAAATTTTTTCTTTGGCCTTTCTTTCAAATTGGTCCGGTAACGAACTGTTAATTTGTTGATATTTACGCAGATATTTTAATCATAACTAAGGTGCTCATTTAGACATGTCTATAATTTTTTTTTATTTGGCTGACATGTTCCTTTCTTTCATGAGGTAGTATTGAAATGCTATTGCAAATAAAACGGACTATAATGTTTCTTTGGGCGTTTGTTGTTATCATTGTATTAAATTAACAGTCGTCTTCAGATTCCAACTTTGTATGGCTCTTCAGTTTGAGTATTTTTTCTGCACAACAAATTTTCATACTTCCTGTTAACACGTAGAAAAGTAGCACCAGCAACTTTCAGCTTCTTATGTTCGCAGCCTTCTTATGGGGTAGTTCTTGTTACCACAATGTCATAATGAATTATACTCATTCTAGAAAAAAAATACCCACTCTAAACCTATACACATTATTATGGTAAAGATTTTATTTTGTTTTTATCTTGTTACCACAATGTGGTTTTATTTTAACATGTAAGACTGAAAAAATGAAATCTTTTAGAAATGGATTGGATCACTAGTCACACAGAAGGTCAAATGAGCCGTTTTACATAAGATTCACATGAAACCCTGGTGATTTGTGGCACCATTTTTGGCCAAGTAATAATAAACATATACACCGAAAAAGGCCATTCCATGAATGGGTCTGAATATAATAAATAGAAAAAAATATCTCAAGTCTATTAGAGAGACATGATAACAAGTTACTAAAAACATCACGTACCGAATGAATTACCTGCCGAGCTTTCTATGTCTATAGAATATGCTTCATTAAATTTCTTGAATTGACAGGAAACCCTAAAAAAACTATAATTGAAGGTGGTTACTGGGAGAGCATGGCAGCGTTACATGAGGGTTGAACTTCTCCATTAGTGGATATCTTTTGAGACTTGTCACGTCAGAAGGGAACGTGACCCGTATATTTTTTTCCTTGTTTAGGTCGAGTTTGTGGAGGAAGGGGATAGTGACGACGTAGGGGATTGTGCCAAAGGCATTAGGTGGTGGAGTGGAAGAAGGCTAGACTGAGGAAAATATATGCCGGACAAAAGATGGCAGGTGTTATTATTTCAAAGCCACTGACGGCAATTGAATTATGGTCTTGTCCTTAGTGCGGTGTCACTTTAGACGTGATGCTCATCCCCTCGTCACTTTTTTCTGTGGGTGTCAGTGACTTCGATCCAACTGCTAATGGAGCTGACCTCATAAAATCAGGACCAGTGTCTCTCTGCACAGCAGTTGCAGTGTATTGTACACTAATGAAATTGGCTGAGGAGTTGGTGGTGAATGGGTTGCAAAGCATGTATTAGGTTGACTCGAATACTTGGAGAACAAACGCATATTGTCCCCTCATTGGTCTCTGATATCAGGGAATTTTTCAGTACCAGTGGCACGTATCACGATGTTAAATTGGTAATATTCCATCCTGAGTGGTGTCCACGAGGATCCCATCTCAAGGGTAATATTCCACCTAAAACAAAAGTAGGAACAGCTTTTTTGGTTCTATGATTCACCTCCGAATAATGAGTAGGTATCTGTCTGACTTAATTGGTGGCAAAGAAAAGTATGTGCTTAGCCCCCAAGTAGGTACCATATCAATTGTTGTAAGTTTTCCTACTCACCATCCTGTTCTATCCTGAGGTAGACATTGCAGGTTTACTCAAAGAAACTTCTGAGCTACTTTTTTTGTTTTTCTTTCAATATGCATCTAGTGTATATGTAATAATGCCTATATAGTATATCTAATGTGTAACATGCTTTTGGGACCATTCGAAGGTACAAAAGGAAGGAAGGAGCTACATGGATCGATAACAGCTCGAGCTTTGTCAGGAATTTGGGCTAACAGTCGAGATGCTGTGGCTTTAGAAGCATATAAAATCGACTTCACTTGCAATGAAGATTCTGTAAAATACTCAAGTTTTGTCCTCCTAATTGATGCCGTGTTAGACTCTGATATTTCTCATGTGGAAGTCAACCTTAATCTTGGTGCAAAGTATGTTACTTCATCTGTTTCCCCATGCGGCTCGTTCAATTTGAATGCAGAACAGGTTCCTTTCTTAAATTACATCCTTTTGTTCATTTCCTTCTCTCAGTGTTATTATCTTTTGAAGTCCATGATGTCATGATATCAGGTGGAGCACTCAAAACTCTTCCACGAGTTTTTCTTTAATGGGTTATTTGGAAAGTTGCTTATTGGGCCCAAATCTTCTGAAGTCCGTAAGAAATTCATCCTTTCTCCAGAAAGCCGACCTTTGTGGAGCACTACGAAGATGTATTTCTTATTACCTATTGATACTTCATCAATCTTTCGTCCTGGATCTTTGAACATAGATTGGGAAGCAGTTCGGGCGTGTGCATATGTGACCAATTTCATGAGGAATATACATTTATCTGGGCCTCAAAATGCATTACTGTGTCGAGTAGTAACTTCACTGGTCCCAACTGAAAGTTCATTGGTTGAATGCAAGGGAACAAGTACTATACACCTTGCTGACAAGTCTGTTCTTTTAGGTGAACACAAAGATATGGTAGTTTTGGCAGTTCATACTGGAAAATTATATACTGTAATTGACGCACTAATCGATATGTCTGCTGAAAGTCCATTTGATGATCGGACAGCCGGTTATACCAGTTTCTCAGACTACTTCTTTAAAAAGTGAGGAAGTTATCTACCTGGCATATGGCCTTCTGAGTTTGATGTTTTACGCACTGATACTTTGTAATGTAATTTTTCTTCTTTTACGGCTGCTGCAGATATGGTATTGTTCTTCGGCATTCTAAGCAGCCCTTATTTCTTTTGAAGCATAGCCATAACCCGAACAATCTTCTTTATTCAAACTCTAAGGGACAAGGTATTGTACTATTCACATTAAAAGATGTCAATAGGTTTTGAAGGCTTCGATTTGCCTGTTGTCTTGGTCTTTTTTTGAGCTGAAATTCCATTCTATGTATTTTTAGCTTCCAGTGTTTCATCATTACTGCGTGAGTAATGTTGTTTTGTTTTTATTTTCTTTTTTTTCCTGAAAACTCAATTCGTCATAGGTAAAGGTATGAGTACCAAACACAAGACTGTAAATGGTAGAGTGCACCATGACCGAAAGTCGTACTAGTTATTCCACCATTTGAAAATCTTGGTTAACGCTGAAGGGGACGGAGCTGAAAACGTTGAGACATTCTGATGATGCGAAAATTATCCTTAACAATATCTTTCGTTCCTTTGGCTTCTTGCCTCCGGGATAGACCGTGATCTGTCCTCAAACTTTAGATCCACATCCTTTGTTACTTTCTGATTGATCATCAGCTCGGTGAGAAATGATCCACTTGATTCCCACAAGGTAGAACAGCATGAGGACTGATAGTCTTAGTGGTATCGTTATTTCGAGAAGTTTCCATTCGAGTGTTCACCTTCTCAAATGGACAACAACTTTTACAGCCAGACAGTATGCGCTTGCTTGATGATGATTTGAATAACAAGTCCACAATGGACAGTCCTCGCTGCCTGCCCTTCCCTCTTGAATCAGGATTATCCCTCCTGATGGCTGTAGATCCCTCATTCAATGGGACTACGGTTGTGTGAGCCTAGGGAATTGAGTATATGGACTAATCCTTGTTTATTGTTGAGGAGAATGCAACTTAACCTGATATCTTCCTCATTGTAATTTTTATTTACCTACAAGACTAGTGGAGTTTGTTTTAAATTGTATTGGATGTCATTTCATTTAAATCCATAAGGTGTATTTTGTTCAGCATACTGATTTTGTTTTGCCTGAGTAAATATTGGTTTTCTTCCCATGTTTTATTTTTTAAGAAGAGTTCAACTGGAGTTGGAATATTACAAATAATGTCTTTCATTGAATATATTTTTCCGTCATCATGGATTGCTAGTAAATTTAAGACAGATGGGGGGGTTCTGACTATTGTATATGGGCTAAAGAAATTTGAAAATTGCCTTTTTTCCCCCTACAAATTTTGTTTTCCGTGTCAAATCCTGTTTAAAATGTTTTTAGCAGTTTTCCTGGGATCTCTGATCGTGTCTTGCCTTTTCTACTTTTTCTTTCTTAATGGAAGAATTTATGGCACATTCTATAAAATCTATAGTGCTACAAGGACGGTGAGTAGTATTTTCCTGCAACATTCTTGAATCCATTTATGGCATGCATCATATATTAGAATCTGGAATCTCAATGAAGATGTCTCCACTTTGGGAAACCCGGCCCATTATATTTGTATTTAAGTTGGTTATATGACTTCTTTCTACATTCCTCCTGAAATAATAGCGGTATTCGATGTCATATTTGGTGTGTACGATTAGCTGACTCCTCCCTTGGCGAAGCTGACAAGGCGAGTGGCATGGCACAGAGAAAGACACCAACTTATGCTCGCATGCCTCCAGAGCTTCTGATCCCCGTTGACGTGTCAGCCAAAACTTTGAAGTCGTTTTACCTGTTACCATCATTTATGCATCGGTTAGAATCGCTCATGCTAGCTAGCCAGCTAAAAGAAGAAATTGGTAACGCCTCTGCCGTGCCAAGTTTCCTGGTAATATACTATTTTCGTCGTTCAAAGTTTTCATCATTGGCACTCTGTGCTTATCGATCTGTTTTTCTAGATTCTGGAAGCAATTACAACCCTCAGATGTAATGAGGGCTTCTCATTGGAACGTTTGGAACTTCTGGGAGACTCTGTCCTCAAGTACGCTGTCAGCTGTAGTCTCTTCCTAAGATATCCTCAGAAGCACGAGGGCCAGTTATCTGCTTATAGATCAAGAGCAGTTTGCAATGCTACCCTCCATCAACTGGGCATCAGTCGTAACTTGCAGGTACATGGCAGAAGAAAATATCACAACTATTTTCCTGCGTATTTGTTTAGATGTAGGATTCCGTTGACTTTTTTTAACTTCTCCAAATGAATGATAATGTCTCATACATTTTGCACAGTAGATTACAAGTCCAAATGCATCACAGTAGATTCTGAATATTCTCGTTACATAATAACAAATTGATGTCTCGCAGGGGTACATACGAGATGCTGCCTTTGATCCGCGGTGCTGGGTTGCTCCCGGGCAGGTCCGTTTACGACCCACGCACTGCAGATGTGATGCCGACGCTTCCAAAGCTCCGATGAAGATTATCTCTGAGAAGGACGAAGGTCCTCGGGTTATTGGAAAGGCTTGCGATGAAGGTCACCGCTGGCTATGCTCCAAGACTGTCGCCGATTGCGTTGAAGCTTTAGTCGGGGCATACTATGTCGGCGGCGGCCTTCCTGCGGCATTCCACTGCATGGAATGGCTATCCATGGATGTTGGCATTGAGCCTGCATGGGTTGAGGAAGCCGCCCGGAGCGCATCTCTCTGGTCTTATCTTCCGAAGCTCGAAGAGCTTCAACTCCTGGAGAGCAAAATAGACTATAAATTTTCTTCCAGAGGGATTTTATTGGAGGCAATCACACATCCTTCTCAGATGGGAGCGGGCTACTGTTACCAGGTAAAGTACCCATTATATGTATATTTTTTATGACAAAAAATTATTTAAAATAAAAAATGATCACTGACCTCTAGGCTCTCTTTCAGCGGTTGGAATTCCTGGGTGACTCGGTACTGGACTTGCTCATCACGCGGCATCTATTTAAATCCCATAAAGATATCGGTCCAGGCGAGTTAACCGACCTGCGGGCAGCCTCAGTCAACAACGAAAATTTCGCTGGAGTTTCGGTGAGGTATAATCTTCATCATCACCTTCAGCACGGATCCGGAGCTCTCCTGGAGCAAGTAACTGCTTATGTCGAGAGTATCAAGAGCCATGACGTTGATCTTCCTCGCTCATCACCTAAGTCCTCCAAAGTACCCAAAGTGAGCTGCCATCTTCTTTTCACATATCATACTTACTCTAGTGCTCCTCTCTCTCTCTCTCTCTCTCTCCTCTTCTCTCTCTCCTAGCCGGCTGCCTTCCTGTGCTTCAGGTCCTCGGGGATATTGTGGAAAGCATTGCCGGGGCAATCCTCATAGACTCAAACCTTGATCTAGATGCAGTCTGGAAAGTGTTCCAATCCCTACTCTCTCCGATCGTAACCCCAGACAATCTTGAGCTCCCACCTCTGCGCGCATTGACGGAACTGTGCGCTAGCCGTGGTTACTTTGTGCACACAAATTACACTAACAGCAGCGACGACATTGTCGCCGAGCTCAGGGTCCAGCTCGAGGGCGTGCTCCTGGTCAGGCAAGGCCGTGATACATCTAAGAAAGCTGCAAAAGGACGTGCAGCAGCCCTTCTCCTGAAAGATCTCGAGGTTCGCTTTCTGTGCACCACTTTCTCCGCTGTGTTCCACTCCTCTGCGATGGCATGGTGCTCCATATCAGTCCAGTTTGGTTTCTAACGGCTCGGGGGATTAAACAGGAAAATGGCGTCTGCCATGACAGGCACCCAGCAAAGAGGAAGCGATCGGCCGAAAATCTCACCGCCACCCCCAACGCCATGGGGGACCTCCCCACCCCTAGGAGATCAAAGGCTTCACCACCTCAAGCGTCTTCACCTAGAGAAGGAGATGGAATACTTCACCGCCCACCTGAACCCAAACCCGACGATTCCTGCCGCTCTTCGCCGGGTATTCCTCTCCGGACTCGGATCGTCGGAATGATATAATCATCATGGAGTAGCTCGTCTCCGACTCGCTTTTAAATTATTTTTCTGTAGTGGAGGTGCCGGTGAAGATGCAGAAGGGAGGCGCGAGGGTCGCCCTGTACGAACTCTGCAAGAGATTGCTGTGGCCACTGCCGACCTTCGAATCCGAACTAGTGAAACCGAGGTTAGTAATCCGAGGAACAAGACGAAGCCAAAAAAGGTCAGACTCTGCTAACCTCATATAATCCGAGGGGACTCATTCTTGGTGCAGTGAGGCGGGGAAGAAGACGAGCGGGTTCGTGTCGAAGATGAAGCTGCACGTGCCGGATTCTCCCGCGCTCGAAGTCAGGGGGGACCCGCGGCTGGACAAGCGGAGCTCTCAAGACTCCGCCGCCCTTCTGATGCTCTTTGAGCTTCAGAAGCAGGGGACGTGCCGGCTCAAGGAGCTCTGACCTCACCAGGCACAGAATCTCACCTTTGTCTTCGTTCTGCCGGTAGTAGGGTCCGGTGCCACGTGGCGATGGCACAGCTTCCAGGCAGACTCCTCTAATTGGGCCAAAGGGCAGCGGCCCACCTCCATTCTACCTGCCCGCACATTGTAGGCTCCGACGACCGCTGAAATGGCAATTAAGGGCATTAACTGGCTTTCAGTTCAGACCCGGCACATGGTTTAGCCGCATATTGCGTCATTGCTCACGTCACCTTTTATTGTACAACAAGATCCCGCTCGTCATCCAGAGGCTAAAAAATGGTTTTATTATATACAATAAATATGGTTTTAAACTTTTCTTTAATATTAACCGGCCGGTGTGGCTTCCCGGGCTGGTTTTGTAGATCTCTCAGGGCTCGGCCCGGAAAGCGGGACCGGCACGGCCGGTTGAACAGCTCGTAGCACGGCCTGGCCCGGCTCGTATCGTCTGAACCGATGGTGAGGTGACACGGCTGTCTTCTTCATAAAATGGGACGTCCGTGGTACTTCTATTGCTATATTGGACCCGGACCGTGGAGCACCGGTCGCTCGCAGCCGCCTACGTCGTCCATCCGCACTTTTCCAACCGACGAGGCGAAACCCCCCCCCCCCCCTTTGACTCTCTCTCTCTCTCTCTCTCTCTAGCTCGGGGTGGACCTGGCGATCAGATTCTGCTCCGCGGGAGTTCCACGCGACGGCGAGAAGTTAATTCATGGGAGAGTATACGTGCAGAGAAGGGAAGGGAGAAGCGACTGCAGCCACAGGAAGGTACCCACGGGAGGAAGGATGATACGTGGTGCCGTCCTCCGTCACGGGGGAGCTTCCAGAGCGAGGGTCTCTGTAGAGGCCAGAGGAGGTTGAAGAGAGGGGGGAGGGGAGGGGAGGGGAGAAGACTAACCTGGAGAAGAAGATCGCCTCCGTCTGCTGATATCATCCTCTTCGAGCTCTTTCTTCTCGCCGTTGACATTTGACGGCAGCACCTTCCCGCTGCTCTCCCTGCTGCTGGTCCGACTGGTTTCGTCCTTCAACGAGCAGACCCCCCTGCAGTTTTGACGTAAGATCAATGGGAATTCTCCTGCCTAGGAGTAGTGGGTCGCGCTCTGCTTCGATCATGGCCGCCGTCACCATCATGCGCTCGTGAACGGAGGCTGAAAGAGAGCTATCTGCACTCGGTGTTGAATCCGGAGTAGCTTCCTCTCTCTCTCTCTCTCTTTCTGTCTTTCTGATTTTTCTATCCCTCCTCTGGTCCGCCCCCTGGTTCGCGGCGTGTTTGGCTTCCATGTTGTGATTTAATTTTTCTCTTCCTCGATCGGTATAAGTAGGGGCCGGCCAGAGATGGGGGTGGAGGAGTGGCTTGCGGGGGAGAGGCGGGAGGTGAAGTCTCTTCTGATGAAGATTGGGGTGGCCGTTTCTCTGTCATTCGCCGGTTATCTGTTCTATCGTCTTAGCCTCCAGGGAGACTGCGGTGCCCGCCGCCATCCCCGCTACGGTCGTCCTTCTTCTTCAGGTATTCGCCAACTTGCGTCTCCTCGTCTTTCCCCCGATTCTGTCGGCTGAGTGGCCAAAAGATTTTTCTTTTGAACCTTGAATTTTTACCTTCTCTTTAATCGTAGGGGCACGAGTTGAAGGCGGCCGAGAAACACGTGGGAGTCCCAGGGATAAAATTCTTTTCCAACGCGTAAGATCTTCCGGTGCTGTTCTCCCGTTTCCCCTCTTTGGTTGATTGTAGTATTTCCATCTGAAATTGCTCGATTATGCGCCCTGTAGCTTCTGTTCAATGGGATTCGTCCGATGCCACAGGAAGATGTATCGCCCAATGTCAGTAATGGCGGCGCCGCCACCAGGATATCTTTCGATGTCGTGGAACTTTCTCGGAGCAAAAAGAACTCAGAGGAAGATGGGGCATCATACCTGCTTCCACAGTTCCATGAGCTGGTGTTTGGAGGACTGGACACGGAGGCGATGGAGACGGATATCTGTGAAAACCCGCCTGCGAAGATATCACCGGAGAACGGTGAGGAGACGGCAAGGGAGCAGGAGATCGTCTTCCTGAAAGACCTGGTCCAGTCGCTTCAGGAGAGGGAGAGGAGCCTGGAGGACCAACTGCTCGAGTATTACGGCCTCAAGGAGCAGGAATCAGTTATGTTGGAGCTCCAGGACCGCCTGAACATCGGTGCAATGGAGGCCGAGCTTCTCTCTATCAGGATTGATTCCCTGCAGGCTGACAACCAGAGGCTCCAGGAGGAGTTATCTGATTATATGGCGACTAAGGCCGAACTCGAATCTGCGAGGGCCAATATCAACCATCTGAAGCGAAAGTTCGAGTCAGATTCGGCCAAGGCGAAGGAGACGGTTGCTGCTCTGCAAGAGAGGATTGCTGCGCTGCGAGATCTGGAGCGCAAGGGAGAGGATGAGTATCAGGAGATGGAGAGGAGACTGGAGAGACTGAATGATCTGGAGCGCGAGGTTGCAGAGCTCAGAGAGATGAACTCGAAATTAGAAAAGGAGAACGTATATTTGTCGGAGAAGTTGCGATCAACACAAATTTCTCGCCCCTCCGCACCAGACATTCCCCAGGTCTGAACCAGAATCTCGAATTTCTTCCCCCACATTCAAATTTCATTTATTCACCGTTTCTCACGGAAGCGGAATTGTGTGACAGGCATCGGAGGAATCAGAGGAAGCGATCCATCTGAGACAAACGAACGACGAACTGGCGAAGGAAATAGAGCAGCTCCACACCGACCGCTGTGCAGATGTGGAAGAGCTGGTCTACCTCAGATGGATCAACGCATGTCTCCGGTACGAGCTAAGAAACTACCAGACGCCACCGGGGAAAACAGTGGCGAGGGATTTGAGCAGGACGTTGAGTCCTAAATCAGAACACAAGGTCAAGCAGCTCATCAACGAGTACGCAAATCCTGGATCTATGGAGAAAACCCCCGCTAACCTGGTTGATTTTGAGTGGGAGTGCTGCTCTTCCTCTCAGGCGTCCTCCCAGACGGAAAACGGGGAACCGGACGACGCCTCATTGGATGCTTCTGCAGCTACCAAAGCTAGCGGCTCCGGCAAGACAAAGTTCCTCTCAAAACTCAAGAGACTGGTATTGGGAAAGGATACTGGTGGTCACCGGCATCTTTCCGTCGAGAGAAGCCCAAGAAGCTGCAGCAATTCGGCAAGGAGAGCAACCACCCATGCTTCTTGGTTTGACGAGATGACTGGAAGAGATTCCTGTGATAGCTCCACCTCTCGCACAGAAAAGTTCGACGAGAATCATTACGGTCATCATCAGGAGAATGATTCCGCTTGGGCTCGAAATCTTCCCCGAGTCTCTCTAGATTTCCAGAGGCTGAGGGGCCACGATGACCAGGCGGAAGCTGCAGGGACACGCTGCAAGAGCGATGTAGGGGCCTCATGGCGGACGAGAATGGCGTCGTGCGAAGCGGCCTTCCTACGTTCTCCCCATGACTCGAGGATCGACGAAGAAGAAAAGCTGTTAGCACAGGGGAGATTTGTCCACGCTCCAGAGACGCCCCCTCTGAGAAAGACCACAACCCGCCTAAGATCTGCCTCGTTAAGCTCCGCATGATATCTGTCTTTATAGGCGCCTTAATGGGTCTTTTTCATCAGGCCCATTACACTCGAGATTAGAATGAACTTCAGTGGACTGGGCCTGTTAAAAAGCTGTTCCTCTTAAGCTCTAGTCTAGCCCAATAACAGCCTTTTATGTAGTCCTCTGCCAGGCGGTGACCGAAAGAAAACTCACCCGACGGTTGTAGCAACCGTTTTCTCTGTAACGAACTCCTCACCTAACAGACATCCTACTACGGTGAACCTTCGCGCCTGTTCTCTCTCTCTCTCTCTCTCTCTCTCTCTCTCTCTCTCTCGCTCCGAAATAAAAAGGGCTTCGACTTCCTCACTCCCGCCAGAAAGGAGATCATTAGAAGCGAGAAAGAGAGAGAGAGAGGATGGTGGGTGGTGTTGTGGCTCCGCTGGTCTCACCAGTGACGGCGACGCTGTACGTAGGGGATCTCGATGATGGCGTCAACGAGGTCCATCTCTCCGCGGCGTTCAGTGGTTGCGGCAACATTTCCTCCATCCGTGTCTGCCGCGACTGGCGGACAGGCAGTTCGCTCCGCTACGCCTACGTCAACTTTTATTCAAGATCCAATGGTGAATTCCTCCGTTCGTTACTTCCTCTCTTCGGTCCTCCTCCCCATCTTGATGATCAGTTCTAGGTTTTCTTTCTTCGGCTTCTTCCACTTCTGTTGTCCTGACTCTCGTCTTCTGATGATTTTTCATAAGCCGAGAAAGCTCTGAAATCGCTTAATCACACCCCTTTGCTGGGCAAGCCAATGCGGATCATGTGGTCCCTGAGAAACCCCATCTTGAGGAAAACTGGCGAGGCCAATGTCTTCGTTAAGGTTTAATTTCTTGCGGACTGTCCTCCTCGATTTCCATTTTTTCTTCTCCGCTTCTGTACTTACGTTCGATTTTCCCGAATATCGTAGAATCTTGACCCCTCCGTTGATGGAGCGAAACTTGAGGAGATGTTCGGCAAGTACGGCATGGTATTGTCGTGCAAGGTGGCGACGGACGACGGTCGGAGCAAGGGCTTTGGGTTCGTTCAGTTCCAAGCAGAAGAATCTGCTCAGGCCGCCATTAAAGCTCTCCATTGCTCCCAAGGGCACGGCGGCAAGAAGCTGTAACATCCTTCCTCCGATCTCCCATATTCTTCACTCCACTGCATTCTCTTGGATTCCATCAAATTATCAGGATTATCTGAGGCGTCTGATTTGAGCGGTTTGCCCTAAATTTCTCCGCAGTTATGTCGCTAAATTTGTCAGAAAGAGTATGAGGCAGCCACCCGACTTCCCAAAATTCTCCACCCTCTTCATCAAGAATCTGGACGACGACATCACAGATGAAAGCCTTTTGGAAAGATTCTCTGAGTTTGGGGAAGTCAGAAAGGCTCATGTCGTGAGGGACGGCGCTGGATCTTCCAAGGGCTTTGGGTACCTCAGCTTCGAGTGGCCAGAAGACTCGAAGAAGGCAATTCAAGCCATGAACGGCACCCAATTCGGTCATCACCCTCTCCATTCCCGCGATATCTATGTTTGAATCTTGTTGTTCTTCTTTGTGATGACAGAATCTCCGTTGACTTTAGGATCGAAGACAGTGTATGTGGGGAAGGCTCTAACCAGGGCCGAGCGGGAGAAGGCTCTGACACAAGGATCCGAGGGATCCAAGAACACCAAGTGCAGCCATCTTCCGTCTGTCCTCGTAAGAAAAAGAATACCCCATACTTTGACCTTCTTTGACAGGAACAGGCTCCTGCAAACCAGAGCTTGACCGTGAACATCTTTCCGTCTGTCTGTCTGTCAAAACTTACATAGAATTCAGCCATATTCGTGAAGAATCTTCACGTTTCCGTCGATGACCAAGCTCTGCGGGAGATCTTCAGTGGGTGTGGAAGAATCCGCTCGGCCACTGTCGCGCTAGATGGCAAAGGGGTCAGCAGGGGGTTCGGCTTCGTGGGCTTCTCCGGCCCCCACGAGGCGGCAAAGGCCATCTCCACTCTGAACGGTAAGAACTAAAAAGAAGATCTTCAGTGGGTGCGCTTAATTTCCTCGTGGAGAGAAAATGCGGATCAGTAGCTCTCAATTATCGCAGGCGCCGTGTACCTCGGCAGGCGCCTGCATGTGGCGATAGCTCAGAGGAAGGAGGACCTCCAGAGGGCCATGCAGCTCCGGTTCCCCAAGGTGAAGGCGCCCATGGTGGAGGGCATGCGACCTCAAAGCCATCCGCCGTGGATGCTGAAATCCTACGGATTAGGATGCTTTCAGAAGAACCAGGCTTTTCTAGTGGTAAACGCACTGCACACAATATATATACATATATATTTTTCTATTTTTGGCAGCTGAAATCCTAACCACGAATGACGGATTGTTGACCCATGGAATTTGCAGAGTCAACTATGGATGAATGGGTACCCGTACCCAATTCTACCCATCCAGCAGCGGTACCTCCTCGGGCTGCGCACGCCGTGAAGGAATATTAAAACGACTGGGGATGGCGTCACAGGCGGACTGATCTCCGACGACGGCGCAAAAAAAAATAAGAAAATAAAAAGAGTTGCCTTTTAATTCCGATGCCGGGACTTGAACCCGGGTCTCTCGGGTGAGAGCCGAGTATCCTAACCAACTAGACTACAACGGAATCGTTAAAAGAATCTCCATCTTCAACCACAAATTGCCTCTACCGCCAACTTCTTCATGATTCCGGGGCAAGGATCCCCGCCGAACACATCGGCGGCGACACCCACCGTACAGCGTTCCCGGCCCACACAGTTCTGCACCGCAATAGTAGGGACACATAAGAATTAACGACCACAGAAATCTAGAAGATGATGGTAATGGAGGCGCGCACCATCTTGAGGGCATCGTATGATCGGTGGGCGTGGCAGGACCCCTGGGAGAAGTTGCCGCAGAAGCCTTGCGGCGTGCCGAAGCTGGCGAATCGAATAGCGGAGATCTTCTGCCCAGGGGAACAACCCAGCCGGGCCTTCGGCCTCCTGGGGGCCTCGGCCCTCCCCGGGTCCTCGATTCGCCAGTTCGATGGCTGCCATTCGGAGATGTCCGCGCAGACGCTCCCCACTGTCCTCCTCACCATCGTTATCCCCACCGGGTCCCCTCCCCACTCCTCGAACACCACCATCAGATTCCTCCCCGTCGGATTTAGCCACGATCGAGGGACGTGGTACCTTCATCAACCAATCAATCTTTCAATCAGTTCATCTGTGATCACCACTATTGGACGAGCCTACAAGGAGGAGAGGGGTTACCATCTCTGAGAGGGCTCGCCGCAGTTGCTCTGGCACTTGTTCTCGTTGTACTCGCCGGCGTAGCTGCAACTGCTGCTGCAGGAGCCGTGGGCCTTGTAGCCGGGCCAGTGGCGGCCTATGCTCAGGCCGTTTATCCACACCTGTCCCTTCCCCATGCTGCCCATGTCCAGAGCCAGCGGGTCGTCCCCCGGGGGCGCGCTGAACAGAGCCTGGGAAGAGGAAGGAACGAATGATGATAATGATGATGATGATGATGATGATGATGATGATGATGATGATGATGATGATGATGATGATGATGATGGTGATGAGAGAGAGAGAGAGAGAGAGGGATGAGATGTGCCTTGTACCTTGTACCATGTGAGGGGTTGATTAGGGTAGACGTCGGCCCACTCGACCGAGGAGCTGCCACTGAGGGAGTGCAGCTCCAAAGCCTCGCCTTTCAAGCCGACCTGCAAGAGAGCAACGGGACTTGCTTCGTTAAGAGGGAAGGTTTATGTGTGTTTCCAATATTGGAAGCACTGGTCAGCGGGGCAGGGCGAGAGGGGGGCAACCGTGTACGTCCAGTTCTGCCAGGTGAGGTCCCTCTGCCCCTCGTTGAGCCCGTCCAGCACCACCGGGCCCAGAACCCCCGCGTTCCACGTCTCAAAGTGCTCCCCTACGTTCTGAAAAAACCCCAACCGAAAGAGGGAGGAGTCTTTACTCAGAAAAGAAAAAAAAGAGGAGCCTTTGACTCGGAAAGACTTTCCTCTAAACCAGAGTACCTGTTTGTGGTGGAGACGAGGGAGGGGGAGAGCTCACCGGGAGACCGACGGCCACACTTAAAATGGAAATCTTGTTACTGCCAGCCCGCAGCTTCGCCGTCCCTGTGTACGTGAGCTTTGGATTCTCCACACCCCCGTAGACGGTCCCTGGCAGATAGAAAATCACAGACAGGAATGAATAAATTAGCCGGCGGCATCATTTAGTTGGGGAGGAGAGAATTTCGTCGGAGATTCCTGCCGCCTAACCCGTGAGATTCCCGTTGACGAACACGTGCAACGAGTGGCCCGCTGACATCGCCGTCAGCGACGGGTACTTCCCATTCATGAGGAACTCTTCATCCTGGCCAATGTCAACGCTGCCAGAACATTTCCATTAATAGGTGGTAGACAATGGGATCCATCTCTGAGTACCGCAGGGTCTCTGGGTTCGGCCCCACTTACTATGTCGAGTACCAGAGGTAGTCAGTGGAGTCGCGGGTCATGTTGACTTGTTCTAGGAGGCCCGTAGTCGTGAACGAGCCGCTGTCGAGTGAAGTTGACTCCTCGCTGAACGAAGTCCACTCGTATGCGCCGGCCGAAGTCATCTTCATCAGGGTGGTCTGGAAGCTCACCTGCTTGGGGAGGTCAGATCAGAGCAAAACAAAGACTGGGGTCTTGGATTTTTCCGAAAATAAATTACTGTCATGAAATAAAAAGGTTTATAAATCGGAGGAGAGATGGTCTGAGTAAAGAGCAGATTTTTCGAGATTTCCCGAAATAAATAAAGATTTTCGGCATGTTTTACCTAGAAAATTATTACAAAAAAGGGATTTCTACGGAGAGATGGCGCAAATAAAGGCTACATTTTTTATTTTTCCATGAGTTAATTACAAAAAAAATTTAAAAATTTACGAAGACAGAGAGAGCACACACAGGGTAAATTTAAGACTTTTCTCAAAAAAAAAAAGGCAACCAGAAATAAAGTCTAGATTTTTCAATTTTTCCCGAAAAAAAGGGAAAATAAAGAGAACGAATAAAATCAGGAAAAGAAAACCCACTGGATGGGGGAAATCGTTCAAATGGAAACAGATCGTACATCTGAAAACCCTAAAAGATCACACATTGGCAGAGTAAGAAAACGGCAAAATCAATAGACATCGGTGCCCATGTATCCATATATAGTAAGATCGAATAAATTTAGGAGCCTTTGATGAAACATAATGAATCATCCTGTTGAAACTACATCAGATTTGGTGGGTTCCAAAGATCTGATTCTAAGCTCCTCCACACACACTGACAACCCCCCGCCCATTCCTCGGGAAAAAAGCTCCTCTTTGCGAGGATTCACTCACCCTGGCAGTGTTAAAAACAGCGTTCTTGCAATCAGGAAGGACGCTGATGGACCAGGGAGGAAGATCATAGTGCACCCCATCAAACTCAACTTTCGCATACGAATTCGAGTCATAATTGGCAAGAAATGCTGCGCAACTCCCCTCCGTCGAGTTGAAGACATGAGCCTGAATACATGAAGAAAGCCACAGCTTCAGCTAGCTCCAAGCTCATAAGGGTATGAGCAGATCATTATGGGCAATACCTCCTGATGATTTCCGAGTGATATACGAGCAGGATCTCCGGAGATCAGAGCGGGCTCACACAGTTTGATGGCTCTGTGCAGGTCCCTCAAGTGACCCCATTTGGGCTGCCTTAGCAGACCTGCAGAAAAGAGAGATGGGAGTCACTGTTTCAAGAAATGTTCATGAGAAACCGACCCCCATCAATCGTTTTCTCCTATAAATCATTCATTTCAGTAGACCCGGATTGGAGAAAATGACTGATGAGTGGAGTTCATCGAACTGTTGCGATTGGCTCTCGGATTTTTGAACTGATTGCGCACCATATTCGTCGATGGGAGCGTCGTAGTCGTAGCTTGTTGCGATAAATGGGCCACCAGCTGTCCGACCAAAGTTGGTTCCTCCATGGTACTAAAAATGGGGAAGAAAAATCATAATGTGAATTGAGCCCACATTTTCCATAAAGATTCGGGATATCAATAACCCTTGCATTGCAGCATTTACCATGTAGTAGTTGACAAAGGATCCACCTTTCTGGATAAACCTCGCGACAGAGAAGGCCAGATCCTCAACGGGTCGGTGAGGGACTGTTCCTCCAAAGGCTGTGAACCTTCACCAGATGAACCCACGTCAGAAATCTTCGTTGGCCCTCTCCCTCCCTCTCTCCCTATCTCTCTCCCATGCCTTAATGAGCCAGTAGGAACTATAATTACCAGCCGGTCCAGGCTTCAGTCCACATGGTCGGCTTGTAGGGCTGGTTGGGTGTGAAGTAGTCGCAGTAGAAGCCATTACAGCTGTTTATCTGCAGTAATTCAGATCGTTTGGATTCCGTAAATCATCAGATATTCAAGAACAGGCTCTTGGAAACAAAAAAAAATTGAATCCCAAATCAGAATTTGGAAATTAAATATACCAGAAAGGGAAATAATCGAAAGGTGCTCGGAAATCCCACAAAGGAGAGCATAATCAAAAGTTAGAGGCAAGCCATGTGAGGCGGGGTCCTCATCAGAATGATGAAAGAATATCTAAAAAAGATGAGAATTTGGAAAAGAAAAGGCCAGCATAGGCATAGCGAGAGGGTGGCCTTGGAGGGGGTATCCTACCACTGGATCAGGGGCATCGTCTTGTTTGCACATGACCCAGGGAACGCCAGTGTTGAGGCCGACCGCCATCTTCGCCGCCCAGTTCGCGTAAGCTCTGGCCGGAGCCCCGCCATTGTATTCCAACGGTCCAAACTCATTCTCTATCTGCGAGATCAGACCGAGCGGGTGAATGAGACCAATTTCTCTCTCTCTCTCTCTCTTGTCAAACGCAGTCAGTCGGTAGGGTGAGCAACCTGGGCGAGGATGATGGGGCCTCCTTGCCACTCGAACAGTTTCTCCGCCTTCATCATGTGGACGATCTTCTCTGTGAATTTCTCCATCGCGGCCTTTTTCCAGGAAGCAGAAGAAAGAAACAGTTGATCTCTTGGAACAGGCAACGTGGGGAGGGAGAGAAGATTGAGTGTTCTTCGGGGAACCAACCTTGAAAGGTTCGTTGTCCGTTCTGAACCTGATGCCGGGAACGTATTTCAGCCAAACTGGGAATCCCCTGCCGCACAAGGAAGAAGAAAGAGGGGAGGGGGGGTTAGGATTCTTGGACCCGAGAGCCGTCGTTTCAGAGGAATTCTCCGCTCGGGCAGCGGGATTCTGATGATTTCTTACCCGAAATTCCACTCGGCGCAGACGTAAGGGCCAATGCGGAGATGAACGTAGAGACCCGCCGCCTTCACCAGCTTGAGGAAGCGGACCAGATCGTACCTCTCCTCGAAATAATACTGAATCCATGGAGAAGACAGTCGATCAGAAGGAACGATGGAAAGCGGAGGAAGAAACCCAACAAGAAACAGCTTCACAGCGACATGTGGGATAAGAAAAGAGATTACATTGCCGGGAGTTGGCTCGTGCCCGTTCCAGAAGACGTAAGTCTGAATTACGTCGAGTCCCCCGTCCTTGGCCTTCTGTATGAGATCCGGCCACATCTGAACATCCCAAAAGAGGAAGAGGGGAAGAAAAACGTCAGCTGGGAGAACAGCCCGCATTACCAAGGAGATGGAATGACGAGGAATGACAGAGAGATGGCAACGACAGCTCACCTCGGGGACACTCCTGGGGTAGTGGATGGAGCCGGAGATGAGGATCCTCCGCTGCCCATTGATCACGACGGCCTTGTGGTCATAGGTGACAGCAGCGGTTGCAGGCGCAGGAAGGAGGAGAAGGATCCATAAATGTACCAGTTGCAGCGGCGGCGGCCTCACCGTCCCAGCACGGCGCATTCCTGCCGTCGTCCCCATCCCCGCCGCCGGCTCCAGCCGCCGCCCACCCCTTCAAACCAGGCTCCTCGCTTTCCCTTCTCTCTCTCCTTCGCTCTTCTTTTCCCTTTTTAATTCCAGAGAGGAAGACAGAGAGTAGATAGATGGATGGATAGACGTGAATAATGCAGCAGGATCAGAACGCCTAAGAGCAGCAGCAGCCACTAGGAGCTGTATTAGAGGAAGAAGAAGAAGGGAACAGCTGTTCTCCGATCCTTGGCTTTAGCTTTTACTGTCATCCTTTTCCATTGCCTGCACCTTCTGCTACGTCTTCTTTCTCCCCACGCTTTCCCCTTCTTCCTCCCTCTCCACACTTGCCATCAGACCCTTTTCCCCTAAGAAATCTTCTCTACAGATCACAGAGCTGGGCTTATTTGTCTCTGGAATATTCAACTTAAATATTTTACTTTTTCAGAAAATCTGAGCGTATTCCCATCTGGGTGAAGATCCGGGGTAGAAGGATCACACGAACGGCACGTGCGTGTCAGAGAGAGAGAGGGGGGCGGGGGATCACCGACCACCTGCTACGTCGACCGGAAATGATGGTTCAGTAAGTTGGAGAGACCAAACACGGAACTGGCCGCAGGGCCGTTATTGGGCCTGTCCGACGTGGCCGGGTAGTGCTTGACACGTGGGCTGGGGGGATGGGGAATTCGGAGCGACAGCACGCACGGTTCTCGTCCTTTTTCGCGTGATTGGTTAAAATAAAGTGGGACCCGCAATTTCCAACTCTCCTATTCGGAACTCATGTTGAAGGGCGTGGGACATGCGCACTCGTACTGTTTGGACTCTTCTGTACCCGTAGAGCAGAACACCGGAAAGCCGGAGACAGGACAAACGGTCCAGGTAAGCAGTGGATCACGGTGGGGGCCACATGCGGGTGTCGCGAAACTCGATCGGCAATTATTTATTACTTATAATTTATACCGCGGTACAGCGAATAGCAGAAATGAGAGATCCATGGAGGGTGAGATGTCCGAGGTCGAAGTAACGTGGACGGCTTGTCCATCTGCTACGTGGCTCCGCGGCGTATTTGGTATGCTAATCCTCGGATCACCATACCCATTAGCAGAGATCACGTGGCTCCCATTCCTCTTCAAAACTTATAAAAAGGCTGATGGGCGGGGAGTAGAGAAGACACCCCGCGCTCCGGGGAGGAGGATCACCCTTTTTGGTCGTCTCGCGTCTCGAGGTGGGTGACGGAGGAGCGAGATCCATGACGGAGGGGGGTGATGGCGGCGGGATCTTCGTCATCGAGGCCGCAGAGGCGGAGGCGATGGCTAGGCAATCGGGGATCACCGTCCTGCAGCTCCTTCCTACGCTGGTACCCTCCGCGCAGGCGCTGGCTTGGCCGCCGATCTCCAGGTTCTGCGTAGGGGCTGCCGGATTGGGATCCAGCGGGAGAGTCTACCTCGGGGTGAATCTGGAGTTTCGCGGGGTGCCGCTGAACCAGTCCGTCCACGCAGAGCAATTTCTGATCGCCAACGCCGCCGGCCGCGGGGAGAGGCGGATCAGCCACATCGCCGTGTCCGCCGTCCCCTGTGGCCACTGCCGGCAGTTCCTACAGGAGGTCCGCCATGCGTCCGAGATCCAGATCCTGGTAACGTCCGAGGGTCCGAGGGCCGAATTCCAGCCGCTGTCTAAGCTCATTCCCCATCCCTTCGGTCCCCGTGATCTCCTCCACGAGGACTGTCCCTTTCTGATGGAACCTCGTGATAACAACCTCGTTCTCGTGGCGGATGCCGGCGACGGGAACCACGGACTCGCTGTTTGCAATGGCAGGGCCCTGCTGGAGGGCAAACTGCGGGCCGCGGCGCTGGAGGGGGCGCGGACGGCACACGCGCCGTATAGCGGTTGTCCGTCGGGATTCGCGGTGGCGGACGAGGAAGGGAGGGTATACGGCGGCGGCTACGCCGAGTCGGCGGCGTATAACCCCAGCTTGGGGCCAGTGCAGGCGGCGCTGATCGCCTATGTGGCCGGGAGCGGACGCCGCAGCGACCGCGGCGAGGACGGAGGCTACGACAAGATCGTGGGGGCGGCGTTGGTGGAGGCGGAAGACGCGGTGGTGTCCCACGAAGAGACGGCCAGGATGTTGATGGCCGCGGTAGCTCCGCGATGCCGCCTCGTCGTCTACCGATGCAGACCCGGCTGATCCCCCGGACTCCCGTGGTTGGCATTCTCTCTGGATTCCCTTCACCGCGAGCCGCACGTCTCCGTCCCCCCATTCTTCTACCTCTACTCTGCGATGTGTGCCTTCTCAACCTCAACCACCTGTAATAGAAATGGAGTGCGTCCCACTAGCAGCAGCACCATTGCTGACGGGAGCGATGCGACTTCCAGGTACACGCTCCTTCCTGTTGCGTCACCTTCTGAAACGCCTACCAGCCTCTCCATCCATTCGATTAAAAAAAATGAAACGAAGTTAGCTTATACCGTCGAATCAACTGATTGATCGATCACCTCGGAGCCGCTCCTGAGCCACCGAGGCAGGAGAGGAGTGGACGACCCGGATCTCGCACGTCGTCCAAGCTTCGCGGGAGAAAACACCTGTGTGCCCCACTCCTGCAGAAATTATCACATATATCCTCATTTTCGCAAAGGAACAGAAATAAATAAATAATCCATATTCCTCGGATTTATTGCCCCCCGCTACAGGTAGAATCCATTCCTCGGAATGAAGAAGAATGACGTTTTACAGGAGACAGAGATTCGAGGTGATCGCACGTGCGGGACTCGACTCGGCGAGTTCTATTTATTGGGAATCGGATGCCGAAATTGCCGAACCTCGGATTGACACGGTGATCCCCGCGGGAGCCACCGACTGAGAAGGTAAAATCGGAGGGCGTATTTCTGTGGGAGAAGGAGACGGGAGGGGTGGAGAGGAAGAGGAGGACTGGGAAGGGGAGGAAATGGGAGGAGGGGTGGAGATGGAAGTAGGTTGCAGTAGCAGCGGAAGCAACGGCGAGAAGGTCGTCAGTGGGAGGAACTGGGAGTGGGTGGGAAATTTCAAGAGGGATCTTCTGGCGGGGGCGGTCATGGGAGGGGTGGTGCACACCGTCGTGGCGCCCATCGAGAGGGCGAAGCTGCTGCTCCAGACGCAGGAGAGCAACGCCGCCATCGTCGGGATCGGTGGGCGGTCCAGGAAGCGGCGGTTCCGGGGGATGGTCGACTGCCTTGCGCGGACGGTGAAGGAAGAAGGCGCGCTCGCCCTCTGGCGCGGCAACGGAACCGGCGTCATCCGCTACTACCCCTCAGTGGCCCTCAACTTCTCCTTCAAGGTACCCTCCTTTCTCACCCCACCCCCCCCCCAAATATTCATTGCTGCCTTCTCAATCGTCGATCTTCTTCGCATTGTGTGGTGTACATTGCGTACTGTTCGTCGTAGGGTAAGTCCTACATTCGACCTAAGCTTTTTCCTTCTCTGGCATTCTCCTCCATCTCTGTGGACCCGAGTTAGGGCGTGATCGATGTTTTGAAGAGTGATCTAGATTCGCGCAGCTTTTCTCAATTGGGTACAACTTCATTTTTGGGGATAATTTAAAATTCCGGGTCGATTTATCCTACGATCAGTGAACAAATGTAAGCCAAAATAATCTGGTTATCTGAGGCTGATTCCATCGACATCCTCGAATCAAAATAATCTCGAAATGACGGATACAGAAAAACACATTATCTTAGGCTTTTTCCTGGATTATTCCCATGTACACTCTGGTCCATCCTCCACCCCCCCTTTCCCCAAGCATTAGTCCCAGGCCGCCCTAATCTTGATTTGATTTCCAGGCAATTGTGCATGATCAGCATCCTGACTCAAAGAAGTAAGAATCCTGTGAAACCCAAATCATTAGTTGGCGTGGCCACAGGCTCCTTTGTTTTCCTATAATTACATCATCTCCCACCATCTCCTTTCTTGAAAAAGAGGTCTTCTATCGCTGATGTATGGATGCAAATGGCGTGATGCTGAGAAGACAGACCTATTTCTGGCATGACCCATTTCTTGGATGTGGTGCAAATATGGTGATTTTGTAGTAGATTGATTGATCATGCAACTCGCTTGACCTATTTCTGGCAACTCGCTTTACTCTACCATTGGTTTTTTTTTTTTGACATCTATGCATTTCTTCGAAGATGCGGGGAGTTAGAACAAGGAACAAAGGGATATAAAACAATTTGGTCCATTATTTATTTATTTAGTTATTTTTTTCAACGTATATTGTCATGGGGCATATACCATGTTCTGAACTTGGTCTTCACATAGTCGTGACCCAGGTACTCTGATCATTCTTTATCTTATAAAAGATTTAGTTCTAGAGTTGAATCATTTTTCTGAGTCAAGGTTTTGTCTGGCTGGCGTCCCTGGCTTGAGTTGACTTTTTTGAACCGACCCAGATCTTATGCTCTATGGGCCGCATATCCCACGTGGGGGATGGACCTTATCGCCCATCTGATCAGTTCTTCTATTTCATGGGTATTAATTACAGTCTGATACGAGATGCACTAGCTCTTGATCCGAATCCAATTCTGCAAGTCAACTTTTGCTCTCATCCTTCCAATCTAATCGAGTGAAGATTACGTTACGCAGGATCTTTACAGGACGATGCTGAGGAGCACGGCCCCAGTCTGGTCCCAAGACGACAGCAGCCTGATCTCGGGCGCAGCCTCCAATTTTGCTGCCGGGGCTGCTGCCGGCTGCACAACGCTGATCATCATCTACCCACTCGACATCGCCCACACCCGCCTGGCGGCCGACGTCGGCACTGCCAACTCCCGGCAATTCCGCGGCATCTACCACTTCCTCTGCACCATCCACGAGAAGGAAGGGATCAGGGGCATCTACCGGGGCCTGCCGGCATCCCTCCAGGGGATGATCGTCCACCGGGGGCTCTACTTTGGCGGCTTTGACACGGCCAAGGAGCTCCTGGCACCGCCCGGGTCGCCACCAGAGGCGCCGCTATGGCAGCGCTGGGCAGCGGCACAAGTCGTCACCAGTGCTGCCGGCATGATCTCCTACCCGCTGGACACCGTTCGCCGGCGAATGATGATGCAATCCGGCATGGACGATCGCATGTACCACAGCACAGCCGACTGCTGGAGGAAGATCTACAGGGCGGAGGGGGTCGCCTCCTTCTACCGAGGGGCGGTGTCCCACCTCTTCAGGAGCACTGGGGCGGCCGCCATCCTCGTCTTGTACGACGAAGTCAAGAAGTTCATGGAGTGGGGTGGCATCTGACCGCATCAGCCATGGCGGCGCCACCTGAGTAACACCACTTTTGGATAGACGGAATTTCAGTAAACAGAATGGTCCGATGATCCACCACCCGCCTGTAAATCGGACGAATTTTGGAGATGGAACCATGTCATCGAAGAGAATCAGGTGGGTCAGCGACAGGCTAGTCGTCCCCGGCGTTGACTCATATCCTCCAAGATATGATCCGGGGAAGTGAGTCAAGTGGGTCTGCGATGAGCTGGTCATTCGGGTCGTTTCTTCTCCTCCATGATATGATCTGAGGGAGAGGCGCCGAAAAACAAACGTGTAATTGAAGCGAATCAAGTAGGTTAGCGACCAGCTGGTCATCCGGGGCGTTGACTCCTCATATCCTCCATGATATGATCCGGAGAAGGGCGCCGAGAAACAAGCATGTAAACGAAGTGCATCAAGTGCGTCAGCGAGAAGGTAGTCATTCGGGCCGTTGACTCCTTATCTCCTCCATTATATGATCCGGGGAAAAGGCGCCGAGAAACAAGCATGTAATTCAAGTGAATCAAGTGGGTCAGCGACAAGCTGGTCATTCGGGCCGTTGACTCCCCGTCTCCTCCATGATATGATCCGGGGATGTGAACCAAGTGAGTCAGCGACAGGCTGGTCATTCGGGACGTTGACTCCCCACCTCCTCCATGATATGATCCGGGGGAGGGGCGCCGGCCGAGAACCCCAGTCTCCGCATCAGGTCCTCCAATCGCTTCACGTCGGTGAGGTAGAGAAACCCGATCTGCCGAACAGGTTCAGAGGGGGAGATCAGCATGTGGGTTCTTTCTTTCTTTCCTTAGATAGAGGGATCTCCCGCTGTGGGGGGAAGAGTGAACAAGAAAAGTGTTTCTTACGAGGGTTTCGAGGGAGGATGCCCGGCTGTAGACCTGCATGCCGGCCCGCTTCTTCGTCCGGGTCTTGCCGGATGCGATGTTCTTCCCCCACCGAAGAATGTCTCTGTGGAGAAGAGGATTTCAATGGCGGAATCTCATCTCTCCAAGCATATGGGGGATGGGGAGCTCTGGTTACCTCTCTTCCTCTGTAAGGTAGTCCTCGTTCATCAGCTTTTTCAGCAATGCATCCTGCCACATCGAGCGTAACGTTAGTGGGTAGGTAGGAGGCTGAGCTCTGAAGATGTTCTTGAAGACTGATAAGACTCGGGGGCGGTGGATTATGTGATGGAACAGGGAGCCTTAGAGAGAGAAAGAGAAATCTCTCAAACATCCGTCCGAACCTGCGCTTCGCACCGTACGATCGCCATCACACGTTCGTTGTATACGTCGATGCTCTTCGGGGGGAACAAAAAGTGCCTGCGGGCGTAGAGCTGCAGAGAGAAGAACGTCACAGAAAGCGCTGCGGCGCGTTATATAATTGCGAGCGCAGGAAGAACATCGCACAAAGTCAACTGCCTTAGAAGACTTTTTCTATAAGAAGCGGCCGCATCAGATTTCTAAGATAATTATCGATTTCCAGATAGAATACGTCTTCTTTTATTCGTCGATATCAAACCCGGCGGCGCAGAAAACTGCAGATGAAAGGTAAAGACTCTGGGGAGCATCAAAAGAAGGAGAAAAATGGGCAAGAACAGGATAGGAAATGAGCGAAGCGAAGGTCAAGACAAAGAAGGCTGGGTTTGTCTTTAGAAGTCTCACTGGAAGAGACAAACCGCCGCAGCCCCATACCTCGTATATGCCATCCCCCAGGTAGGCCAAAGAGGCCGCATTGTAGATCGATCTCGGTTTCTTCACCTTCGGCGCGGCGGGCAGCCACCTCTCGTACCCCAGGTAGAGCTCATCCGCCTTTCCTAATCAAGCAAGAACCCAGGTTCAGGAAAGGACCGTGACAACAACATATCAAAGGATTGGCAGGTTCTTGGCTGCGTGAGAAAACCCACCACCTAAAACGAACCATTCCATCTCCATCTCCATCTAATCACATGTTCATCAACTGAAGCGAGCTCATCCCCTTGGGGCATATTCGCAAACAGGTTATGGGTGCAAGTTATAAACCTCGAGTAGTACGGGTACGGTTGGAGTTCCAGAGCTGGGATGCTGGGATCTCCTCTTTCATGACGGGGGCCACCGGCAAAGTCGCCGTCGCTGTCGCTGTCGCCGTCGCTGCCATCTCCGGCGACTGAGATGCAGGAAGGGATGAGGGCTTGGGGGACTTGCCGGAGTGGCTGAACTTGCTAGGTTTGGGGCTGGGATTTGTATCCCACGAGGCTCTGCACAGCAAGTGAACGGAGGAAACGGTGGCGGCGGCAGCGACTGCCATTATCTTCCGCCTCTTCCTTCCGCCTCTCCTCCTGCTCAATCCCAGTGGCGGGTTTAGCAAATTGGGAAACTTCCGGCGACCACGGCAGAGCCCTGGAGGACGGCGGAAGCGTCCCAGCAGAGAGGAAGGGGATGGGAGGGGAGGGGAGTGGGGGTGGGGGCAAACGGATGACCTTGCTTGACTTCGAAAATCGATTCTCGGGAAGGCGATGCTCGGCCCGCGCAGCGTTTGGGAGAGAATCTCATCGCTTTTTACTCCCACGCTTCACCTTATTTAATAAAAAAAGTTTTTTTTTTATTTTCTCCATCACCCTTTCACACGTGTGACCCAAGAGCTGTGCCATATTTCAGGAAATAATGGCAATTTTTGGAAATGTAAGCAGAGATGATGACCGACGAGCCCAGAAAGGAAAACCACCAGCCCATCTCAGTCCTTCAGATCTTTGACTCTGACACTGTTCATTCATCTCAGCCCATCTCTGACTCTACGAGGTTCTTGATGCAGTATGTGGCTATCAGGAACCAGGCCAGGAGGAGGGAGGAGAACAAGGCCAACCCCAGCAGAAATGGCCATCCGGCGACGAGAGCCCCGATGGAGAGCACGGCGATGAATGGGAAGAAGGAACGGACTACGGCGGCGCCGTTCACCCACTGTCCCCTCCATAGCAACAGGGCCGCCACGTTGACCACATTCCACCGCATGGAGCCGCCGTAGGAGAGGCGGTTCAGGCAGCCGGCGACGAAAGAGTAGCAGCTGCAGGTGAAAAGGTTGTAGAATTTGTGCTCGAATTGCCGTGCGCTGGCGTGCAGGGCGTCGTCCCAGGAGATGGCGCTGCCGAGCTCGGCGTGCCGGTGCGCCTGCTTGCAGGAGTGCGAGGCCAAGTTGCTGGGGAAGCAGCACTGCCCACGAGCAGGAAAGAAAGACGATGGTAAGCCAGGTGATCCAAGAAGCGGAGGAAAAAATGCTACGGCAGCATAACACTATAATTGGCACGCTATCCAATCCAAAAACACCATATTTTTCCTATAAATATTCCGGAAGCCCACCTTTCTCATTTAAATTATTTACTATTTTCTCACTAATAATAATTCTCATAAGTTTGATGTTCTCAAGGTCATTTCTCACTTTTAATAATTTACTACTTTACTATCAGAGGAAGAAATCTACTACCCAAGAAAGTAAGAAGAATATTAGAGCAGAAGACTGACGATTTCTCCAAAGTTCTAGCAACTCATACTGCACGCAGAGACCACTACTTCACAGTCAGAGGTCAGGCCGAGGCCGGGGAAGCTCAGAAGCTCCGCTTTCCCTCGCCTGGTTGTGGGTCCTTCGTTTGGTTTTAGGAAGGAAGATCCGGGAGCGGGCTGGCCGGTAGTCTCTGAAGTTCTGACCATATCCCATATATCTCTGTTGGCCAATCAATTCCTTCCAAAACTTAGTAAATGTGATCTATAAACACTTGATCCATCTCAGCCAAACACTCCCCAGGGCAAAAAATTCTGCTTATCCAATGCGAAAGAGCAAGAAAGACAGCTTGATACTGATTTCCTGCTGAAATCTCCTCGATAGAACAAAAATCATTCCACAAATTCTGTACCAAGAAGAACTTTATCCCAGACGAACATGATATTTTGTAGCATTTACATCTGCAGCAGTACCTATAAAGTATCTGATCAGCATGATCAAACACTTGATTAGTGGTATTCGCATTGAATGGTGGCTGAAGCACTTTGAATTCGGGAAGGAAACCAGGCCCAAAACAAGAGATCACCCAACCATGAAATTACAGAATAACACCGACCGGCGCGATATGATTACTGAAATATATGAAGATGGGTTGGTCTGTATTTTCTCCTTCATTTGGGAACTGCATAGCACAAAATTTTTAGATGGGTTGGTCTGTATTTCCTTGCATCCTTTTTGTGGTCGAATATAATACATGTAAGAACATTCTTGAACAAGAATATCAACGAACAGATATTTCTATAGCATAACGGGTAACTTGAGAGAAAGAAAATAAGGCTGAAAGAAACCACAGCGAAAGATGGTGTATACCTGTTCTCTGTCGAGCTGAAGATACCTGGCAACTGCGCCATAGGCGAAGTTGTCTACGGTTACAAGATTTGAGCCTGAAAAGTCCAGAACAGCTCCATCCTCCCGACAAATTCCAACGTGACCAATGTATGGAATCAACCATGAGACCACTGGGAGAGGGGCCCATACTATGCAGCAGGGAAATTTTGCCTTTTTCGGATCGATTTCTTCAAGCGGCCATAGATCATGGCGAACGTCAAGCAGAGAGCAGGGAATTCCAGTACTAACAGCCATCTTCAGATCGATGAGGGTTCTTCCACGGGACGTTAGGATTCACAATCTCCACCGGACCGAATGCTCAAGAGCGCACGTCACGCAACGATCTGTGAGACGGGAAAATCAGGCGCGGAATCCGATGCGAGGAACTCTGAGAAATTCCAAAAGAACAGAGTCTCAAAAGGATTCCACATTTCCGGAAAAGTCATATGCGCATGGCAAGACTGTGAGAGGGAATCAAATCTTGCGCAAGGGTTACGAGGCAGAGAAAAAGGAACCGAATGTCGCCATACAGATGATGTGAGTGGGAGAAGGAAATTGAAATTTGAGAGTGGGAATCATGAGGCTTGACCTTGTCGAGACGCAGTTCCCACTGACACCATCCCCGCGGATGACCTCCGGCTATCGCCTCACAGGCTCCCACGCCGCGGAAGGGCCCCAAGATTAGTCCAAACTTCACAAGCACAGGGGAGAGAGGGAGAGAGAGAGAGAGAGAGAGAGATTACGTGAAGACAAAAAGTACTCCCGGCATGACGTCTTCGCGAATTCATGGAGGGGCGGTGGAGATGTCACACTTGTCTGCCGGGTGTGGAAGAAGACCATTGGGCGAGGGAGGCAACGGCGGTAATGGCGAGGTGCACTGTGACAAGCACCTCCTGCCCTAATTTAATGCAATTGGAGCAATCGGATCCGCACGATTACCATTCCCACGTCATTCCACAAAATTATGGACGAGCAAGCACTTGGAAGAACAGAGCGATCGGAGATTCAGCCGCCGCCGGCGCCCCTCCGGTCTCCGGCGAGGAAGGGCGAGGAAGATCCAAGAGGGCAGGTCCCCGGTCACCATGGTCTTTCCTGTTCTGGATAACAGCAAAGAGTCATAGATGTTCACACGGGATGTACGTACCAAAATGTGCCTTACCCAATACGTTTCTCTCATTGTGCGGTTCGCCCCACGGAACTTTGTTGGCCCATAAGTAAATGGGCCTCTGTGATTTTGATTTTGGGTGAGAAGCTAATAGCATGGTATCACGGCCCAGGCTCAATACTGATCTCTCTCTCTCTGATAAGCCCAGTATTTGCCTAGATGTTTGATTTATTAAAGAAGAGAGTATCCTACTTGGTGGCCTTTCGAAGTCACACGATCCTTTAAACTCCTTCTAGTGGGTGAATTTAGATGTACTAACCCAACACTTTGAGAGAGAGAGAAGAGAGAGAGAATATGACTTATGTTGTATCCATTGTATTTTGGATTACTATGATCATAAAAGGTTTATGTTGCTTCCCCCGCTAGATCCAATCCACGAACCTGCTGCAAGTGTCCTCAAGAGGCAAGATAGACCTCAATCAGCGTAAACTACAGTGTTGACAAACTATAGATTGCAAGAGAGTCATGCAAGGCCAATTGGTCGCCTCCTCATATATATGGCAGTAAAGCAGCCGCCTAAGGGGACGGAAGGCTGTAAGGAGGGTGGATATAACTTAAAACCTAGAGTAGTTTATGTTTAAATTAATTTCAATGTGAATAATTATATATAAATTGTATATTATGATATTAATATTGAATTAATCTCATTTCAAGTGATTCATTAGAGTTTTAAGTATTTAGAATTACGACTTCTCTTATAAGTATGTGTATATATATATATATACACACACACACACATATATATATAGATCATGTCTTATTCTAATTTTATGATAGGTTAAATTAGAAAAAGACATCAAAAGATTAGACATCTCTTGTTCATAAATAAGGGGTCATGATCCTGAGGCTACATCATGAGTCACTCTTAAACCATTACATCTCTCTAGAATCAATCACTAGATGACTCTTTTGTATTGATTTAAAAGGTTGTCCTCATACTTGTGTCTTCATAGATTCAGATATAGTTTTAATATATTCTTATTATATTTTATCATTCTACATATATCTTAACACTAGATCCTTCAGATTCAACATTTTATAATTTTCATATTAAGTAAGAAAAAAAGTAAAACAAATGTTTTTCAAAGTAAATATTAATATAGATGTCAATAAACAAATAAAAAATAATTTTATTAATGCTTTTTAATCAAAAAATTTCTATTTCAATGATCAAATTAATGATCACCTATTTTTAAAAAAAAAATTATAATATTTTCTACTCTATGACCTTAGTAATTTTTACAAACATGAAGCCTATCATATTTTTCAATAATTCTTATATATTTTTTGAAAATACTAGCAAATATGTGTTAACATATTTCCTAAATAATAAGATGGTGGCATATTTCCTTGATTATTATTAAAAACATTAATTTTCGTATCATGATTATAATGGCTCAACTTTTTGGGCAAATGATGATGCAATAATACTTTAGCACTTTAGTTTCCTTAAAAACTTGATTTCTGCCTCATCAAATAAAATTAATAAAAAATATAGATTTACTACATTATGAGTTGAAATCATTCATTCTCTCTCTCTCTCTCTCTCTCTCTCTCTCTCTCTCTCTAAGATTGACCTAATACCAAATAAACGACCATCCTTGATCATCTAGGGAGAGCATGTCTTCTATTTTCCTAAAATGAAGATAGAATTTTTTAGTTAAAAATGATTAATTTAAATCATATAATTATTGACATAATAGTATGAATAAATGTGCGGCTTTTGAGAAGCTAAATGTCATGGAAAATAAAATAATTCCTAAAATTCATGTAGTTTAATGGGGATAAAGTTATGTCCTTGAAAATAAGTATTTGGCAATAAAAATAAGTCTTACACTAAGCAAGTAAATAATGGGAAATAACCATTTTCATAAAAATCATTAATCAATCTAGGTAAATTTGGTCATGGACGAATTTTCCTTGAGCACATATATTCTATTAATTTCAATATCAATATTTATTTTAAAATATTTGGACATATTTTATTTTTAAAAATAATAATTTTTACTCTAGCACACATGATATTCTTTGAAAAAATAAATTAAATGTCAAACATGGTAAAAAAGGATGAAACCTAAAGATAACTTCTTGCATAGCACATAAAATCATACCATAGACTACATTTAATGAGAGTTCTAAGTTGATGATTGAAAATTGAGATTTAAAAATAAAAATAAAACTTTACTATGTCAAAGTAGTGGCTTTGATGCTCCTTAAGTTGTGAATATATACTCAACAACTTCCCATGAAGCATACTTTAGCAATGCAATTGATGTAGACAGCTTTGCCTATTGCCTTGGCCCTTAGTCCCAACTTCTCCCCTTATTTGTTTGTGTTTTAGACAACCTTTAGACAATTTAATGACCACCTAATTCAACGATTGTTTTCCTAGTTATTTAGGAGGATATTTTCTTTTGTTTCTTTATAGAGCAGAATTCAAGGTGAGGAAACTAGTGATAAATTTTGAATTGGAAGGATGATCATCAAAAATTTGAGTCAATAAATCATATATATATATATTTAAATCGTCAAAGCATAAGTAGCAAGTAAGGTGCATCAACTAGTCTAATCAAGTAAATGTTAATATGCAACAACCATGCCTTAGCTACTTAGGAGTGACTTTCTAGTTGTTGTAGCATGATCACTTATAGTATAATAATTGAATTATTACTATTTACTTTTAAAAAAGAAATTATCATTTTTTTCTTATTTTATATTCATATAATAATATCTTAAGCATATTTGTCTGTAATTTGTATTTTACTTTTTAAAAAATCATTATGCAATGCTTAAATTGATGCTGCTTGGCACTTAGACTTCATGGACAAATAAGAGGGGGGTACCTAACAAACTAAATCACCCAAAACAACTTTGTTTGCATATTTTAGATCACAATTCATTATAATCTAGAATTGATGGGTTAAAATGTATAGAAAGAAAAAAAACTCGACTTTTTATATAGAACAATAGTTTATAAACGGGTAATACTAATCATACAATTTTAATCCAGTCATCTTTGACTGATGATCAATATTTCTGCTCATAAGATACTAAATGACCACAAAATAAACTCTAAGGTGTACTGCCAAATTGAAAAATATCGACGATATAAAGGAGGTAATACGGAAAAATTAAACTCATCCATACCAAATTTGATCAAGAATTTGAAGCGTTGTTCAAGTTCATTCATTCAAGTAGGCTAATCAGGTTTATCACCCATTATCCTACTAGTTCAGAAGCATTCTCATCCACACAAACCAAGGTTGAAATCACATACAGCTTCTTGTCAACTAAGACCACCTTCTCTTTCCCAAAGCCTATGTGAGGACAAAGAGTCTGAGCACCAGAGGCTTCAATCCCTAATGAGAGGGGAGGAAAAAAACCAAGGAGAAAAGAATTCAAAAAATGTGGCATGCGAAAAATATGAGGCCCAAAAGCTCATAACTCAGCTTACTCATTCAAAGGTTTGGAATTGATTCTGCCCGGATATATTTCTTAAGAAGGGCCTTCTCTTCATTGAGCTTTTTCTTCTCAGCGGGACTTCCAGGCTTGACCTTCCTCTTCTCCTCTAGTATCCATTTGAAGAGTTCACGTTGTCGACTTTCTGGGACGGGTGGAAGAGCCACTTTGGGTGCTTCTGGGCGTGGGAGGGGCAGCTGTTGGGGAGCTTCGGGTTTTGAGGTCTCGGCTTGATTCGAGGAAACACCCTTTTTGACAGGATCCTCTTCCTCCTTTTCAGCTGATTTCTTCTCTGTGGTCCTCAATAGCACATATGCTGCAGCACTGCAGATATTTAGATAACAACAAGAGGTATCCAACTCAACAGTGATTAAAGATCAACGCCTCTAAATGATCCTTTGACTACACAGAATGCAGACATAGGCCTGAATGTATAATTTATACATACTGGACACATGGTACTCCGCTACAATGGCCTGTAGACTGCAGATATCAGATATCACGAAGGACGAGAGGGAATCCAGTCTGTACATCTTCCTCAAGATAGAAGGGAGGAAGAATTTCCTGATATAGCTCCACTGAGGAGCTCTCAGCAATGACAAGATAGACTGTACAATCAGAGGTGATATGGAAAAGAAGAAGACAATCACAGCTTACTTTCCCTGCTACTAAAACAAGGCTATCACATGGGACTTTTCAACTGACTAATTATTTTGGATTGAACAGATTGATCCAGTTAGTTTCCTTCAATCCCAAAATGCATATGCATCTTGCCAAGCCTTTGTTACATGGATCATTCATAACCTTAACAAAGCTTTTGCCTGCTCCACCAGAAAAAAATGAAAAAAAAAAGAAGGTAAAGACAAAAAGGAAAAAAAAAGGAAAAAAGAGTTTATCTTTGATTCCTCGTTGAAATTATCCCTAACAGTTGTGGAGAGAGTAGTGAACTCAATCCTGTATTGGAAAGAATCCTACAACCTTTCTGGAGTGACGTAGCAGAAAGAGGGAGATTATCTTCCCATCAAAGTAGATCTTCAGGCAAGATACTGGATTAGAAAAAAGGGAAACACAACTAAAACATAAGATTCATCCTTGCTTCGATCTGCTGCAGAGCATAGTATTATTTTTCCAATGTCTGCTCCTTTAGACCAGTCAACCACTGACTTAATATCCCTGCAAATATCTAGCAAATCCCTGAAACTCTCCTGAAGATCTTCAGTTACTCCTCTCCCATGAAATGCTCCACGAGTTCTTCCACAAAGCAAAAAGATTTAGACCGAGAATTCCATATTGATCAACGAATCATGAACCACATAGATCTGGCCTGCCCTGAGCTGAGCTCTACCAAAAGTGATCTCCCACACCACAAATGTAATCCACTGGGATGGAGCATTTACGTGAATGCAAAACCCTATCAAACTGTGACCGTGGAAAGGTTTCAAGCAATGGTCTGTATGAGGGTTTATTTTTCGGTTCAATAGCAAGGAAGTCATTCTTCTGGCAAATAACCCAAGAATCTTTCATTCTACGCAAGAACTTGTACCTCTTGTGGGGTCTGGTGCTTTCAGTGGGTGAGAGGGTTCATTTCGCCAAAGATTCATCAAGCCAGATCACAATTATTTCTTGCACGAAGTTCTCTCATTTCTCATTTCTCTATTCCAGCGCCTGTACTTCGTCATATAAAAATTCATGAGATACAACCAAAGGGTCTCCGTTTTTTCATCTGAATTTCGATGCAAAAAAATATTCTAAGGCATATGATAGTCTGATGACCTTCTTGTGATCCTCAGACAGTAGACATCAGCACCAAATATGAATCCGAAGTGAAACCAACTTCTTCTGTCAACTAAGACCTAAAAATGCTGCAGTAGTTAATACCAAGAGGTATACTCCTTCGTCTCATGCAATGGCTTCCATCAAACCTTTGACGACTGTGGATATGCAAATGGCGGTGGCTAGGTATCTTCAAGTCAGAGGTCAGGATGCATAGATGCAGAATCGCATATCATGTTCATACTACTTGAGTTAGGAATTAAGGTATACTTGTCCCTGCTGTTACAGCAATGGGTCATAAACATATAAAAAGGAAAGCTGCAGTGGCAACCGATCAAACACCTTTCTGAAGCAAAGTTTCTCTAAAATAATGAGAAGATTTCCCTCAATCCTATCGTGAAAGGGTCAAAGTAAAAAGACATTTTTCAACAGAACATATAGAATGGAGATTTAAAACCCACAGTGCTTTGTTTCCAGGTTATTAGATGCTTCATGCATTGATTGACACACACATTGCGAACAGGATGTAGAGGTGGTTAAGTAGGCTAAGGACTCTTCATTCCGAAGAACTAAAATGTAGCATAATGGGCCAGCGAGCAAGAGGACAATAGGTTGGATTCTGCAGTAGGAGATGCAATACTTACAAGACAAAAACGCTGGAAAATTCAAATATGCGAAAGAAGGAAAAAGAAGAACGAAGATGGCGGAATATACAATCGGAATGACAAACCTCCGACGGCGAAATTGACGACCAGGAGGAAGGGGAAGATGCGACGGAGGAAAGGCTTCTTTGGGGCCAACTCAGCAGCAGTCCCCTCGGTAGACGAGGATGACGATGGATCCATGGAGCCGACCGGTCGAGAGGAACCAGGCGGAGGCGAGTGAGACAGCGCAGGCCCTCCTTTAGCCTTGTTCTTCTTCAAAGTTGCTGCGCGCGAGCGCAAGAAGAACCTACAATTAATGAGCGAAAGGGGGCGATAGAGAGGAAGATGGGGGGGAAAAAAAAAAGAAGCGTCCGATTCGACGAAGTCGACGCGAGCCCGGTATAGGACGGCACCTTTGGAGGGCTTGTGAAGGAAGAGCTTGGGTTGAGAGGCCTCCTCCGGCTGCGATGGCATCTCAAGCGGGGACCCTCTTCCTCAAAGCTCCCCTTTTTCTAATTCACCGTCTCACAGCATGCTAGGGCCGCCTACAGTCTTACAGAGGTTGAAGAAGGGTAAAACCGTGAAAATCGGGGAAAAGGGTAAGTTACTTAGCAGTAACGGCCCGAAATAAGTTAAGTGATGTATAATTTCGGGCTGGATCATGTCCAGAAGAGGCGGGCCTATTCCAGGGCTTCGAGAAGCCCGGTCCATTAGTAGATGTATTTAGCGGGGCGGCTCCCTCCTCCGGCGGCGATAGTTGCCGTCGGCGTTCCCTTCCTCGGCGGCTCCATGGGAATGTGCAGAAGATGGCGACTGGGAGTGCTCTTCTCTGTCGCCATGGTTCTCTTCCTTCCTCTTCTCCTCTCAGGTGAAGCGATCCCACCCCACCCCCCACCCCCCCCGCGGCTCCATCGTGGCGGATCCAACTTGTTTTTGTAGTTCTTCAGATCTGACTGGGAGAGCTCATTTGTCAGTGTCAGAATTGCATCGATGGAAAGTTACGGAGGAGAAGTCAGTTGCGGACGTCGGGAGCGCAGTTATGAAGGAGGGAAGCGGGGTGGTGGACAAGAGGAAACTCGACCATCTCGTGTTTGGTCCTGCTGCTGGTCAAGGCCGACCCGACCGTCTCCAATGCCAGGGTATATTTGCGCCCGAATACGGCTCTTGTCATTTGCTTGGAATTTTTTTTTATGTTTATGTTTATTACGATAACTGCGGACATTACTTCTAAGTTACAACTTGACATACGTTTTGTAAACAAGCCAGAGAATTGGAGTCCTTTTTTGTACGATTTCGGAATATTTTTGATTCTGTTCAGCGGTATTCGAGTGATACTAAGAATATTTTCTGTTTCCTTATTCTCCGGTTAAGTTATCCGGGATGCTTTGCCTATCGTAAATCACCATGTATAGGAACTATTAATCTTTGAATTCCATTCACGAGCCCTCATGTTTACTATCGGGTGCTCTAATGCAAAATGGCCATTTCCTTGTTCTCTCGCGGAATCTCCAGTATACCTTCATCTTGAATTTTTGTCCTCTTTTTCCTTTTTTGGAGCAGAATTAGCCCTAAAATCCATCATCTCTTCCTCCGCTGTGCATGTGGGAAATGTCTAACTTTACATTTTTTAACATTCCTGTCGCAGGATTCAAAGCTCTGAACCAGACTTATCATTCAATGTCGTCTAAAACTTTTGATGCTTGTGGCAGCGTTTCATTTGTTACAGTATTTACAGTGTACAACAGTACTGAAAGTACAGTCTCCGACAAAGTGACTGTTGGGAACACTTCCTATAATAAAGTGGAGCGGTCCATTGCAATTCTTCATACTTACATTGACTTTATACAGGTATAAAGCATCGAGAATACCCAAAATATTTTTTACAATTTGCACTGAAAGTTATTTTTTTTTACAATCTTCATGAACTACACATTTTGTTGCTATTACGTTCAGCAAATTCCTTTACAGTTGATATTTTATCTAAACACTATTTTTTTAGTTGCTAGTTCATTGGATGTAAAATAATCAAAATTTAGATTTAGTGCAGCCTGATTTCCTCTTTTGCTTATTTTTTGCAAAATAGAGCTGTGCAGGTGTCTATGCCACGTAGCAATGTTATAATACTGACGGATCCTGCCTCCTCATTCCCAATTACAAAGAGAAACACAAGTATTCTGCCTATTGAGGGAGATTATTCCAGAGGAAATTTGATGCTTCAAAGGATTATTTCTTACATTGTAAGTTTTTTAAACGTTAAAATTTTGAAGATAACCTACTCCACCAATCCGAATATTTCTTTTTGTTTCCTCTTAATTTTTTCTTAATCCTTCTTTTTTTATTTTTTAAAATGTTGTAATTCTAGTAGAGTTAGTGTTCAAGCTAGCATCTTTGGTTGTTAGAAACTTAACCGGACCAAGGCACATGCAATTTAGAAATAGATGAAAGCTAGAGGAGATGGAAGGAGGAAAGGTAGATGAGACAAAATATTGAGAGGGGCTTCTTTTTGAATGGATTGACCAATTCAATGCTATTCGAAAGTTTGAGTGGAAGGAGGTAGTCAACGAGAAAAAGGGCAGAAAAGAAGAGAGTGATAGGAGATGCTGCATTAAAAGGCCTGACTGTTGTGGTAGGGATGCGACACATGGTGATCCTGGGGATATTGAACGGGGCATCATAGGGTGGAATGTCTGCTTAACTGGACTACAAGAGAGTTCAAGCTGCCCAGATGATGGGTGTATCTACTCCCATACAACATGAGCTCACCAGAATAACATTCTGCATCTGGCGAAGAGAGAAGGGCCATTGCATGTTTTTAGCCAGTAAGGGTGCTGTTGATAATCCATGGTCATTGTCAATACTTAGGGATGAACGGGGTGAAGACTCCTCTGTACTTTTCAAAAATTGGAAGCTTCTACTGAAAACGTGGGCATGGAAACGTTCTGCTGATTCTTGTTTTCTCTTTGTTTCGATTTATATGTTGTGTATAAGGTTAGATGTTTGTTCTGGCCGTTTTTATTTTAGGTATCTAACGATAATAAATGCCATATGATTTCTTCAAAGTGTCTTATATAATATTACTCTTCAATCTTTGCATCATAATCATATTCGCTTTTTAGGGTACCTTGTAAATTATGCTTTACACTTTAGAAGTAAAGGAGAGTTAGGGATCATGATCTATAGATAAATTAGTTTATTTTTTATATCAACAGACATGCATATCTAACTTCTATACCTCCGTTTTCCACTTTCTTGCAGGCATTTCTAGAGACAAGGCCTTTGGAAATGCCCAAATGCATTAATCATTTTATTTTCACTGACTCTGACATTGCTGTAGTTGATGATCTGGGGCATATATTTCAAAATTATCCACAATTCCATTTGGCTTTTACCTTTCGGAACAATAAAGATCAGCCATTAAATTCTGGGTTAATTGCAGTCAGAGGAACTCGGGATGGAATTCTACGGTTAGTTTTTATTAAAAATGTGGTAAAGAAAAAGCTGTTGGTTTTTTATTCCCAGTCGAAAAGTTATTAAAATTGTACTAATGGTGCAGGGCGAAGTTGTTTCTTCAGAGAGTGTTAGAGGTTTACACTTCTAAATATATGAAGGCTTCTCGTATGCTTGGTGATCAACAAGCTCTTGCTTGGATTATGAAATCTCAGCTTTCATTGGAGGCAAAAGATTTTGCCAAACCAAAGCCTTTCGTTGCTGAATTGCAAGGAACGTCAATACTCTTTCTTCCTTGCGCTATATATAATTGGACACCGCCTGAGGGCGCAGGCCAGTTTCATGGCATGCCCTTGGATGTAAAGGTAATTCTTGAGACACTTCAGTCTTGGTCCCTTCACCATTTACATTTGGACTGGCTTTTTCAACAGTTTTTGCTACCACTTCTCATTTTTTGTGTATACTTTCATTTGTACATGAATTATATGTATATATAAATCTGTATTTCTTCCTGCGATTGCTGCATTTTCATGTTTGCGTTCGTGTTTTTTTCTTAAAATATTGAGACTGTTCATGTTGCTGGTCAGAATTCATTAAGAAAACTGCTCAAGAAAAGATTTGGCAATATCTTCTAATGAGGTGTCGAAGGACTTCCTATCATGACCTGTGCTGTTGAAAAGGGGGTGCCTAGGTAATTCTGGGGGAATCTGCGAATCCCATGGTAGTCTATATGCAATGGGTTTCCTCATCTTTTGAAAACCTATCTTCTGACATGATGACTGATAAAACACAGCACGATATAGCAATTTTTTTAAGGAATAGCATAGTTGGGTAGAAAATTCATTAAACATGTGAATTCTCGGCATCCGTTGATGGCATTGTTTGATGTTAAGTACTTCCCACCCTGCCCCATTAATGGTGGTGCATTGTCAGTGATTATATTTTTCTGCTCTTCTGGATCTAAAGTGGGACTAATTTATGTTGATGGTTCACATGACTGAGAATTCATATGTGCACTAATCATGTATATTTTTACCATAAAAGCTCATATATATTCTTAGATTCTCATCATCATCATCACCGCAAATCTTCGCCCAAATTGTGTGAGAATATCGAAGAGTATTCCTTACCATCAAAACTTGGCCCAGGTTGTTCATTTCAAGGGTTCAAGGAAGCGTTTGATGTTGGAATCTTGGAACTTCTTCAACTCCTCCGCCTCCAACTTGCCTGACATGCTGTGCCTGATCCTGCTGAGTGGGCGAACCAAGTACGACTTCTAAGCTGCCGATAGTTTGCCCCCCATCGCCCCACCATATATCTTAGGAACCCTTTCCGAATCTGCCCCCTGCCATCAGTTGTCAATCCCCAAATATATATAGGTATATATTCTTTGGAGCCATTCATCTGAAGCCATCGGCAAAGTCAGAAATGGGTGGGTTTGCGATCAAATATCGAGAAATAGCCTTTTCAATCGGCTGATGTCATAGTTCCCAAGTCTGGAATTTCTCGTGGTTCTCAAATAGCAAGTTAAATGGGGATCTTTGTAGATCTTTCACCCCTGTTTGTAACAATCGCCGATTTAGTCTTACCCCTTGTTGCAACTTTCTTCTTTATGGATGAATCTTTGTATTTGTCCGATGGAGAGGGGCCACTTGATTGACTTCCAATGTTCGTCAACAATGTTTTTCGTTTGTAATTCAAATCTTGGAGAGGTTCTTGCATAAGATTCTGCTATGTATTTACTTCACCTTCATACATTGTTGTGGAATATGTGGGAGAGATGAAGGCCTCTCAAAATCCCTTAGAACTATTCCAAGGTTCTTGTGAATTCTTAATCCTATTTCCCATCTCTTTTCTTGTTGTTTTGCCATAAACCCACCCTCATTCTCTTGTTCTCAATCTCGCAGAAGTACACAATTTGTATCACTACTATCGGAGCCATGACCTTGACACAACGTCCAAACCCATGGAGTTAGAGATTGAGGGGGGTCAAGGATGAGATGAAGAAGATGAGGGAAGACATTGCTACTATGTTGGCCATGGTCTTACAATGTCGTGATAGGATGGGAGACCATTAGACGGTAGTTGAGCTAGGAGGTTTTGCCTTACAACAACTAGAAGAAGGAAGATTAGAACCTACCACACCTCATCACCCAAAGTCTCAAGAATCTACAAGAGCCATCAAAGGACAATTATTCCTTGCTTCAATGGGGATAACACAGACACTTAGTCGTCTGCGTTGAGCTCTACTTTAAGATAAATCAAGATTTCAAGTGAGAACAAGTTGAATGAGGTTATACTGAGCCTAGAGGGTGATGTGTTGTCAAGTAACATTTATCAACAATTCTTAAACCTTAAGCAGGAAGACACGATGATTTAATATTGATGGGATTTTGAGGTTCCATTGGCATTTTTGAAAGGGTATATTGGAGTAGATCATGGAAAATAATTACATTAAAGGTATGAAGAAGGAAATTTAGTCTGAGTTGAACATGAGTGGACTGAACGAACTATGTGAAGTGATGAATCTCTCTTAGTTAGCTGAAGAGAGGCTTCAAAGTATATGGGTAGCTTAGAGTTCACAACATCTCCAAAGCCAGAAATTCACTTCCCAAATAGCCTTGTGCTTATCAAGAATCAAGGAGGGATTGAAGGTTGTAGAACCATGCTTTTTTAAAATCATCAATATGATGTCGTGAGAATTGTGGATAGCACAATGCCAACACATATACAAGGGAAGAATCCAAAGTTTTCATAGAGCAAGAGTTGTCAGCACTACCAATGACCTTGGAAATTCATTCATTGTTATTATAGTAACTTATTTTTCATTGATGTCTACTTTTATTTTTTACTCTATAATTTTAAATTGAGCTATTATTTTGAAATCAGGAATAAAGGAGCACTAAATAAGACAATGAATTTACTCTCTTGAGTTCTTACACTGACTCACTTGCATGTGACAAACCTATCATGGTCTCCCAAATGAGATGTTATCAAATTATCAACATTAATGCGAACTAATTATCAATTAAGTTTTATATTACATGCACTTTTCTTAACAAAGAGACTATTAAGCCTCACTACTCACTCAACTATTGACTTGTATGATATAAAGGTCACCTCATGATACCTTCCTAATTGCTTATGCTAAACACCATGTTCAAGGAGTTCCATGATAGCCTACTAGAGGGTCATGCCAGGTTCCTCTAGACATACAAAACGGTATCAGAACAAATCTATTCAAACAAAATGAAATTGAAGATCAAGAGAAATATAGATGAATGTGAGACTACTAGATCAAGAGTCATCTTCATTATCACCAATAATACTACTATAATATCTCCTCATTGTACATTAGTTTTGAGAAAAACTATCTATGGATTTTACTAAGAGTATACTTAGTTATGTAAGATATTATTTTACTAGTGGTAGAACAAAGATAATTTTCCATGTAATAATTTACCACTTCGGTTTGTTTATTGGTTTGCAAATCATGTAATGTCATATACTTGAGTTGTGTTTCTTAGAGCATGAAAAGTTCAGACCAAAAAGAATTCATAAATATTCTAGAAATACTATATAGGAAGACAATCTCTCTTGTGAACTTATTGACTACCAAGGTTGCTGTAAAATGATACTTTTAAAAGGATGAGGTAACCATATTTGCCCAAGCTATGTATTAAGTAATAATTAATCTTGGCACATTTGACTATATTGAGTAGAATACATCTACATTACCTCTCACCATAGTCCATAAGGACATAGCCATTTAAATCATTATATAGGAGGGATCTTCAACCCTTGTTATGTTACAAACCGTTGCTAACTCTTATTGCAGCCATATACATATAACTACAATCTCGATATCATACCCTTGGCTAGTTCAAATATTACCCCATAGAGATCAAAATGAGATGAAAACCAAGGTTGGCCAACATCGAAGATATGATAAATTTATAATGAGTGAACGAATGTATTAAAGGTCAAGGCCAAACAAGATGAAATCTTTAGTGAAGAAATCAAATGAGAAATTAGTTCCATGATACTTTGAATCTTTAAAAATCATAGAGTGCATCTAAACCATAGCTTATCAGCTCGAACTACCCTTATCTTCCTCACTTCACCTGATGTTCATGTGTGAACTGGATAAAGAAGTGCTCATTGTCTACGCCACGACAACATGCCCTAAAGTTCTAACCTTGTGAGATATTACTTATTAAAGAAGCCTCTTAGGAGCTGATCAACGTCATTTGAAGATGATTTCCAGAGTTCCATCTCGAAGACAAGGTGCTCAACAGAGGAGGGGAAATTGTATCAATACGACCTTGATCTACACATATTTTTGAAGGAGAAAGAGACTGGCCCAACCAAGCCAACTCATAGGTCAAATGGGTTTGACATGGGCCCCACTTGGCATAAGAAAAAGAGTTGACAATTGGGGAGGGTTATAGGGCCCAAGTAAGAAAGGGGAAACATGAGGTCTCTCAAAAGGCCTACAAACTATTCCAGGGTTATTGTGGATTTCTAGTCTTAGTTTCTGTCTTCTTCTTGTTATTCAATTATAAACTCTTCTTCTCTTCTTCTCAATCTCGTGGAAGTACGACGTCACATATTTATCCTTATCATCTTGTCAATCGTATAATAATTCTAATGGCCCGATTAAGTTGTTGAGGTTGGTCTAAAGAATTTGAAGCCTCAGAATTGACCCAATTAGTTGTTGACAATATTTTTGGTTTAAAACCTTAGAAAGTTTCTTTTTATAATATTTGCCTACTTGATACCTCATCTTCTTCATGCATTGCTGTTGGAGATGTGCAACTATTTTTACCATTTGTGGGCAATATATTAATCCTAATAGACTTAAATAGTTTGTTGAAGTTATCTACAAAAAATTTGGACCTTGAATCCAGCTCGAATTAGCTATCAACAATGTTTTTGGTATGTAATTCAATCTCTTTTCTTTATTTTTATCCTTTTTCTAGTAAGCCTCGTATGTGTTGTCAGAATTAATGTTTCTTGATCAAGCTCGTGTTTATCTATTGATTCAAGTGTTTAGGTTGTGAGAAATAGGTTTTGTCCAGATTTAGTGGTCTAGAATGTTAGGACATACATTCTTGATGGAGATCCTTTGGGTCAGCTGAAGGTAATCCCATGTATTTTCTAGGGTTAATTTTTAATCAATATTGGGAAAAAAGCATGGCTTTTTTTTGGGGGGGGGGGGGTGTCAATTAGCTGGGTTAGCCCTTGAGCCTGATCTCTCTCTCTCTCTCTCTCTCTCTCTCTCTCTCTCTCTCTCTCTCCAGTTGGGCCTGGGCTTCTGAAGCCTTTCAGTCGGGTCAGGCCTATTTATCGGCCCATCTTCTCAAAGCAACGTTAGGTCCGCATCTACCCCAGCTTGTGTTTTTTCCTCTCTCTCTCTCGCGCGCGTTGGAGGGAAATCAGGACAGCTCGGAGCGGAAAGGTCCAGTTCGCTCACTAACAGACATCGCGAGTGAACACCAGCGGACCCGCGAGGCCCTCACCGCCGGAAGTAGCAGTCTCGCTTGTTGCTCTTCTACCTGGTATTAGATGGAAAGATCGGGCCAGGAAAGTAGCTGTGGGCTCTCGATCTCCTCGGCCTCTTCCGCTCCCAGGGGGAGCTCCTAATCGGCCTCTTCCCGTATCCTCTCTCCCTTTTGGATCGACATGGCGGGGGCGTCGTCGTCCTCTTCCTCACCGCCCAGTTTGCCGCCAGCGGAGGGAGCCGCTGCTGTCGAGACCGCGCGCAGGAAGAGAATTCTTTCCAGCAAGCTCTACTTTGACGTACCTCTGACCAAGGTACATCGCATGTGGAACGGATTCTCTGATTCGCTTGCTCTCTGCAAAATTCAGGGGAGCGAGATGGTCTTAGTTGCTCCTTTGTTCAACACGGAGTTGTCCTTGTCGTTCTGATGAATACTTAATTTTCATGGCGCGGTGCCCGGGTTCCAGGCTCCGGTGATTTACTCATCTTCTTATGACATCGCGTTCATGGGGATTGAGAAATTGTAAGTTCTTTTGGTCTCGCATTCCGTGCTTCGAGTTCTACTCGTTTCCATGGCCTGACAGATGTTGTTCCCTGCATTATCATTGTCTTTTACATGTTTTTTGGGTTGCTATTATTTTCTGTTTACACAGTGAATCATCTACCCGACTCAAGATTAACTGTCTGAGGTAGTATTGGAACTATGGAGTCGTGATGATTTTCCATTAAACATGGATGGATCGATGGATCGATGAGTCGTGATTAGCTTGTGGATGCTCGGGAGAATAGCAATGGGCCTCAACTTAGACGTAGAATTTTCATAACATGTGGATTAATACTAGCATAAAAATAATGGAGGCCGAAAATCATCTATCATTTCCTGATATTGTCACTATCAGAATGGAGTAGATGCACGAAGCAGCAGGCTCAAATTTTTCTTCATCCAGAAACCGAAACAATACATCCAGTTGCGTTTGTATATATTGTCGGCATCCTAAATGCTATGCTCCTATCATTTCTGAGTTCCTCTCATGTAAAAGTTTATCTTCTCTTTAGATAAATTTGCCACAGGGCTGCAAGAAATGTATTTCATATAAGGGATCTTGCCTCTAGTCCCCTCTTACCTCTTATTTTCTCCTTATATTAAACATAAGTAAACAGTTGACATTGACATATTTTTTAATATTTATTTTGAAACTTGTTTATGAGATTATATTGTATGATTTGGTACAATCTCTCTTATCCCAGTCTGGGGTCTAATTTTATTTGTTAGGCACCCTTTTGATTCTTCAAAATGGGGTCGGATATGCCAGTTTCTCATCACCGATGGCATCTTGGACAAGGGTCGAATAGTAGAACCATTGGAAGCTTCACGAGAAGACCTACTAGTGGTACATCCTACATTTCGTAATGCCCCTTGTCTTTATCTTTTCATAAAAGAATGTAGGAACTGTAGTGTATGCTGTCAGTTGTCCATTTTTTATTCAAATACAATGCATATTGCAGGAATCAGAGGGCTCAGGCCCATGAACCTGTCAGACTAGTATTCCCATATTCAGGGCGAACACCATTGTTTGAACTTTCTCATGTGTACGACAAACTGAGGAAAGGAGATGGACTAGTGTAGTGACCTTAACTTCTGCAATGCTTCGTTGGTCATCTTGAGGTGTTGATGTACGATGGCCAGTGAAAAAAGCTAAAAAGGCATGACAGACGCCACAATGTCTTCGTGAAATTATGGAGAAGTTAAAATTTTAACGAGTTCACTTCATATAAGAATGGTTTTATCTGTCCATTCATTTCATTCATCAATAAAACAGTCTCCTGAATAGGAACGATATAGGGTTTAGGGTAATTATGTACGGTATTCATGTATCTAAATCCATCCAATGATAATAGTAAAACAAAGTCTATGAAAATCTTGTATCATCCTCTGGTAGAAGAAGCACGCAAGCACACGCTCACAGAAAGTAGTGTGGGATACGAGCCAAGGACAAATAAATACCATGAAAAGTTCTTTTGACTTTAAAAAAATGTGCATTAAGTAGAAGTTTCACGTGGGCAGTGTGCAGTGATGGACATTATTTGAAGCTATGCTTCTAGACCTCTGACATATGACAGTCTGAATATTCTCTGCTAAGGCATCATCTTAATCTGAAGCTCTCCGGGATACATTTTTTTAAGATTCATTTTTTCTTTTAAGTTATTGACGAATTATTATGGTTATTTTTCATTAAATATACTCTTATTAGCTCTCTATTAGTACGATATACTCTTGTTGTATCATTTGATAGATTTATCTTTATGTATATATTTTTTTCCATCACTGAGCGTGAATAGGTTTTCTTGACAGGTCCATTCAGAATCATACTTGAACAGTCTCAAAAGCAGCTTAAAAGTTTCCATTATTATTGAGGTGATGTATTGCCATAAAACGTACAATCAAAGACACTGCGGTTTCCTGCATTGGATCTAAAACTTTTGAGTACTCTACTCAAGTGCAGGATAGTATTTATCATAACCTTAATATGCAGGATAGTACTCTTTGTTATCTTGGTCACCCGTCCACTAATATGCAAGATATTAAACTTGTTCTTCATGTGGGTAATTGATTCTTGTGGAGAACAAGTGGCTTGGCTTCTTTTTTTTTCCCTTCGAGTGAATGAAATCTAATTTTTCCTGTTGCATGTAGAATCATTACGGATCTTTTATAGCCTGTTCTTGTGTTAGGTCCCACCTGTTGCAATGCTACCCAATTGTCTGGTACAGCAGAAAGTTCTCCACCCTTTCCGGAAACAGGTCAGACCCTTCTCTATTTCACTTGGCCTGCATCTGGGTTTCCCCTCTGGTGATAGTAAGACGTCGAGAGCTTCAGGTTGGAGGCTCCATCTTGGCCGCGAAGCTGGCCAAAGAACGGGGTTGGGCCATCAACGTTGGAGGCGGATTCCATCACTGTTCGGCAGAGAAAGGCGGAGGGTTCTGTGCATACGCCGACATATCCCTCTGCATTCACTACGCATTCTCTCGTCTGAATATTTCCCGGTTGGTGCTTTTCTGGCTTAATTTCTTCTCCAGATTTGCCGATTTTTGTTCTCTTTTCTCAGGATTTAGCCTCTATTTCTTCTCTAGAATTGCCCATTTTTACTCTCTTTGCTCAAAATCTAGCCTCTGTTTCTTCTCTAGAATTTCCGATTTTTTCTCTCTTTGCTCAAGATTTAACCCCTATTTCTTCTCTAGAATTTTCGATTTTCACTCTCTTTGCTCAAGATTTAGCCCCTATTTCTTCTCTAGAATTTCCGATGTTTACTCTCTTTGCTCAAGATTTAGCCTCTATTTCTTCTCTAGAATTTCCGATTTTCACTCTCTTTGCTCAAGATTTAGCTTCTATTTCTTATCCAGAATCGCCCATTTTTACTCACTTTGCTCAAGATTTAGCCCTGTTGCCCTCACGATTACAGGGCGATGATCATTGATCTTGATGCCCACCAGGGTAATGGGCATGAGATAGACTTCCGCAGTGACAGTGAGCATCTCTCCTTTGACCCTCTGTACCCATATTCTGCCTTCTAATGTTCACTGGCTGGCAGGGAGAGTTTATATCTTGGACATGTACAACGCCGGAATTTACCCACTTGTAAGATGCTCTTATTAATGCAAAATCATGCATATTTAAGAGATTTTTCTCAAGATAATCCACATTATTTCTCATACCCACGATTTTTTTATGTCTATAAACTGGCCCTCAATCGAATCAAACAGGATTATGAGGCGAGGCAGTACATCCATCAGAAGGTTGAACTAGCGGTAAGCATTGTGCTTAGCCCTTCCCATCCTGTGCCTTTTCCTTGGTACTCAGCTTCATGGGACCTGCCTGCTCTCATCTACTTATGTAGAGCGGAACGAAAACTGAGGAGTATCTGGAGAGATTAGAGAGAGCTCTTCAGGTAGAGAGAATGTCCCTGGCTCGATATCTCTCTTTCTTTCTTTTTTTTTTCCTTTTTTAGTATGGAATCATATGGGTTGGGGGAATTCATGGTTCTTGATATGGCTCATGTTTGTCCGTTGACTCGAGATTTCAGGTAGCGAGAGGTGGGTTTGACCCGGAATTGGTGGTCTATAATGCTGGGACTGACATTCTTGATGGAGATCCTCTGGGTCTGCTGAAGGTAATCCCTGTATTTTTTAGGGTTTTTTTTAATTAAGATTAGGAAAATAGCATGGCTTTTAGGGGGGCTGTGAATCTGCTGGGTTAGCCCGTGAGCCTGGCCTGCCCCATTTTATTCTCTCTCTTCTTTCTCTCTCTCTATCTCTCTACCGTTGGGTCGGTTCCCCCCAAATGGCTCGACAATTTGGCTCACGCTCAGCTGGCCTGGGTCTGCGCAGGTCAATCCAGAAGGAGTGAAGCTCAGAGATGAAATGGTCTTCCGATTCGCCAGAGAGAAGAACTCCCCCCTCGTCATGCTGACCTCAGGTCCTTCTTCAATCTCACCCCCCCAAGATTCGCTTCATCCCTCGTTCCTCTCTCTCTCTCTCTCTCTAACACACGCACTCTCTCTCTATCTCTAATACACATACTCTCTCTCTATCTCTAATACACATATACTCTCTCTATCTCTAATACACATACCATCTCTCTATCTCTAATATACATACTCTCTCTCTCTCTCTCTCTCTCTCTCTAATACACATATATTCTCTCCCTCTCTCTCTATCTCTAATATACACACTCTCTCTCTATCTCTAATACACACACACACACACACACACACACTCTGTATCTCTAATGCACACACACACACACACACACACACACACACTCTCTATGTCTAATACACATGCTCAGTCTCTCTCTCTCTAACACTCTTGTTTCAGGGGGCTACATGAAGTCGAGTGCTCGTGTGATAGCTGACTCCATCGTAAACCTGGCGACGAAGGGCCTGGTCAACCTGGGGGGGCCCACTCTGTAAGGAGTAAAAGTGCTATTCTCTCTTAATCAGGAGCGGATGATGTCTATGAAAACCTGTGACGAGGTTTCTATCCCCGAAATTAGATTATAATAGCTTGAAAGAGGCCTTTCGGGCCTGGGCCCGTGAGGATTCCCCTGTGGGCTCGGCCGGGCCCCGGCCAGCACTTGAGATGACTTTGGTGATGGGAGAGTGTGTGGTCTCCGTGCTGACGTGGATAAACTGCAGGGTCAGAGTTTTTTGTGTGGCCTATCTGAAAGTCAACGATGCTCTCTCTCCGACTGTAACTTGTGGTCAGAGAGAGAAAAACTGCTAGCAGCACCAGCAATGACGTGGCATCCGGGGCTTCAGGTCCTCTTCATTGACCCGAACCGGAGACCGGTTCAGTTGAACCTGGTCCGGACCGTCCCCGCCCGAAGGGAGATGTTGGTTCGGCGAGACGCTGGAGGGTGGTGATGAAAGGATGGCCTCTCGTCTCTCTTCCACTGCTCTCTCTCTCTCTCTCTCTCTCTCGCCTGCAATTTCTCTCCCATCGGGTTGGAGGGAAATCAGGAGTGCTCGCCTACTGTAAGGCATCCAGAGTGACCGGCGGCAGACCCGCGAGTGCCTCACCTGAAGTTGCGACTCTCACCTGTTGCTCTCCCACGGGGGATTGGATGGAGGAGATCGGGCCAGCGAGGTAGCCGTGGGCTCTCGTCCTCCGCCGCCAATCCTCATCCTCCTCCTCCGCCGCCGCTCCCCTTCCCTTCTCCGTTCTCCTCAATGGCCGATGTGCTTCTTCGCTCTCCCACTTTCTTCTCCGTCGCCGGCAACCTTCCTTTCCTGCCTCCCTTATCGCCCTCTCCCTCGAGTACCCCGCAGGCGAAGCAGGCCCGAAGGTTGTGCTCTGACGTCGCTAACCCCGTGCTCTTCACGCGTCCACCCAAGAGAATCTCTCAGCTCAAGGTATATCCTGATACCTCCTAGCATTGACAGCGTCGGGCTCTTTGCCGGGCAGAGACTTCCGAAAGAAAAATTGCTTTATTTTCAAAATTTGAGCCCGGTGGCTTAAATCTGTTGAACTCCTCTTTTACAGAAATATAAATTCAATAATACTGCGTATAAATTGTATCCCATTCGGCTATAAATAAATCATTTTGTCGAAGTATTTCGGAAGGAAATATGAGAATAATTCAGAGAGAAGCAAAAACATAGATTCTCACTATGTAATTCGGAGAGATTATCTACCATAGTTGGTTCAGAACATTCTCACCGCTGTCAGTTTTCAGTTTAGGAGGTATCTCTGTTCTTTCTTCAGGCTCTAGCCATTGTAGCATTTGCAGACATTTATCTAGATTTACCATTGTCAACTATATATTCAGATCCCCTGAAACTGTTAAGTTATCCTCATTAATTTTATTCCAACAATCTCAGCTGTGGATCATGAGTCTGCATTTTTTTTGTTTTACCCATATTATTTTCTCACCATTATTTGTTTTAGATATGCAATTTGTAAGTTTATAGCGTCTTATTTGGTTTGCTTCGTATGCAATCCTGCATGTCATCCCAGAAGCTCCTGTGGACATTCTTCTTTTGTTTTTTTCGGTAAATTTATGATAACCTTCACGACGTTGAATTGAATCCTCATGAGCGGTCCATTTATATATATTATGATAATTATAATTAGTGAAAATCTACTGGGAAAAGGGAAGATCAAAATTATGCTTGCTTTCAGATACTTAACCCAATACCTATCACCCCACATTTAATTTCCACGAATAATCATAGCAGAAAATGATGGTTGCAGGTGCGTGCTGTTGTTGCTCAAACTGACGAACCACAATGGTGGGAAAAGAATGCTGGTCCGAACATGATTGACGTTCATTCCACAGAGGAGTTCATCTCTGCACTGAGTAACGCCGGAGATCAGCTTGTCATAGTTGAGTTTTATGGCACGTGGTGTGGTTCTTGTCGCGCTTTGTTCCCAAAGGTGGGTACTCATTTAATTTTCTCGTGGTTTCACCCAGAATTTCGCAATGGGCATTTGCGGCATCTGATATGTATTCACTGTTCTCAATGCTACGTACAATTTATCAATGTTGAAGACCATGAATCAAAATCTAAGGAAATAATGTTTAGGTAGCCACTTGGGAGCTACTCTAAACCTTTGTTGAAATGGTGAACTACAAACTGGCGATTGGCCAGTAGTGCTGTGGATCATGAAGGAAGAATTAAAATAATTATTTCCCTTTCAGAAGTTTGGGTCTGGTTGATAGTTTTGATCCAGATTATATCTTCTTCTGGCTTGCTTCTTGTCTAAGTAGAAAATGAAATAAAGCATTCAGATGCAGATCGGGCTTTGATCTTAAACACTTGCAACAACAGAGGGGTCTTTTAACACAAAAGCCTCGAATTTACAGCTTTCCATGGAGGCTACAGCCTTTTAGTTCCATATGTATAGAACTTTGTGCGAAATTTTAACAGTGTCCACATATGTAGCCAACTGGCTCTGGTTTTCTTCACAGCTCACTGTCATATTGTCTTCACATAAGTCCACTTTATGCACGCTTTTTTTGTTTTTGTTTTTAGAGTTGACGATATCTGATTTGGATAATTTCATAATAGGTATAACTTTTATTTATTTATTTATTGTTATTGCATGAAAATGGACTGATCATAGATCTTGCTGTCGCCCTTCCTTCTCAAGCTCTCATTGATGGATGACTGTCATATGATTCCTGAGATGAGCATAGTTCCTCTTACGAAATCCTCCTATCCTAGTTTGTGGGTTTTAGTGATATCTGATGGGTTTCTCGCCTAAGGTATTATTTTTTAATTTATTTTTTAAAAAACATGAATTTTTCAGCTCTGCAGAACGGCCGTCGAAAACCCTGACATCGTATTTATTAAGGTGAACTTCGATGAGAACAAGCCCATGTGCAAACGCCTCAATGTGAGGGTGCTCCCTTATTTCCATTTCTACCGCGGTGCAGATGGGCAGTTGGAGTCCTTCTCATGTTCTCTGGCGAAAGTAAGCGCATTCCGGGCCCTTCTCTGAGCTGCTTTCAGTTCATAATTCGTTTATTCTTCTGCGATGCATATTGTGTGGAATCCATTCATGGCGGCGACAGGAAATTGAGATCTTTTTCGGGTAGTAATGCATTTTCTGGGAAGCCATTCTCTTGAACACCAGTGTTCTTAGATTGTAGCTCTCCAAGAGTGTGGGAGCTGACTCTCAAATGTGAGATGAGCCCTCTGCGGTTTGGGAGGCGGATTGTTGCGGGTGGGTGGGGTTAGGAAATATGTGTACATGCGTCTGGGCTGGGCCCCACTCTGATAAGCATTGGGCTCCAGACTGCCCATGGAGATGGTCAGCTCATCTACCTTCATATCAAGGCCCCACTTGTGCTCTGAAAATTATATACGGTCGCCCCTGAGAATTTCTATATTTTTTTCTTCCACTTGCATGATGACGACGACGACGATGACGATGAAGAAGGTTCTGAAATCTAGAGAAGCCCACGATTAAATCTGGTGTATGAATGATTCAGGTGCTTAAACTCATCACCTGGTTCAAGAACTGCCAGGTTCCCTCCATTATTTCTAGGTTTCGCACTTGTATGATGATGATGATGATGATACGAAGAACATTCTGAAATCTAGAGAAGCCCACGATCAAAAACTGGTGTAGGGA